GGGGGGGTAGGAGGTGGTGGATGGGGTCGGTGATAGGGTGAGGTTGATTTTTATGGAGGTCGATCTTCAGAGCTATCGTTGGACGCTTGAATACCAGGGCAGCTATCGTTAACAGACAGCCTTTGCGTGAGTAGCTACGGGATCGTAGCTCAAGTAACACAGCATTTCGAAGCAACGAGTATTGGTATGCGATCCTGGCCCTCTAAGCCTTCCCATTATTCCTCGCCGCCTCCTTCAGCACATGCGACAGATCCCTACCATAGCAATCCTTCGTGCGCATCTTGACCTTGGCCTCCATCGCCTCCAAATCCTCCCATTCCATCTCCTCGCCCAGGTCGAGCTTCTCCAGCTGCAAGCCTTCATCCTCTGGAGACAAATCGGCATAGTACGCCCGCGTCATGGTGGTCTTCAGCATGTGGCGGTCCCATCGAAGCTGAGCTCGGCTTGTTGTTTGCCAGACGGCGAAGGCGGCTTTGTCGATGTCGCTAAGAGTGGCGCCGGCGCTGAGGCGGTGGGCGATGTGTTGGATTGCGGTCGGCTTGTGGTACCATTCGCCGTTGGAGTTGACGGAGTTTGGTGAGATTTCCATTGGTTCGTCGGCAACTTGGACGTTGTTGGCGGTGTGCTTCGGTTGACGGTTTGGGGTATGCGTTGGCGAGAGGCACTGAGTTTGGTCTTCTTGGGTGGCCCATCGGGATTGGAACATCTGGTTGTCTGGCTGCAGCGATGGTGTGGAAGCGGTTACTGAGGGCTGTGTTGTGTTTGATGTTGACTTGAGTCGTGCGCTTCTGCGTGGGGCATCACGGTAGTAGTCTGCTGGACCATCGAAGTCCGCTGGCATGAAAGCAACAGCAGAGTCTCGTCTGAACGGGTCAGACTCGGATGGTGGTTCTGTGAACTTGCCTCCCCACAACAGCTCGAAGCAACGAAGACAGAACGTCAACTTGCCGCCCACGTCGACGTAGTAGGCGTCTGCAGGCAGTGCTGCCTGGTGATGACAACCAGGACGTTCGCAAATCACAGGCTCTCCCTCTTCGACAAAACTAGTGCGTTCGATGGAGATGACCTCTGTCGTGCTGATGACAGTGCGGACCTCGTTCAAGAGCTGCGCGGCGACCGCCAGGCGTTCAGGTCGCTCGCGCTCTTCTCGGATACAGTTCGCCAAATGCCTGACTTTGATGTCGTAATCTTCGGGATCGTCGTTGGTGAAAGTGCCAGAGTACGACTCGTTGGCCTAAGGAAGTGTCAGTGAGTTCTTTGCAACATCTCGCTGGTTGTTGAGCGTACCACATTGCCTAGATGCCACACTCGGCCATCGTCTCTGTCGAAAGTCAAGCTGTCATCGACTTGCAGTGTGGTCTCACCGTTTCGCTCAATCTCGAACGAATCGAACTGGTTCATGTCGATGGTCATGCCCAACATGTTGCGACCTGTTTGGAAGCTGTAGGTCGCCGTGTTGAGTGGAGCCTTGAGTGGACGGGCGAGCTTGTAGTGATTGACAGGCGTAAAACCACTGTGGTGCATGAAGTTGTCTGCAGATGGCTCAGACGTGAACATAGTCGCGGGGTGGACGAGGTTGTCGATTGCCATTGGGTGGCTGGCGTGCGTACGAGGCGTAGCAGGAGATGGCGGCCGCTGAGGGAGAGTAGGCATGGAGCTGATGTAGCCAGAAGATGGAAGCGTGGATCGCATAGCGGACTCTGTCGGATTCAGCTGTGAAGAGTGCCACAGAGGTGTGGTGCCGGCGTCCGTGAGGCTGCCAGTGGGCTTTGGCCGGGCTCCTGTCTGCTCGTAGTCCTGCATGGCGGAGATTGCTGCTGTTGCTGATGCAGACAAATAGTCGGAGTATGTCCTCTTCATCGTCGCGGGTGAATTGCTGTTGCGGCGGAGGAAGATGCGGACTGGATAATTCTAGGGCCGGCGGGGTCTTGGCGTCTTGAGACCGCAGGGAGAATATGTGCTTTTGGATGCCCTCCTCATCCCATGAAAACGATGTGTGGGTGATATTGCAGGGAATTTGGTTTGCTGAGAAAAAGGCGATGTTTTTGAAATTGAAAGTGCCACGCTCCTTCCCTAACTGTGCCACGTTCGACTGATAGGGAAAGAACGTGCGGCTGGTCGCACTGTACCTTTTGAAACCGCATCAAAGGTCGATACACAGACATCGCTACACAGCTGAGGTGATCCCAAGGCATTTCTTGATTCTGCCGTCAATGTCTACAGCATTCGTGTCAAGAATGAGAAGAACCAAAGGATCCAGCTCTTGGGCCAATGGCAATCTCAATGGCAGATAACCACCAGCAGAAGCCCTGAAATATGCTCCCAGACACAACATCGCTACTCATCAGAGCCCGAGAAGGGACCGGCTTATGATCCGATGCATTGTGTGGAAGTGAAAGAAGAGGTGAAGTCAGTGAATGTGGACCCCTGCCAGCGTCGCGGGATCCTCCCGTGATTTCGCGCGGCGCTAGCAGCACGCGTAAAGCAGCAGCGACCATCAACACAGTTGTCTGCCCATGATGAATACATGAAAGAAACGGTGGTGGGCGCGGTGGCTTGTGTTGTGACCTTCTTCTTCCTCTACTTCTGCCGCTGCATGCTCATCGCACGCGCCGCCGGTGCTGGGTCGCGACTGCCCGCCACGATCATTCCTCCCTCCCGCCGAGTGCACGTTCCCTCCTTCGCGACTTCGTCTGTACAACAACAAATACAACACCCATTCGCACAGACCCGACCCGACCCATCTATAAACGCCATGTTGAAGCGAGCCGACAAAGAGTTTGAACGCAAGCATGAGCAGGGCCGCCTGTCGCAGTCTAGTTTTTCGAGCCAGCAGGCACCGAAACCCGCATCTCAGTCAGTCAATCCTGGCTATCGAATGCCTCTAAAGCCAAGTTCGGCCTCGACGATCAACGGAGGAAATGGACATCAGAGAACAGGCGGGATCAAGCGTACTGCAAGCGGGTTGGCAAAGTCGTTGGACGGATCATTCGACGATGACCAAGGAAATCGCTATCGTCCAATCGTGGTGGGCGGCCAGTCCCCCAGCAAGTCAAACATCACTCAGATTGCAGAGAACGAGCTCTTCGACGTCGACGAGAATGACTTCAGTGACATCGAGTTGGACATAGAGCAGCCTGTTGCAAGCAAGACTGTGAGCTATCCGAAGCTCCCAGCACAACCGGCTAAACGCACGCGGGACGAAACAATCGCATATCCCACGTTGCCGAAACCGCCACAACTACAACAGAAACACGCGAATAATGTCAGTCCAACTCATGATCTCCCCAGCGGTTCTCTAGATGTCCCGGCCTCGCATCAAGCTCCGGATAGTAGTGCTCCGCTACCTTGGTCTTCGTCGCCGCTCGAGCATCAGCGCCCACAGGTTTCTCTCCAGCAGTATGCCTTCGGTTCAAGCAGAGCAGGCAACACCAATGCCCAACATGATGCTCCAACCGAACCCAAGCCAGCAAAGAGGCGGACACTACCTTGGATTGATACGCAAGAACAAGAGGCACCGACCCAACCTCCATCTACGACAGCTACGACGTCTTCCCGACCAGAGGTTACGAGTACTTTCACACCAGCACCAAGAGACAAGAGCAAGAACAAGTCCATGTATCCTTGGAACACAACTGCAAGCGCCGTGAAAGAAAATCAGAAAAAGCACCGAGAAGAGGCAAAGAAAGTCGCAGCAGTTAAGAGGCTTGATGGCACCGAAGAGTCCATCAATAGGGCGAAGAGTAAGCAGGCGCGGCCAGCGCGGGTCTTTTTGAGTGAGGAGCAGCAGCACGTGCTGGACCTGGTGATTGAGCACAAGAAGAGTGCATTCTTCACTGGATCTGCTGGAACTGGAAAGTCGGTGCTCATGCGTGAGATCATCGCATGTCTACGAAGAAAGTACTCTCGTGAGCCCGACCGAGTGGCCGTGACGGCTTCGACTGGATTGGCTGCCTGCAATGTTGGTGGAGTGACTCTGCACAGCTTTGCTGGTATCGGCCTTGGAAAGGAAGATGTTCCGGAGCTGGTACGGAAGATCAAGAAGAACCAGAAGGCAAAACATCGTTGGATGCGGACGAAGGTACTTGTCGTCGATGAAGTCTCCATGGTCGATGGAGAGCTCTTCGACAAGCTGGAGGCGATCGCACGCCAAATCAGAAACAATGGTCGACCCTTTGGTGGCATCCAACTTGTCATCACCGGCGACTTCTTCCAATTACCACCAGTACCCGAAAACAACCGTGTAGCCAAGTTTGCGTTCGATGCAGCCACTTGGCCTACCGTTATCGAGCACACAATTGGTCTGCATCACGTCTTCCGTCAGAAGGATCCTGGTGAGTGAATCTTGAAGACCACGTTGACTATAGCTAACGTCTTTGGCAGTATTCGCAGGCATGTTGAATGAGATGCGTGAAGGTCGCCTTTCACAGTCATCAATCAATGCATTTAGGAATCTGTCGCGGCCGCTCACGTTCGAAGATATGCTGGACGCCACCGAACTCTTTCCAACTCGAAACGAGGTCGACAAAGCCAACACCGAGCGACTCGGGAATCTCCAGGGTGATCTCGTGCCATTCTCAGCCAGAGACGGCGGCTCGATCACGGACAAGGCGCAACGAGACAAGCTTCTGCAAAACTGTCTCGCCCCTGAGCTCATCACGCTGAAGAAAGGGGCCCAAGTCATGCTCATCAAGAACATTGACGAGACTTTGGTCAACGGGTCGCTTGGTCGAGTGATTGGTTTCATGGACGAACGGCAATTCGACAGCTACAACAACAACGAGGCTGCATTCCTCCAATCTCCTGGCGGCACAGTCATCGGCAGCGGCGAGAATGGTATCGACTCCGACCGGCCACGCATGATGGAAGGTATCACGACCTCGCGAAAGTGGCCGCTGGTCCGCTTTGCGATCGCCGACGGTACCTGGCGTGATCTGCTTTGCGAGCCAGAGACGTGGAAAGTCGAACTTCCAAATGGTGAGGTGCAGGCTTCTCGTGCACAGGTTCCATTGATCTTGGCGTGGGCGTTGTCTATCCACAAGGCTCAAGGTCAGACTCTCAACCGCGTCAAAGTGGACTTGGGCAAAGTCTTCGAGAAGGGACAAGCCTACGTTGCCCTCAGTCGAGCGACCAGCATGGCCGGATTGCAAGTCCTCCGATTCGATCCCAAGAAAGTCAACGCCCACGAGCGGGTTAGGACCTTCTATTCTAAGCTCGCGCGTGTTGAACTCGCCGAAAAGAACAAGGAGCGAATGGAGAAGATCAGCAAGACGGACACGACAAGTGCTAAGGATTACGAGAAGCAATTTGTTGACGGCGACTTCCCATGGGATGACATAGAATGAATGCTGTCGGGATAGCCATGCATGTCAGCGGCGCTTGCAATGAAAGTATGATGCCCGGTATTGCTGCTAAGCTAACAGCAATGCGAAGGTCTTGAGACGTGTAAGTAGCTCATGTACGTATTGCCACGACCAATCTTTCAAGACTCCCTCGCTCTATCCAAACATCGCTCTGCATATCAACTGCACTTTCAGAGGTTCGCCCTGGACGGCCCTTCGACGATCTTCCTCGCCTGGGAAAGGTTGGTCAGTAATGGCAAGCACACAGAGTCAACGCAGTCTTCTCACTAACCTCTTCAACAGCATCGTAATCCAACGTCCACTTCAAGAACTCCCTTGAATCGAAATGGCCATCCATCCTAGGCTTCACAGCTTTCAACGAAATCCTCCTTCCCTCTCCGGACTCTCTCAGCACTCGATCTTTAGGCGGCTCACCCAAGAACACCGCCGTATTCTCGTTCGCCCACGCCTTGATCCGCTCCACGCGAGGTTTGCGAATCCGTTCCCATTCCCTCGTGATGGCAGGGACGTTTGCTGCGGCTTCCTGACCTTCGAAGCGATTGACGAGATATTCCAACACACCAACATCTTCGACCGTGCTTGAGAAACCATGAGCCGCATTCGGTTCCATCGCGTGCGCGGAGTCACCCAACAATACGATCTTCCCATGTCGACTCGTCCACCGAGGGAGGTCAGGCAGCTCCGCCAACCGCCAGCGATCGCACGAGGTGGCTTTCTCGAGCATCGCCCTAAGATCCGGACAAGCCGTGCTGAAGGCCTGACGAACGAAGTTGATATCGCCCTGTTCATCCCAGAGGCCTTTCTGATCCGTCTGCCCGCGAATGCCGAACAGACCGCGCGCATGGCGGAGCGTGCGATTGTACCGCGAGATGCAGAAGGCGTCCCGCCCGATCCAAGTGACGACGTACTCGGAGTCCGTAGCCAGCAACGAAGGCACATCATCCGTATCCTCCACACGGACTCCATAAAGCGTAACATCACTCACAATCGGATCCACGCTCCTCCCACCCGCAACGACATCCTCTAAAATCTGTCCCCTGACCCGCGACCTAATCCCACCCGCCGCAACAACCAAATCCCCCTCCTCAACCCTCCCATCCCCCAACTTCACAAACGCCCTCTCCCCATCCTCCCAAACATCTTCAACCCCCACCCCAAACTCCACCCTCACCCCCGCCCCCCTCGCCCTCTCCAACAAAACCCTCACCAGCTCATCCCGCGTCGTGCCCCAATCCTCCTCGCGCGTCGCATCCACCAAAATCGTGCGATTCGCCACCTTCCCGGTGTACAGATTCCTGTTGATGAACGAGCTGGTGGGTTCGGCGATGCGGCGCAGGGAGGTTTGGAGGTTCCAGGTGTTCATTATGCGTGTTGCGGCGGGGCGCACGTTGATGCCGCCTTGGGTGGGGGAGAGGGTGGGCCGGGATTCGAAGACGAGGACTTGGTGCTTTTTGGAGGGGGAGGAGGAGTGGGCGAAGGCGATGGCGGCGCAGAGACCGCCTAGGCCGGCGCCGATGATGAGGATTTTCATTTTCAAGGTTTGGGATGGCGTTCTTCTTCCGGTGTTGTGTGTAAGGAAAGATCGGAGGAGAGGAAGTAAGAAATCAAATAGGTTTTTCTTGGGTTCGTTGTTCATCCATCGACTTCTAATGTTTCCTGCCCAGCCTCGCATTCTGCAGGGCAGCCCTACGAGCACAGGATGAAAGGATTCTCCTGAGCTTGAACGACAGGCTTGGAACACTTCTCGCTTCTGAGACTTATTTAGGACGATGATTAACAAGATACTTGATTGCGGCATGCTCGTAAGGGCAGAGTTCTCAGGTTCGGTAGCATTTCCAGATATGCTAACTATCAATCAATGTTCTGTACATCCCTGGCGCTATCTGTCGTGTACTGTTTGGGTATCATTGCCGCTACGGAATCAAATCACAATGCATGTCCTCCTGCTCCTCCTCCACAGTCATGACTCTCACGTCTTCGACATCTGGACCGGCGTCTGCGTCTGCGTCTGCGTCCGCGTCCGCGTCCTCGTCTTCCTCTGATGTCCTAACCTAGGTACAAACCGATGAGCATCCCAATGCGCCTTGACACCCCTCTTCGCCAGGAAATCCCCAATATTATCCCAGAGCATCGTGGCGAAGACCAGCAACATGAACGCCGCGAGCGAAGGCAGCGCGACGACCCAGAAAAACCCAAAGGGATGTTTCAAGCCAGAGCCGCTCGCGAAGTTCATGCCAAAGTAACCCGAGATAAAGGTCAGCGGCGCGAAGAAGACGGTGACGACGGCGAGGATCATCATGAAGTTGTTCGTCTTGGCTCCAACGGTATTGAAGATCAAGGTCGAGATGTTGTTGGCGCTGGCGTCCATTTGCTCCAACGCGGAGATCATTGTGATACAGTGATCCAGGACGTCGCCGAAGTAGGTATGCGCGAGGGGGGTGATCGTGACGCTCGTGGCCGTGTCCGCTCGTTTCAGGGCGATTCTTCTAAAATCTGACATGTTACGTAGCATGGGTGCGCCTTCGCGATTGCGTTTGGTCTTTTCCGCCCTCGGACTAGGAGGTGGCGGTGGGTCGGGTCTGAGTGTTTCTGCTGAAGGCATGGCCGTGGGTGCCTGGCTGATCGCGGCAGGGTCGGTGTTGTGGTCTCGGAGGGAGTTGACTAGGTGGACGATTGGCTTAAAAAGGTTCTGCAGCATATCAACTTCCTCGCCAAAGATGTGCAGAGCTCGCGATGTCTTGATGTTAGGGTTGGTCATCGCATCAATCTGCAGCTCCTTGCGAGCTTTGTTGTATGCATCTCGCACTGGAAGGGCCAAATCGACAATGGCGTCGATGATGGCTTGCGTTAATAGCGATGCATCACAACTCCGTCGTAGCATCGTCTCCCGGCTGTCCAGTCGCTCCAAGATAGGATCCTCGATGTCGTCTGCCGAATGCTCGAAGAACGAAACAACGCAATTGTCGGATAGCAGGAATATCGTCACTTGCTCCACACTGACCGCCAACTCCTCCTTAGCAAGCGCGCTGTGCTTCTCCATCCAAGCCGTATGTTCAGGAATCTGAGCACTTTCGTACCGGTGAAGCGTGCGTATTGACTTGATCGGCGTGTCCTCAGAAATGCCACTGTGAGCACTGACAAACTCGTCGGGTCTACCGTCGCGATTGCGATCGAGGTACCGTGGCAACACATCAGGCTTCTTTTTCTTGTAACCCCACAAGTTCCACCACCCTCTGCGATTGTTACGCGCATGCTGGTGGAATTTCTCGTCGATGTCGTCGCTGTCGGCATCGCTAAGACCCTGGCAATCGCACTTGCTGGCACTGCTCCTGCTGTTATGCTGATGCAGTCGTACGAGCTTTTGAAGAGTAAGGACAATGCAGGCGTGATCTGCGTACCAATCGACTTTTGTTCGCGTGTGGGTGTGCATCAAGTCCTCGATAGATAGCCGATGAAGATGGTACTTGTTTCCCAGAATCTTGATGACGTCCCAACTGAGCCCGTTGACAGAGATCCAACGACAGGGCAGGTCCTCCGTTCGTGGTGCCTCCAAGCAGTGCGCCAAAGACGCATTGTCCGCTGACATCCGCCTGACTTCCAAATCCGAAAAATCAATAATGTTGATATCGCATTGTGCCTTCAAGCTGGTCAAGTGCGCAGGAATCTTGTCGTCTTCCGCCGAAGTGTCGACACCAGGTTCCGCTCCGGGTTGCCAGTTTTCCCCCGCAGGTTGGCTATCGGGTTCATGATAAGTCGTCACAGTATTAGTGCGCGAGACTTTCCTATGTCGTACGCCGTCGCCCGAACCTCTAGATGGGGCAGAAAGACGCGATCCAGCGCTGTCCTGTCGCTCGAGTGTGTTAGGATGTCCTGATCCCGTGTCAACTGGCGTCCTAAGGGTGTTTCCTCGAGGAATGTCACTATTGCTAGGTGTTGTAGTAATGATTGTGGGTGCACGCTGTGGTGACTCAAAGTCGCGAGCGACGACATCCCGTCCAGAGCTCATCTTGGCGAGCAGTCGTGTGTCGTGGTATTGGCAGGCTGCATGGGTTCAGTTCAGGTTGATATGCGTGAGCGTTGGCGAAGGATGTGGCTGCCGTTAAGGTTCTCAGGGGTGGAACGTGGCTCGCCTGACCAAGCAGCTGCCACAAATAGACCCAGACGCGAAACGTTTGCAATGCAATGGACGGCCTGACTGCTGCAGCGAGCGAGGGTGAAATTGGGAAGAAGAATGTACAAGGTGGAGTGGATTGAGTGCGGTGTCGTCAAGATCGCGTGAGCGCTTTGGTACGCTGCACAGAAACGGTTTCGAGCAGCGACGGCTCGACTCGGCCAAAAGCTTGGTACCGAGCCTATAGTATTACTTTTCTGGCCCTAGCGCTACTGTGCCTCACCTTTGCAGCCTCGCTCTAGCATCCCTCAGACAAACTTCTTGCCAAAGACATGGCTTTGCAAGGGAAGCACCTACAACGGCTGCCCAACTCACTTCACGTCTGGCCCGCAGCATCTACATACCTTCTGAGGCCCCATGGCTCAAAGGTTCCTCTTACAGCTCTTGTCCGTCGTCTGGCTCCTCCGCATTGCCGTCGCAAGCGCATTGCCGCCGACCGTCTCTCCGCAACATGTGTTCCAGGCGGCGCAGTCCATCAGCAGCAATCGCAAGACAGCGACTCTAGAGATTTCACGCCGCGACTTCTGGGAATGGCCTTTCCACTTCACCAGCATCGCGCTCGGGACACCTCCCCAGGCGTTTTCGCTTGTTCTGGATTTGGGACTCGGCTGCGTCGCCATTCGATCGGTTGGCTGTTCCAGCGACTGCGGGCGAAGGGTTCTCGCGTACAACCAGTCGGCCTCGTCCACCTGCTATGACCTCGACGAGACATTCGACCTCCCACTGCCTGGACATTATGGGCGGGGTCCATTGCTCCAAGATGAGATGCACATCGTATCGCTTACGCTCCAGAATGCCACGTTTGGTTCGATGGTCAGGTTTGATAGGGAAAATCTTATGTTATCAATCCTCATAGAGTTTTGCGACGGGCACGTCTCCAGCTTTCGTGAGCTTGGTACTCTTACTGAAGCGCGATTGACAGATTTCTCGGTCTAGAGCCTCCTAACGCTTCGTCCTACACGTATGATAGGGGCAGTATTTACGAGCCAGTTCCACAGGCGAACTTCCTGTATGAGTTGACGAGGAGTAGCTTGTTGGAGCAGAGGGTTATGTTCCTAAGCCTCCCAGGCAGCCCTTAAGACATGGGAAGACTTACTCTCGGCAACGCACCAGCAGCCGTTGATTATCGCATTCCATTGACCAAGCAGCCTAAACCACCAAAAATTTGCAGCATCTTGGGCCGATCTGGACAGCATCTCAATTAATGGCATGCCCTACCCACTCGAATTCGATTTCCCCCAGCCCCGAGTCACGTCCCTCAGTCTAGTAGCAGGGTTCTTCTTGGCCCTCCCAGATGAAATGTGTGATGCCATTTTCGACTATCTTAGTGCATCCACAAATCGTCAACGAGATGGAGGCCGCGTCGATTGCGAAGTTGTCGAGAGTTTGCCCGATATCACTCTGGTTATCGGCGGCCAGACTCTCGTGTTGCGCGGGGACGAGTATGATGCAGAGTCATTTGACGGTGACAGACGAGTCTGTGCTGTTGAAATAATCGGGAATGGCCGCAGCGATCACGTCACGATAGGTCTCTGGCTTTTCCAAAAGTTTGACACGGTGTTTGATATGGAACGCAATCAAATCGGGCGTAAGTGCTATCTTTCTCGACCTAGACGTTCATGCTAACGATCCGCCCAGTAATCGAGCATTGATGCAGATTGGCAAAGAGTCTAGGATGGAAGTTTACGACAGTTCTTCCGTCGGCTACGATTCGTGGATCATGCAATGACCGATGTGGCCCTCGCCATTTCGTACTCAACCAACTTTCCAACATCATAAGCTGCTCAAGACATGGGCGTGACGGAGCGCCACCTGCTTGCAGAGCATCTGGCCGGTCGATCATGCGTGAAGCACACGCAAGTGGGTCGTAGGCGACTTCAGCCAGTCTCTGCGGCTCTTGATCTGCTACGGCACCTCTCAGATTTGCAAAAGGCTCAATGCAGCTTTCCCGGTCACGCTGTGAGCGAAGACAACATCACCAGGGTGTCAAGTGTCTCCTTGTCTTCAAGCAGACTGTGCATAGTACCCTGTTTTCAACTCAGCTATCGTCACAGCTGGAAGGTGACTGCTCGTCTAGATTGATTCCCTAATCAGGACGTCTGTATCCATGTGGCGCGGTGGCAACAGGAGCCATGTTAATAGTATAGCTCGAAAGGGTTAGCTAAAGGATTAACGCTTGTAGGAGTTGTTAATATTTATGTACCACCCTGTAAATTCACCCATTGAAGAAGGAAGTCACATGTGCGTGCAACAAACTACCCGTGGACATGTAGGCGACTCGGCGCATCAGCACTGACGCGAGCACTGCAACGTTTTCGCTGTACATCTATTCATTGATCTCCACATTACTAGAGAAAGAGTCTACCTCGAGTTTCTGTTCATGTTCCTGCAATCGCTTGGCCTTCTTCACAACACCTCCTCTCACCCATCTCTGCCCAACAAGCTTCCTCGACGCATCCAGAATTTTCTGCGTGCCTGCCTGCCGGTCGAAGCGACGCTGCAAGTTGAGAGTGATTTGCTGCTCGGTCCTGAACTCAATCTCGACCAAGCCGGTCTGAATCTCATACTTGATTCTCGAAGGGGCTTCGTGCCGGAAGGTCCAGAGGAGAGCAGGCAAAGTACGCGCCGCGCTTTCGAACCGGTGATCATTTTTGACATGATGATTGTGCACGCCTAGGAACAAGCGGACCCAGCGCTTGAGCCAGAAGATGTTCCGCTGTCGGATGAGGTCTGCTTTTTCGTATCGATTGCGGAGTCTCTCCAGGGTCTCGTCCGGTTGCTGAGCATGAGCTGTATGACTCTGTCTCTCGACCGCCATCTTTAACTGATGATAAGCAAGAGAGGCCAACCTCCGATGGCGAACGTATAGCTCCCTGCCTTCTTCAAGCTTCGTCGCCATGTCGGGTACCCACCGAAACCGAAACAAATGCTTGATGAGGTAGTTGTACATGCCCATGGTAGGTTCGAAGTTGTAGGGCGGTGAGACCATCGTGTCCCACAGGTTCAAGAGACTTTGATGGGGCAAATGACCCACATCCGTCCCCATTCGCCGGGCAGCATTGAGACGATCCGTTGCCAGGACGAATGTCCATTCGAAGAGCTGACTCCACGATTGCTCGTCCACTTGTAGATTGTAGTGACGGGCCACGAAGTCGACCACCCGGAGAGCGGTCGGTATATCGTTGTTGATCCCGAATATATGTGCCAGCGTGAAGAGAAGACTCTTCGTGGGACGCAAAGGCGAGTGTTCTGGACGTTGTTTCGGGAGGATCTCAGATTCAGGCTTCCCCGCCATGATCCCATCAACGTCGATATTCCAGACTTTCATCAAAATCGACTTGACGGTTTGCAAGTCGCCTTCTCTCGCAGAAGCCGTCATTATTATGCGAAAGCTGTACACATCGGCGTACGCCTCGTTGGCAAGCATCTCGTTGAAGATGGACATGACAGTTTGGCGAACACCTCCAGGTCCCACGCTGTAGCCATGAAATCGTGGCTTTGTCTGCTTCTGCCGGCCAAGCATGTTGAAAGGAACGATTCGGACCTTTTGTCGACCGCCAGTGTTATGTATTCCATTCCAAACAACGGTCTCCATCATGTAGTTGTAGCATTGGGTAGTTGGTTTATATCCCTCTTCGAGGAGGTTGCTCCACAAAAGACGGCCCATTCTTTGGTTTCCCAGATCCCTGGCGGCTCTGAGTAGCACCATGTAGTCGCCTAGAGTAAGCTTGATCCCGGCATACTTGCGAATGCCAAGCAGCTGTCGGATGACAGACGCATATTCAAAGGCGATCTGTCGCATCGGTGCGATGCCCATATGCTTTACCATCCAGGTGCTGAGTTCCACGTGAGCTGACCCCAGCGTCGAAGTAAACTTTTTTGGCTGGACCATGCGAATGATCTCGGAAAAGGTGGTCGGCGGGATAGATCGTATCCAGTCAATGTCGTTGGCGTGGTTGGCTGCAAACAAGCAACGCATGACGCGATCTGTCTCGGCTCGAAGCAAGGCTCCAGACAGTTCAGCCTTGTAGTCCAGCTTCAGCAACGCTTGGTTTCGTAAGAGGTCCAATTCGTGCTCGTCTTGAACATAGGTGGTGTCCTGGGGAGCCGTAATACCATCCTGTTGTACGCCCTCATTCTCGGAGACCTCGAATTGCTCCCACATGTCCTCACGACTGGTCTCAGATCTTGAGGGCCCGGTGGGTTCCGTCGTCCTCTCCATTGGCCTGTACTGTGTCTCCTCATCGCTACTCCGCCCCCCTCGCAATCCCCAACCCTCTCTCCCCTCACCATTCCCCCGACTGGAGTCCACCTCATTCTCAGGGAACAGATAACACTCCACGCCAACTCTTATCCCCCCATCACTATAACTCCTCCTCTGCTCCCGCACCCTCTCCAAGCTCCTCGCCCTACACTCCGCACACACCCGTTGCTGGGCACTCCCCCTCTTCCTCTTCCCAGCGCTGCTCAAAAACGTCTGCGCCGCCCGTCGCGTGTCGAACGAGTGCCCCAGACGGGCTAACAACGAGTTCATCCACAAGCGTCAGTGCGTCGCCGCCGCCTCCATATGGGGTCGGGGGGATGGGTGTTCTGCGGTCTAACGACGGATGCACACGTGCCTAGTTGCGGAGAGCTCGCGGAGGTGCGCGGCGGGACTTCGGTTGATCGCCAAAGTCTATTCTCAGCCCTACGCAACGACACGACCTTGCTGCAAGAGCAAAGCTGCTTGCTTGCACCTACTCGCGCGACATCACCTCACGAACCACCGCCCTCCGAACTCAATGCTCCGATGGCCGAGACGGAAGACGCAGGCGCCAATCCGGTGAACGAACCACTCGATCTCGTGCGACTCTCATTGAACGAAGTGGTTTTTGTCAAATTGCGAGGAGACAGGGAGTTGCAAGGACGGTTACACGTAGGACGATGCATGAAGAGAAGTGAAAGAAGGGCAATGCTAATGGATATTGAAACTACAGGCATATGACAGCCATTGTAACTTGGTCCTAGGCGACGTCACCGAGACGGTATACGTGGTAGACGAAGACGATGAAGCCGAGAACGTGCGGACGGTGAAGAAGCAGTCGGAGATGCTGTTTGTGAGAGGTGAGATATGAGTGCTGTCATTGTTGCGGTATCTTGGGCTGAAAATGGGGCTGCAGGTGATAGCGTCGTCCTCATATCGCCACAGCAATGATCTCAAAACACGGACTCGACACGAGGCGATCGAAAAGCAGCAGCAGCGAGCAGAAGCAGAGCCACGCCCCCCGAACGACCAACCGACCAGAAGCACGCCCACACATTGCGTATAGCGTACCGGAAGTCAGCACATGGCAGGGGGAAGTTGAGGATAACCCGGACGTGGAGCCTGCCTCAAGGGAGGAAGACTTCAGAGGAGCTTTTCTCATAAGAACTTCATACGTATTAACTGCATCAAAGCATCAGGCACTGCTACAAACGAGAAGGTCCTGCCGCGTAGCTTTGACTGTCGTCTCAGTTTTCTGTGTGTCGTGGCTGTTCTTCACGAACTCACTTTCCTTTACAAACATCACCTCACATGTGATCCATTTACGAGGATGAGGGACGTATATTTGGGCGACAACGCAGACATCTACTGCACGGCATAACGACGTGCAATGAAAAGAGCTTGACGATGATACCATGCCGTGCTTTGCTTTGCTATGGTTCTGCCGCTCTCTCGCTACGTCTGATCCGTCAAACTCAACAAATTTCACTTCCCATATGAACTACTGTGATGATCAAGAGGGTACATCGTGACGACTTCATACGTATTACTGCATTACAGCACCACAGGGTGCTACAGAGACCATCGCGACCGTGCCGAGCCGTACCATCGTTGTTACCGCATTCGTCAAACTGAACTGTTCTCCCAGGGTATCATCACACATCAAACAACCTCCCCTCCCCACAAACCTCTAAGCCGCCACCTCCCATCTACAACACCCCCCAAAAGCATACCCGACCCTCCCCTTCCTCTGCCTATACTGCCCAATCGTCAACCCCCTCCCCTCCCTCCCATCAAAGCTGGTCACAGAATAAACCTGCACACTCTGCCCGGGCCGCCCCAGATCCTGTGTTGGGACATCACACCACCACACCTCCCCGTTCGTCTCAAAGGGGACGTGGTTGCGCGGCGTGCCGCCCAGGCCGTCGAGATGCAGCACGTAGAGGTAGTGGGGGCCTTTGCCATGGCGCAACGGGTCGAAGTGCGGACAGATTTTTTGGAAGGAGAAGCGGACGGTGGGGCCGTGTTGTTGGGAGAGGGAGATTTTGCCGGTTTGTGGTTGGAAGGTGGTTTTGGAGAGGCCTTCTTCGGCGACGTAGCCCTGCAGAATTCATTATTAGCGACTGGTTTGGTGAGGTATGGTGTTTATGGCTTACGCTGAAGAAGTCGGCGCCGCAGCCGTTCTTGTTGCCGAGCATGTACTCCTCCCAGGTCATTCTTCTCCCGTCGTTGCGGAACTGCTTGCTGCTGTCCTCCGGGTAGTGGTCGAGCCCGAATTCATCGTTGCTTTGCGTAAACTTCTCGGGGTTGAACCCCTTCTTGTAACCTTCTCCGGGTCCATTGACCGTACCAGCACCCTGAAAATGAGATTAGCGACAGACACTCCAGGTTGCAAAAGAGAAAGTACATACCCAGCAGCAGTCAATGAGCTTCCACTCCCCACCATCAATCTTCACCGCATTCCAAGCGTGACCAGCATTGTACGGCGGTATAGGCTCGCCTGGCTTCAATGGACTGTAGCCGTACCCCTTGCCATTGCCTCCAACCACGATTGCTTCCAACCCTGCCTTCACTGCTATTGCAGCAAAAAGACCTGCATAGCCCTCGCAAACCGCCAGACCAGTCTGAAGAGTCGATTGGGGAGTAGACGGTCGCAGATTGCCGCTGAAGAAAGCCTCGGTATTATAGGCGATGTTGTGGTGAAGCCATGTGAAGATTGCACGAGCCTTGTCAGTAGGCGACGGGAAAGGTGAACACAGCTGTTTTGCCAGCCATCCAACATCCGACGAAGGTATCGACTCTCGCGGGAAACGAGCAGCGTGGTTGTCGGGGCCGGAAAAGTCTCGACAATGCATACAAGATCCACCTGCAGAGGGTGCAGCACCATACGCAGACGACGCCTGGACAGCAGGTGCGCTGCTTGGGGCCGGTGGTGCGCTGAGGTCTATATCAGCCTGGGCTGCCAGATCTTCGACCTTCCATTGAATGCCTTCCTTGCTCGCTCCCTCCATCTTGTCCACCTCTCTCCCATTTTGATAAAAGATGATGGTGGGCCAGGCTCGAATGCCATTGGCATCTCTGATATCGGTGTTGTGGTCCGTGTTGATCTTCAAGAACGCAACCAAACCTGGTCTCAACATCTCCAAAGAGAGCTTTTCATACTCTGGAGCCAGATTCCTGCATGGACCACACCAGTCGGCATAGAAGTCGGCGATCACCAGCCTTGTCGACGATACAATCTGGTTGTATTGAGCATATGAAGAGATAGCAACTGGTTTCGCAGGCGCACTAGCAGCGGCAGGCGTGCGGGCGGTGGCACCACCGTTTGGCTTCGGCTTTGAAGCAAGGAGCGCCTTGAGATCTGGCTTCGATGATGTAGGTAGCGGCGGAGGTCCACCGTTGCCTTGCCCAGCGTCTGGCCTTGCTGCTGGCACGGGAGGTGACTCAACAGCTTTGTTACCGAATCCCATGGCCAACGCCGATTGCCTGAGCCGTGGAGGAGGCGCAGGCTCGACACGCGACGGCGCAGGAGGAGGATTCTGTCGTCCTGGTCGAGGCGGCATCTCAGGCGCCGCCTCCTGTTGAGCTGAAGGCTGTCGACTTGGTAGAGCAGGCGGCGGGACAACAGTTGGCCTTGCAGGCGGTGGAGGAGTTGTGCCCTGCTGTCCTATCTGCTCAACCTTGGGGCTAGACTTGGTCTGCCTGAGAGGACGCATGCCGGCATACTTCCTGTCATGAGCCTCCCTCTCCTCCTTCGAACGCTTGGGCGGGAGCGCGGGTAATGCACTTGGGTCATATTCAGGAGCTCGAATACGATACTTCTCTCCTTGAGAAGTGAGGGACGTTGCTGTAGAAATTCCTGATACAGAAGATCGTCCAGTCGCCACAGAGCTCATAGAATCAGTCGAACCCCTTCGACTGCGCTCATAATCGGCCTGAGAAGGAGCCTCTGACGGCCGTCTTGGCGGTAGTGCAGGAGATGGTCTCTCTGATGGTCGTCTTGGCGGTAAAGCAGGGCCCTGCGATGCCTGTGACGACTGTGTCGACGTCCGAGCTGGCAGAGCAGGTCTTGAGACTCCATTGCCTCCATTAACCGGGATACCATTGCGGTTGGGCTGTTCAGGTTGATTTCCAATTGGTCGGTTCGCTGCCGGCACGTGTTCCTGCGTGGGAGGAACGTTGGTACTCTGCGGTCGTTCTGGTCTGGCAGGTAACGACGGCCTTGGAGGAGGTGGTGGGCGTGGTCGGCCTGTGTTTGTTGTTGACGCCGTACCATTCGTCGCCTTCTCGTAGCTTGGTGGTGGAGTTCCTGGCACCTTTCCAACTTGGGAGAGTTTCAGGGCCGCAATGCGCTCCGCGATGGAGCTGGGTGCCGGTTCGTCGGCCATGCTGCTTCGAACGACGTGGCAAGAGTTTCAGAACACAAAGAACAAAACAGAATATACAGCTCGCAGGTCGGAAAGAGCTAAAACATAGCAGTGGCCATGTGGTAGGATCGAGAGCCTCGGAAAGTTCGTCGCCGCTGCGTGCCAACGTGCTGCGCCCAGGCTGCCTTGGTCTGCCTGTCCAACGACCGATTTAGCTGTGCCACGGCCAGATCCTTCGAGGTACAAAGGGGCGAGATCTTCAAGGAACGGCCAGTCCTGGAAGTGTAGAAGAAAGAATGCCTCCTCGGTGCTGTATTCTTCGCAGTGGTGTTATCTGTCTTTGCCAATCCTGTCGCCACGCGTCGAAGCGGCGTGCAAAGAGTCGGTGGGGCTGTCCAAACGAGAGTGAGTGGAATCTGTCGGTGGCGGCAAGAGGTAACCGTTCGCTATAGCCGCGCGCCAGAGAGTCGCAATAAGGAGATGAACGCCCTCGCCACTTGACGGATCGAATTATTAGTATTGAAGAGTGTTCTCTTCAAGTTCGAAACATTTCAGACAGTCACAGCCACGGCCCATGAAAGTTTAGGGGCGAATCCCTCACGCCAATAGCCCCAACTTAAATGAGCACATGCTTGACCGGTCACGAGACAGATATGGATACGAGTCAGTTTGATTTTCATGTCATTTGCATTCAGACCACATTTGCGTAAAGCGTCGAAGACGACACCCTCCCATTGCAGAATTCGCATTCCTCGCAGGACCCGCTATGCATCACATTGGTTGACTTTTTCTTCTTTGCCTCATCCTGCCTCTTTCTTTCTCCTTGAAACGCAGCCAGCCCATAACGTGGTTTCTCTCTCCAACCCATTACCTCCCTTTCTTGCACCCAGCTTCTTGAATGAAGGACAGTCGCGGAAAAGGTCGATCACGCGCAAAGACAAGAAAGCCCAAGCACCAGAACACACGCAGAAAGCTCTCCATAGTCAACAAACGAAATTCATGTCGTCATGAAAGACATCCTCCCATGAGATCGCAACGCCGGTCAGGTTGTTTGACTCTATGTTCGCGTCTCCCCTTTTTCGTCTGTATTGCTCCGTTCATCTTTGCTTGTGGTTGAAAGTTTCAGAATCAATCCATGCACACTCGAGTTGGTATGTTTGCGGGCGGCTGTTGGGTGAGATGGGTCTCGTCACCTCTACCGCTTGCGCTTCTTGTTCTTATCTGGCAATGCGGGCGCCAGGAAGTAGCCGTTGGCAGGCATTGTCGCTTGTTGCTGAGGAGTCTCTTCCTCCTCCTCGTCCGGCTGATATTCTTCAGCCTTCTTGACTGTGACTCCCATATGACGACCATAGCGTCCCTTGCGTCCGTTGCCCTCGTCCTCGCTGACGCAACCTTCGATGCCAATGCCAGCATCACGGCAGCGACCACATGGCCGCTGACGATCGCAGCCTTTCTTGCTCTTGCGGCAACGCTGGCAACGAGGCTTGGACGACAAGTCCTCTTCGTCCGCACCGAGCTGGTGCTGGAAGTTGATCGTCGATGCGATGGACGCTTTGCGCGACTGAGATGGCAGGGATGCAGGCGACATCGGCACCTTGGACGAGCCCATAGATGTCTTCTTCGCCTTGGAGATGGAGAGAGCGCGGGGCTTGCCAGACTTGATTGCAGCGCCGTTCAGACCACTGCCCTGTCGAGGCTTGCTCTTTGACTTGCCCATTTTCCGCTGGCCGTCCTCCATAACCACATCCTCGCCACCAAAGGTGCCATCACGGTGATCCTCATACTCTTCACCACTGGTGCCGTCGCTTGGCAGCTCATTCATGGTCCGCTGCTTCTTCCTCTGAGGACCGGCGTCCTCCTTGTTGTATCGAGCCATGAGTGGCAGACTCGCATCCTCATCATCTTCATCCTCCTCTTCCTCGTCCTCCTCGTCGTCATCCGACGAAGCTGCTTCAGCCTTGCCGCTCAAGGCATCGTCAACGGTCGATGTCGACGTTCGTCCATGCGAGAAGGTGGTAGGGTCGCCGAGGCGCATCAGTTGCAGAGCGACATCCTCATCGGATATGACACTTCCGATGGTAGGATCCGGAGTTGGGAGGATGCCACCGCCAGAGTTGCGGTTCGAGCTGTAGCTGGCGCCGCTGGCTCGACCTCCTCGCAGCTGTCTGCTCGGCGGTTGGAACCCGTTGTAGTATGGGTTACTGGGGAACGGTGGCTGCACGAAGCCAGGTGCGGTGCCATAGCTGTGGGGGGAGGGCATTGGCTGCGTGTAGGAGAAAGTCTGCTGGTTGGTGTTTGGGTATGGCGACGCATTCGGTCCTGCCCGACGTTGAGGCGAGATCGATGAGATGGAGTTGCTCATCGGCACCTGTGGTGGGACAAACAATGGGAGTTCCTGAGATTGTTAGTGATGTGTTGCGCACATCGCACGTTGGCAGGTCACTCACCGAACTCTCGAACGCCCTCTTTCTTCGACCACCCTCAACGATGTTGTCGACGGTAATCTCAGCCTTGATCTCCTCAGCCTTAGAACGGCGGGAGCTGGTGACAGAAGCATTCTCATTGTCACCGCTGCTGTAGCCATCACCATCGCCGGCCACGCTGTTGTCTTTGCTCTTCGTTCTGGACGTTCGAGGCTTGCCACTGGGCGCCGCAGACGCACTACGTCTACCAAGCTCGGACTGTGGAGACACGCTACGAGCTCCAGCAGACCGATGCGCGGTTCTTGAGGGGGAGAGGTTGAGGCTGTGCGATGGCGGGCGCATTTCGAACGCTGCACCGAGGAGTTTCTTTGGCGAGGCAGAATCTCTCTGGTCAGCGATGACAGAGGGTGGAGGAGCGACAGTCCTGACATAGACAGTCATGTCATTCTCGAAGTTGTCAAAGGCTGCAATGATGCCAATGCCATCCTTGTTCTCGAAGCTCACACCGTACTCGTACAGCCCGTAGAAGTTCTTGACTGTGGTGATGATCGATTCTGTAGTATCGTGGGGTTGTATCATGACCCTCATAGGGAGACGGGCCTGGATACGAGGGTCCTTCGGATCTATGAGTTGGAAGACGACATGTCTCTGATCCTTCTTGGCTGGCGACCCTCGAGGGTATCCGGACATGGCGGCAGCACCATTACTGCCTCTCAAGGAGCGATGACCGTTTCCAAAGGTTGAATTCGCATCATACTGCTCATCCGAAGCGAGACCGCCATGGCGTGTTGGGTATTGGTGGTTCTGCTTCTTGATATCCGCCGCGCTGGCAGCATTCGGGGCACCGTTCGATAACATGCTCGAAACGTCCATATCTCAATCTTTCTGAAGTCTTATCGTATCGGCAGCGTACAGCGACGTGCTGGCAATGTATTCGGTGCGAATTGGAGCTGGTACTGAGATATGTGCCACTCACGCTGTCGTCGGCGCAAAAGCAGGGATCGGATACGAGGCGCTCACGGCGACGGCGAGACGACTCGATCTGCAGAAACAACTGTCAGCTATTCGTTATCAGACGTGGTCGCGAGGTCCGTTAGGCGTCATGGCAGTCACGGAGGCGTCTGGCGGGCGGTTTGGAAAGGGATGGGCGGTATGTCCTGGGCAGCTGACCCCGAGCGAAGGCGAGGTCGGAAGACGATGATATTGGGGTGCGAGTGAGGTTTTTGAGGCCGACTTGAAACTCACCGGGGATCGCCGTCACCCAGTGAAGGCGGGCGATGGTCGTTTGATGGGTTTGGAGGTGAAGGTCGCTCACCTCGCTGCCGATGCCGCCGCAGCGTCACCGCACGGGCAGAGAGAGGAGAGAGGCGAACGGCAGTGCTACCGCAGTAAATGCAGTGGACAAGGAGGTTTGCGCAAGAAAGGAAGGCCTCTTGACAACCAAACCCGACCTTTGTCAAGTGGTGTTGGGTGGCATGGCATGAGAAGGCGCAGGCGAGAAGTGGAGTGCGAGTGTGAAGAATCCCGCTTCGGTCTACGGCAGCATCCTGGGATCGAGCACTTGGACTCCCTCTCTCGCCCGGCACGAACACCACTCTGCACATCACGGCAAGCGCCCTAACTCTCCAGCTGTCTACCTCATCTGTGCACGCAGTCTGCCAACGTGATTCGCAGACATTCCTGTTCTTCCGGTACGAATAGCCGCCATGAAGCCGTTGAGACAAAGAAGCAGCCGACTCCCACGCAGCATGTCACCGCACGCACCCTCTCAAAGTTACATACGGCCAGGACTACATCCCGCTCCAGCGCACAACTCAGCAGCGCCAACTCCAGAGCGAAAGAGAGTCTCTGGCTTAGCTGCATGGCACCCCGAGCCAGACTGCACGTACGCACAAGCCGTCAGGGCCGATGAGGGAGCATGGCTGCGGTCTGCGCTCCAATCAAGTCCCACGTTGGAGTCGATCAGCCGCCAGGTTGCCCACACCATCTGGCGCTGATAAGTCAATGCGCAACACTGCCATGCCGGCGACCTTGATGGGAAACAGCAATGGTCTGGTATGATGGCGTGGAGGACAGCGCGCGAGTGTGAGCAGGCCCAGATGGGATGCCGACTGTTGCCATGGATGCACAGGCGGCTTGGTGCGACGCTGTAGACAAGTCGAACCTCTGGCCCGAAAGCAAGGTAGCAAGTATGTAGCGACCAGCGCTGTTGCACCGTGAGCGGTTTCACCTATAGATCGCGGTCGTCTGCGGAGCGATGCGGCGAGCATATTGCGCAGACGATTATCCACAAAGGTGGTCTGGCTGTCGCACCTCGTCATGGAATGGCAACACACAAAGCGGTTGCATATCTTGCAAACTCGAGCATAGCGCAAAGTCAGCAATTTCTGTTAGTCTGCGGTGTGCCCGCCGAGGACGGCACGAGCAGCATCATCACAGTTCTTTTAGACTCCCTCGGGCAGGTTGGAGCATGCAGCGATTATGTACCTTGAAGAGGGGTCTCGATCTCGAACTGCGGCACCCAGCAGCAGCCGCGCCGACTTTGGGTTTCATGCTACGGCGGAGATTTCTCAGCGATAGGCTGCCAGTGCCAGCGCATATCCCGTGGGCCGACACTTATTGTTTTGCCAGCACGACGCACACCGCCAGGTTGACACAGAAACCAATTGAAGCTGATTGAGGACGACATTTTCGATTTTGAGGTTGCGATTGTTCAGCATTTTCATCACGTGCTGACGTGTGGGCTGGCGTTGAGCATTGTTGATTTCGACGCGATTGATCCTACTCGCAGTCAAGGGGCCTTATTGAGGTCAGAGTGTCAGGCGCATTGCCAAAACATGGTTGGATAGATTTTATTGAGTGTTGCGACAAATTTTATGGGCATTGTGAATAGTCTTGAGGCTGGCGCATTGTGAGCGCTGTGGATTTTGCATGTTGGTGAAGTCGGAAGAGACGTGTTGAAGCTCTCGGCAGAGATGAGGTCACAGCTTAGCTCCATTGCCGTTTGAGTGGTTTGGTAAGCCACGCAATATGAGAGATGCCGCTCAGCCGTTGACTCTGCGGCCCCTGGATCGTTCAGAAGAATAATCCCCGGTGGTGAAGGTAGACTCCCAGATGGTTTTGTCATGTGCAAACTTCGACGAGATTCGTGAAAAAGTGAAGTTGCAACAGGTGAAAGCCGCCAGCCAAGCCCTTCAGAAGTGTGGAATGTTGCTAGGGCCACCACGTCCCGAGCCGCGACTAGCGAGAGAGTCTACCCGCAGGGAACGCGCTTTCCAAGCTCGGGCTTGTTTGTTTGGGGCCGATCCTCTCATCAAGAGATTGAGCACGGTCGCCATTTACTTGGTGCTCGTCAACCACATCACATACGCCAGCAGCACCACCCCAGCAGCGATACCGCCCACCCGCACCGCCACCACCGCTGGCGGACGACGACGACATCGAGGTGCTGCGAGCGAGCGAGCGACGCTGCGCCGGCTGCTGTTGTTGTGGCTCCTGCTGCCGACATTGAGCTCGAGGACGACGCCGACCAGCACGACCTCACGCGCGACATTCGCCTCTTCGCACCTCGTCACGGGCGACGACGACGTCCAGCACTCCTCTGCATTCCAATAACGTGATCAGAGCATATCCACGCCGTCATGGACGCGAAGGTAAGCCATCACTGACCTGCTGTGCACTTCACCCAGCGCCTTCACTTCTGCTGCACTCTCCCGCTTCACCTTCAAGCATCCCACAATATCACCCGCCCAAGTCACACTCCCCGATCATACTCCACCATCATCTCCCTCCACCTGCAACTCCGACACACTTGCCTTCTGCAACCGACCACACTCAACGAGCCTTTCCAAACCATCCCTCATGACCTCCTCACTCACTCATATCCCTCGACAGCCGCAGAGACCGCTCGCAGCACGTGCGATGCGCAACACCGACGAGAACATGCCGATCCACACCGCGACTGCCCTCACCGGCAAGACCCTCCACCAGCGAAGCAAGTCCATCACCACAATCAACAGCAAGAGGGTGCTTGGCGAGACGAACACCAACCTCAAGGTAGCTCCGAAAGACGACTCCGAGATTGGCAAGGCTTCACCAGGGAAGATTCGAATTGGAGAAGAGCCACAAATACCAGCGCAGGCGTTCCAGCGTCCAGCAGTCCGTCCCCTCGGCGTTAAGAGCGCATCGAGTCAGAACGTGCCGCTGAAGTCACAACAAATGCCAACGACAGGCGAGAACCCAGTGAAGAAGATTGTGGCCAAGAAGAGCAAGGTCCTTCGTGACACCCTTCCAGCATCCGCGCAACAAGAGGGCATTGCCAAGGAGTCGAACACGGTCCCAGCATCGGACACAGTCGCTGCTCCTTCGCAGCCAGTGGCAGCTCTCAAGCAAAACACGAGCGTCCAGGAAGTTCACAGAGTCGAGAATGTGCCTCTTCGCGACGAACCTGTTGCTAGACCACAGGCGCAACCAGCCCAGGTCAACAACTCGTATGGCGTTCCTCTCCCGACGATTCCACAGGCCCAGTATCCATATGCATACCAACCCGTTCATGCCCCCGTCCCCACGACAGCTCACATTGCCCCTGCCACCACAGTCCCTCAAGTGCAGCTAGCCACCCCGCCCACCGACCAGTACATCGAGGACGACTTCGATGATGAGGACCAGGACTACATGACTGCCCAGTCGTTCGATCTCCGTGGAGAGCTCACCGAGACGACGATCTTCAATCCTCAGCACGGAAAGAAGCACAAGCAAGAGCTTGCTGATGCGAAGGTATGGGTGGAGGCCAACCGTACTGCTGAAGACATCGAGGATGAGCAGTGGGATACGTCGATGGTGGCTGAGTATGGCGACGACATCTTCGAATACATGCGCGATATGGAGACTCGGATGTCGCCGAACCCATACTACATGGAGCAGCAGACGGAGATCCAATGGTCCATGCGAGGAGTGCTCATGGATTGGGTCGTGCAAGTCCACCAGCGCTTCAACCTGCTACCCGAGACCCTCTTCCTCACCATCAACTACATCGACCGCTTCCTGTCTTGCAAGATAGTCTCCTTGGGCAAGCTGCAGTTGGTTGGTGCTACGGCCATCTTCGTCGCCGCCAAGTACGAGGAGGTGAACTGCCCAACCATCCAAGAGATCATTTATATGGTGGACAATGGATACACTGCAGAGGAGCTTCTCAAGGCCGAGCGATTCATGCTCAGCATGCTGCAGTTCGAGCTGGGATGGCCTGGCCCCATGAGCTTCCTCCGACGCATCAGCAAGGCCGACGACTACGACCTGGAGACCCGCACACTGGCCAAGTACTTCCTGGAGGTGACGATCATGGACGAGCGGTTCGTAGGCTGCAAGCCAAGCTTCCTCGCTGCTGGTGCTCACTGCATGGCTCGCCTCATGCTTCGGAAAGGAGACTGGACCACGGCACACGTCTACTACTCCAACTACACGTTCCGCCAGCTGCATCGTTTGCTCGGTGCCATCTTCGAGTGCTGCTTGGATGGCCAGACTCATCACGGTGCCGTGTTCGACAAGTACACCGACAAGCGGTACAAGCGTGCTTCGACGTTCGTCCGTGGTGAGATCGTGCGCGGTTTCAAGCTCCCATTCAACTACCGCAGCAGCTCCATGGGCCCACAGAACACCACTGGCAACATGCCGATGCAGTAAAGCTGCTCATTTCGTATGGTAAGGCGGAGAGTAGCACTTTGAAGACTGAATCACACTAATCAAGAGGACAGCTCCTTTGTCTCCACGGTCGTTCCTAGGACCAGTTCCATTTTGGCACCTCGATCAGCATCGAGGCGTTGGGTGTCATTCTTCAGTCTTTTCGGCGTACAGGGTGGGCAAGCGACGACTGCGACGGCTTGACGACGATACGATCGACTAATACCGGCTTCTACAACCGTCTGAGCACCAGCTTTCTTTGTGGTATGTATGCTTCTCTCTCATTTCCTTCTCTGCGGCGGCGGATCGCGGACGGCGGTTGGCATGGGCAGAGCACAAGCGGCACGGCAACTCGTTGGTGTCCTCCGAGCAGTTACTGGAGATTTGGGAGGAGGCGTTGTACATGGAGCTCCGTTGAGGGAGGTCTAATGGGCCAAAGGTTGGCTCTTCTCATAGATGGGAGGCGTTGAGTTTGAGTATGCTTCCAGAATACCCTCTTGACAGTAGGGTTGGGATTGCATAGAAAAGGATTGAGCGCATTGAAAGCTAGCACTGATCTCCGTTTCCGTCATCGTCACCATGTCGACGACAACAAAGAACATGGCCATCAGCATCTCCTCCCCACCACCGGATGTGCGAGCAAGGAGTTCTAAATTCAGCCCAGCCATGGACGACTTCCCCGCCGCCCCCACTTCCATTCGGTCCCTTCGCGCTCTGGCTTGACCGAGACGCCATCGGCTTCTCCTGCAGGCACACTCGTTCCTGCGACAGCTCAACTTTTTTCCCCGACGAGCTGCGCGCCCGTTCACGCCTGTGCAATCTGGCGCCAGCCTATCCCCATCCCTGCCTGGGCAAGTAGGTGCAGGTGTCGATGATATCGGGGCGGGCCATGATGTTGGTCGTCCCCAAGAGCGGAAGCGCAGTGGGGATCCGCAGACTGCAGATGAGAGCTCGCAGACACTGACCGATTCCCCTTATACATGAGCTTGTTGAGAGCTAGAGCTGCAAGAAGCCTCCCTATTCCTCCCTCTTCTCACACCGCTCAATTCTTCCTACTCTCTCAGACTCCCATTGTTTCCTCCTTGACTTCGCTCACGCATCTTCACCTACCTGGTAAGTCTTAGACATTGGGCATTGGCCGGCATTGGGTTCTCGGTTGACAGATCTGTTCCACAGAATCAATCCAGATCATACACATATACCTTCATCATGTCTCAGAAGCCAGTCCTCGTCGAGACCGCCTCCCTCCACGGCAAGGTCGCCCTCATCACTGGTGCCGGCCGTGGCATTGGCAGAGGATGTGCCATTGAGCTGGGCAAGCGCGGTGCGAGCGTCGTCGTCAACTACGCCAACAGCAAGTCGGCCGCCGACGAGGTCTGCAAGATCATCGAGAGCTCTGGCACCGGCGCCAAGTCCATCAGCATCCAGGCCGATGTGAGCAAGAAGTCTGAGATCGAGCGCCTCTTCCAGGAGACCAAGAAGCACTTTGGCAAGATCGACATCGTCATGAGCAACAGCGGTACCGAGTCCTGGGACAAGACTGAGGAGATCAGCGAGGAGAAGTACGACCACGTCTTCAACCTCAATGCTCGTGCGCAGTTCTTTGTTGGCCAGACTGCGTGGAAGTACCTCGAGAACAACGGCCGTCTTATCCTGATGAGCTCCATTGCTGCTGGTCTCCTTGGTGTCAAGGACCACGTCCTTTACAACGCATCCAAGATGGCTGTCATTGGTATGATCAAGGGTTTCGCCACTGACTTTGGTGTCCGCGGTATCACCGTCAACGGTGTTGCACCAGGTGGTATCAAGTCGGACATGTTCACCCAGAACGCATGGCACTACATTGTGAGTAGAACATGAGCTCGAAGATGGACACTTGTGACTGAATTATGTCTTTCTAGCCCGGCGCAACTCCAGACTGGCCAGCCGACAAGATCGAGGGCATGATGGCTGAGCACTGCCCATTGAAGCGTTGTGCTACTCCAGAGGATGTCGCCCGCGTTGTTGCTTTCCTTGCCTCTGAGGACGGTGGCTGGGTCAACGGTGAGCCTTGATCATGCTGTCAATGGAAACAAGCCCGGATGCTAATGAATTTCGTAGGCCAAGTCATCACCATCTCCGGCGGCTCTTCCCAGTAAAAGCCTCGTTTCTCGTTGCAAGTGCATGATAGCGGTTTGGGGAAATTGGCGTCATGCTTCACGACAGATTTCAGTCATGACGGGCATGAGGCGGGAAGGGTTAGGAACGGATAGAGGTTTTCCAAACAAAAGCTTCTGGTGCTGCATGGATAGGAGAAGCGTTGTTGGGTTATGGAACAAGGGATCTGGGAATTGATTGATGCGATACTTATGTAGCCAGTCAGAACTGTGCGAAAGGAATGAATGAGAGGTGTTTTGTGATGTTGAACATGTCGTTATTTTCTCTGCGGTGACATGGTGTGACCTGGCAAGCCAGCAGGGGATCTTCTGGTGATCCACTTTCGCGTGGGAACCTCGGGTCTGGGGCGAGGACCTTCGAGATCACGACATCAACAACAACTTCGTCTTCAAATATCATAAACTGAACTTTTCAAGCCTATCCCATCAAGAGCGAACCAGTGAGAAGTCAGTGAACGCCTACCATAAGGTCTTGTGACGAGCACATCACGAACGAGACGCCGATACTCGGCGATTAGCGCCTTCATCGAAGACATCCATTAACGAGTCGACTTCATTGAGACACTGAGCATTCCCCGGCCATCGGATCGACCTGAACAAGAAAGACATCGAGCCTCTGTGCAGAACCCAGGACTTCAGCCCCGTTCTCAGTCTGACAGAACATCCAGACAAACGGCCCACGGACAACGTCCTTCAAAATGCATATTCTCGTGAGTCTTGAGCAGGCTAACAACATGCTATGGTTCTTACTGATTTTCATAAGGTGACAAACGACGATGGACCGCCTTCCAACCAGTCTTCTCCATATATCTTGCCTTTTGTCAAGAACCTCGAGGAAGCTGGCCATTTTGTGTCCGTCATAGTCCCGGATACTCAACGGTCGTGGATAGGCAAAGCCCATATGGTCGGTCAAGACGTGCGAGCGTCGTTCTACTGGCCGCCGAGCAATAACCCGGAGATCCACCACGACGCGGTGTCAGAAGGTGACAATGGCAAGCAACCTTGGGTCCTGGTCAACTCGACACCCGCCGGTTGTGCACAACTGGGCTTGAGCCACTTCTTTCACGAGCGAGGTCCTATCGACCTGGTCATCTCTGGTCCCAACTATGGCCGCAACACAACAGCTGTCTTTGCTCTATCGTCAGGTACTCTAGGTGCTGCATTAGAAGCAAGCGTCTGCGGCTACCGAGCCATAGCCCTCTCCTTCGCCTTCTTCGACCGCAAGAATGACCCTGAAATTGTAGCAGAAAGCTGCAGACAGAGCGTAAGAGTCTGCGAATGGCTGGCAAAGAACGCCAAATGGGACCCCGCCCAACTCTACAGCGTCAACGTCCCCGTCAAGAAAGGAGTGCTCGACTCTCGAATCTCCTGGACGAAGATGCTCCAGAACCAATGGCAGAAAGGCGCATGCTTTCAAGAGCTACCACTAGCTGCTGGCGTTGATGACCCAGCTACTGAGGAGGCAGAGCTGAGGAAACAGGAGAGTAGAGCTTTGGGTGCTGAACAGAGTGGGACTGCTACGCCGGCGAATCAATGGCGACCTAGGCATTTCAAGTGGGCTCCGAGATTTACGGATGTTTATGATAGTGTGCTGAAGAATGGGCCTGGGTCGGACGGGTGGGCTGTCAAAGAGGGAGAGACGAGTATTACTGCTTTGAAGGCGAACTTCATGCATGCCGAGGGATACGAAGGGGAGGTGAAGTTGTAGGAAAGTCAGCACGGGCACGGCTGCTGAAATGGAATCCGAGTTTCCTGCTATGTATACAAAACATCTGATATCAAAAGTACCACATGAGGTTCCGACATTCGTCGACGATGTCAACGTCGGAGTGGTATAGCCGTTTGAATATGGAGACGCAGGTACCAACTCTCACGTCACCATTGGCTGGGGCCAGAATTCCGGAGCTCTCGACCACGCAAAGCATCGTGGCTGTGCCTGTCACCGACCCTTCGCGCCGCCAATGCTAGGCACATGCGACCAACATCACCGCCTCCGCCGCCGCCGCCGTAGTGGTAAGGCTAGAATTCCTCGAATAGATCCTCCCTTGCATATACGAATACAGATCCCCCACACAGTATGCTCTTGCGGAGAATGCTGGTGGTTCGTTCGGAGTGTGAAAGAGCTATGCGTTCGGCTGGTTGAAGAAGAGCAGAGCACACGAAGAGCACTTTCTTGACGTATAGCCATGGCGGGTTCAGAGGATCCGAACAATGAGGGGGGAGTTCGAAGGAGACATTCTGGACACTATGAAGACAGTGATGGAGAAGTGAACCGCGAGAACGATGGCATTCAGACAGGCACGCGACACGTCCACGACACTCGCCAATCTGCGGATTATTCAGGACACCGCGTGCGATTCTCTGCGGATGTGGAACGACGTCCGGAGAACAAGAAAAGGAAGAGCGATGAGGTCGTCGAGACAGGTTCGAAAGCGCCAAATCTGTCCGTGGATACATCCCGTGCCGCTGAGGAAGGTCGCGTGACCACCGGTGGTGGTGGTAGCTTTCTGGGTGAAGGCACGGTCAAGTCTCCCACGAGCAATACGACGAGTCCCGTGTCGCCGCGGTATGAGCTGGGATCGCCTACGGCTAGGAACAGGGGCATGTCTTTACGCTCGGCGCTGTTAGCGAGGAATATGGGAAGGAGACAGTCGAGTGGGATTGAGTTGCAGGATGTGGGACCTTCCAGTGGGGAGGCAGGGAGCGATTCGAGACCGCAGACGGCCAAGAAGGCCTCAAGGACTTCGATTACGGTTACGCCTGTGGAGGGTGTGTTTGAGAATCCGATAAAGCCGGTCTCGAAGGCGCAGACGACTTCTGCTCTTCCGCATTATCAGCAGTGGGTGAAGAAGAACGCTCGAAGGCATTTGCCTCTGGAGAGAGTTCAAAACGTGTCGGAGCGTGTGCGGAAGTTCGTTCTCAGGATCCAGGAGATTCCGCCGTCGAAGGATGGTCGACATATCCAGTTGGACGCTTCGAGGAAGATGAATTTGGTTGATGAGAGGACCGGCAGGCCTTATGTCTCGAACTTGATCCGGTCGTCGAAGTATACGGCCTGGAACTTTGTGTGAGTATCGGAACGGCCATCTGTGCTAGTCGTATTGATACTGACAAGGTCTTGGTGTACAGCCCACGACAACTGTTTGCCCAGTTCTCCAAATTTGCCAACTTCTACTTCCTGTGCGTTTCCATTCTCCAGATGATCCCTGGTCTGTCGACTACCGGTACATATACGACCATTGTGCCTCTCTTGTTCTTCGTCTCGCTCTCCATGGGCAAGGAAGGCTATGAGGATTTGCGAAGACATCGTCTTGACAAAGCAGAGAACAACCGTGAAGCGAAAGTGCTCCGCAAATACAAGGCCGTCGAAGCGAATGGTCGGGACGCCGAGGCTGCGAATGTACCAAACGGGCCCATCCACTGGGCACCGATCAAGTGGCAGAACCTCCAGGTCGGCGACATCGTAAAGCTGGAACGTGACGAAGCAATCCCTGCCGATATACTTGTTCTGGGAAGTAAAGGTCCGAACAACACAGCGTACGTAGAGACTATGGCTCTCGATGGGGAGACCAATCTCAAACCGAAGCAGCCTCTTTCTGCAACAGTCGATGCAGCTCGAAGTATAGAGGCGCTCGCGGCAGCCGAGATGGAAGTCGTTGTTGAAGACCCGAACATCGATCTCTACAACTTCGAAGGCAAACTGACCACCGACGGCAAGACCTCTCCTCTTACCAACAACGAAATCATCTATCGCGGCAGTGTTCTTCGCAATACCCCTGAGGCCATCGGCATGATCATCTACAGTGGAGAAGAATGCAAAATTCGCATGAACGCCAACAAGAACCCTCGCATCAAGGCACCTCAGCTCCAGACTGTCGTCAACAGGATCGTCTTGTGCATTGCCGGCTTTGTGATCTTCTTGGCTCTCTTCAACAGCATCGCTTACCAGGTCTGGCAGAATACTACAGAAAAGCAGGCGTGGTACATTGAGAACGCTCCTGTGTCTTTCGGGCCGCTCTTCACGTCTTTTATTATCATGTTTAACACTTTGATCCCACTTTCACTTTATGTGAGCTTGGAGATCATCAAAGTGGCACAGATGGTCTTATTGAATGACATTGACATGTACGACGAGGAGAGCAATACACCATTCGAAGCAAGGACTTCAACGATCAACGAGGAGCTTGGGCAAGTTGGGTACATCTTTTCTGACAAGACTGGAACGCTCACAGAGAATGTCATGCGGTTCAGGAAGATGAGCGTTGCTGGGACTGCGTGGTTGCACGACACCGATCTCCAGCAGCAGGATGACGATGCAGAGCCTTTGAAGCACAAGAAGAGGTCGAGAAGCAAAGGGAAACGACCCGCATGGAAGCCTCGGAAATCAACTTCTCGCTCAATCGCTGCTGCGCAGGAGGAACGCGAGGCTACCGAGCCTTTGAGACCGAGTGAAGGCGCACAACTGCCTCGACGTTCGACATCGCAATGGATATCATCAGCTGTTCCGGCGATGGAGCAGAATGAGAAGAGCACACAAGAGCTCATCCAGCATATTCAGCGTTATCCGCAGACTGCTTTTGCGAATCGTGCCAAGATGATGATCTTGTCGATGGCTCTTTGTCATACTTGTTTACCGGAACGTGGTGAAGACGACGAGACCGACGATGGAGTCACTTTCCAGGCATCCTCGCCTGATGAGCTCGCGCTGGTGCAGGCTGCCAAAGAGCTTGGTTATTTGGCGTACGAGCGGGATGCCTCTGTTCTTACGTTAAAGACGTACCCCTATGGACCCGGTGGTGAAGCTGCGTTCGAGAAGTACGAGATCCTGGATGTCGTGGAGTTCTCGTCAAAACGGAAGAGGATGTCAGTCGTTGTTCGTATGCCAGACGGCAAGATCTGCACGATTTGCAAGGGCGCTGACTCAGTCATCATGCCACGCCTTCGACTGGCCGCCATTGCGAATCAGACACTTGCTGAGATCGAGAAGCGTACAATCCAGCGCAAGTCGATGGAAGCTCAAGAAGCACTCCGTCGGAAGAGCAGCATGATCGAGCGGCAAGGCAGCGTCAGTAGTATGCCTCGGACGAGCAATTCGCTGGCAAGAAGAAGTACGACTATTGGGAGAGCCAGCATGGGCAGGCTGGAGCCGATTCGAGATGATGTTGACAACTGGCTCGCGGATCGTGAGCAAGATGTTGATCAATCGCCCAGGGTGTCTGCCCACTTCCGAGCTTCGATGGCATTGTCTGATCGCCGTCGTCAGTCGTATTACGATGGGGAAGTGCCTGTCGACGATACTCTGGCGACTGATGAGAAGTATGTCATTGAGAGGTGTCTTCAGCATATCAACGACTTTGCCACGGAAGGATTGCGGACTTTGCTCTATGGCTATCGGTTCTTGGATGACGAAGAGTACAAATCCTGGAAGAAGATCTATCACGATGCTACAACTTCGCTCGTCGATCGTCAGCTGCTGATCGAAAAAGCGGGCGAGATGATTGAGCATCAATTGGAGTTGGGTGGTGCGACTGCCATTGAAGACAAGCTGCAGAAAGGGGTGCCAGAGACGATTGATCGCCTGCGCCGTGCGAATATCAAGATGTGGATACTGACGGGTGACAAACGCGAGACGGCTGTCAACATTGGCCACAGCTGCCGACTCATCAAAGACTACTCCTCAGTCACTGTGCTGGACTACGAAGCAGGCGATATCGAGCAGAACATCGCCGCCTCAATCATCGACATCAACCGCGGCGGCGTGGCACATTCCGTCGTGGTCATCGACGGACAAGCCCTCGCCACTCTCCAAACCGACGATTCCCTGCACACGCTCTTCCTAGACCTCGCCATCCTTACGGATTCGGTCATCTGCTGCCGAGCCTCGCCCTCCCAAAAAGCCGGCCTCGTCAACGCCATCCGGACCCGCCTCAAAGGTAGCGTCACCCTCGCCATTGGCGATGGCGCGAACGACATTGCTATGATCCAGGAGGCGCAAGTCGGCATCGGTATCACGGGCAAAGAAGGCCTACAAGCTGCGAGGACCTCAGATTACGCCATTGCTCAGTTCAGATTCCTGGCGAAGCTGCTGCTTGTGCATGGGCGATGGAATTACATCCGGACGTGTAAGTATGCGGTGGGGACGTTTGCGAAGGAGGTGAGTCTCTTGAGATGTTCCGGAGAGTGGAACGTGATGCTAACGATGACCAGATGCTCTTCTACCTCACCCAGGCGCTGTATCAAAGATACAATGGCTACAGCGGAACCAGCTTGTATGAGTCCTGGTCGCTTTCGATGTTCAACACTTTGTTCACGAGTTTGGTGAGTATCGAAGTTGACACCATGTGTGTCCTGGATACGCTGACTCTTTGTAGACCATCATCTTCCTGGGTATCTTTGAGCAGGACCTTCGCGCTTCTACACTCCTGGCTGTTCCTGAACTGTATACTAAGGGCCAACGCTCTGGTGGCTTCAACATTAAGGTCTATCTTGGATGGATGGTGAGTTAAGCAGGACACTTTGGACGCTCTCGTGCTGATATACGTCCAGTTGATCGCCGTCTCCGAGGCCATGATAATCTTCTTCTCGATGTGGGGTCTTTGGGGCGATGCAATCGTAAGTCACAGCGAAAGCTTTATTTCTTGTACCACAACACCGACTGATATATCGCAGTTCTCCGCCGAAAACACCATCTTCCCCATGGGCAACATGACCTTCACCGCCTGCGTCCTAGTCATCACACTCAAACTCCAAATCATCGAACACCGCTACAAATCCGTCATGGCGCTCATCGCCTGCGTGCTCTCCGTCGGCGGCTGGTTTCTCTGGAACATCATCCTCGGCGCCCTGTACGCCAACAACATGGAATACAACGTCAAGGGAGGCATTTTCGAGCGCTGGGGCCGCAGCGCGCTGTGGTGGCTCGTGCTGATCGTGAGCGTGACGGCGTGTGGGTTGTTGGAGATTGGGATCCGCGCGGTGAAGGCGGCATTTTGGACGACGGATGTGGAGGTTTTTCAGACGTTGGAGGGGGATGCGAGTGTGAGGAGGAGGTTTGAGGAGGCTGCGGCGCCGTGGATGCGGGAGGGGTGGGGTTGTGGGGATGGGAAGAAGAGTAGTCTTGAAGTGCAGAGGGAAAAGGAGGAGGAGGAGGCGAAGAGGGAGGGGGAGATTGAGGAGTTGTTGTCTCGGCCGAGGACGATGGAGGAGGGGAGGGCTAGGACTGGGATTGGAACTGGGGAGTTGGAGAGGGTGGAGACGGAGGAGGAGATTGTTATGATTGCGGATGGGGTGGGGAGGCAGAGAACGGATTTGAGTGAGATGTTGAGTCGGAGGTTTGGGTTGGTGAGGAGGGGGAGTTTGGGTTGAGGATGGTGAGATGATTGTGATGTTGATGATACCCTTTGATTTTTAAGGTTGGTTATGAATTGAATGATTACCATAAGAGATGTCTTTGAAGCCATTGGTGCGTTAATACTCCTAGACGGGGCTCTGAGTATCTCGAGCTCGAAGTTGGGATCCTTCTCCAGGACACGTATTACGAATGTGCACCAAAGCCGTAGGACCGCAGGCTGTCTACGACCGCATGGAGGACCCGGGTGCTGTCCTCCGCAACGATACCAGTGGTGCCAACGGTGGGGAGCGTCTCTCTGAAAAAGTCGACTGTATCGCGACTGAAGCTGGGATGTGCTCGGATGCGTCACTTCCCATCAGCAAGAAAGCCCTCGAAGTTCGATCTCTGTTGACGAGACATGGCGTCGAACAAGAAGCGCCAGTACTTCCTCGACGGAGGACGCAGCGTTGTATCATTACCTCCATCCGCTTGTAGCTCCACATCATCGCCATCTTGGTCTTCGTCCGAGGAGCACAGATTTGACTCGCGATGACCTTGCAAGCTTCCCGACGGAGAGTCAGAGCTTCATCGCCTGCTTCGAGGTTTTCTAGATCATCCTCCTTTTGCTGCTGCTGTCGAGTGGTCTCAGCAGTGCTATAGTCGTTTGGCAGGACTTCACCAAGCCTCTCAACATCTTCACTAACGTCCATGGTATTGCCGAAGACATCGTGCTTTCGGACCGTCAAAGAAGAATGGGGATGGAACCGACTTTTGTTACAGAGAGAAGCTGTACCAAGACCCGAATCGAGCTCTTGGTACGTATTCGATGCTTCCTGCGGCTTGAAATTGAGCAGCTGCTCCAGTGTGCCTCGCATCTAGTCTGCATCTTGCAGAGGCATTGTTGAAGTCCTCAAGCTTGTTAGCAGAAGGTGATGTCGCAGAGCGAGCGTTGCAATTGGCCGAACCGAAAGCCCGCCATTCCGAATTCGGAATAACAATCACGTGATACCACTTCATTCACTCACACGTTGAATGTCTTAACACGGATTGCATGTCATAAGCTATCGTAACTCGTAGGCCTTCTATTAGGACCTGTAAAGCCACATGCACCGTCTAGGTATTGTCATGGTAGCCATAGTCAAATACTAAAAGCAGCGAATCTCGCACACTCAGACTTCCTTGCGTCTCGCTCGAAACCCGAGAACCGTCTAAACCTCTTGCTTGGTTACCTCCTCAACACGCTCTGGAGAATGCTCGTCGTCAATCTTCTTCTCCAGACCAATGCCGTGCTCGAGCTCTTGCGTCTTCTTGGCAACGGACGAAGTCTTCCAGGCGGGGGTGCCCATGTACTTGATGCCGTTTGGATTCTCGAACATTTCGGTGACTTCTTCGAGTGGTTTCCCTGCGGTCTCAGGGAAGCAGAAGCTATGCCACTCGTTAGCTATCATTCTTACGATCCTAGTAGTCCTCAAGACCATCAAGAGTCTCAGGATGAAGTCAGGGGGGAAATTCGGCAGCACTTACAAGACGTGGATGGTCATGGCGACGCAGAAGACAGCGAAGACGATGTAGGTCTTCCACTTGATGTTGACGAAGGCCGGGGGAACGAAGTAGCCAAGTGCGAAGTTGAAGATCCAGTTGCCAGACGTGGTCAGAGCGTTGGCCTTGCCACGAAGGTGGTTGGGGAACAACTCTGGTGGGTAGATCCAGGAGACTGGGCCCCAAGTTGGAGCGTACGAGGCGACGAAGAGGTACGAGCAGGCGATGACGGCCTTCGAGGCTGCACCGCTCACTTGGACAGAGGCTTCCTTGATGCCACCAACGCCGTCAGGGCCTGGGTCGGTACCGTAGCTGGCGAGAAGACCGCCGTTGGCGAAGAGCTGTTACCATGTTAGCTGATACCCTGAGAAAGTGTTTCAAGCATCTTACCCAGATAGCCATGAGAGTAGAGCCGACCATGAGTGTGGGGCGACGACCGACACGGTCGACGAAGAGCAGAGCTGGCACCGTCATGACGACGTTGATGACGTACTGAATCGACGACGAGACCAGGAGAGTGTTGCCAGTCAATCCGGCCATGGCGAAGACGTAGGTGATGTAGTACATCATGACGTTCATGCCAGTCAATTGGGACCAGATCTGGGTGAAGAGACCAATGTGGGTGCGGTTGATGTAGCGAGGAGAGAACAGTTCGAGGAAAGACGTCTGCTTGCCCTGACGCTCAATCTCGATCCATTCCTTGATTTCCTGGAACTCGCGGGCGACCCATGGGGAGTTTGGATCGCCATGGCCGTGGGTGAGAATGAGGACTTCCTCACACTCCTCCCAGCGGTCCTTCGAGGCGAGCCAGCGAGGAGACTCGGGCAGGAACATCATGCCGAAGAAGAGGATGATAGCTGGAATCATCTGCAGGCCCCATGGAAGGCGGAATGCTGCGGTTCCCTTGATGAAGGAGCAGCCATCTTTTCAGAGATCAGCAAATTTCTCGACCACAGGTTTGAATATACTGACACGAAATGTAGAACATGATCATTATTCCCCAAGTAATAGCCCACTGTTGTGCTCCAACGAGTCGGCCACGCTTGGAGGGTGGTGCAATTTCAGAGATGTAGACCGGAACTTGAGCGGAGCAGATACCGACGCAGAATCCGTTGATGATTCGGCCAACGATGAGCATTGGGATATCTTGAGCAGCGCAGACCAGGATGCACCCAATGACCCAGATGACGGCACCGATTCTGAGTTGACATTAGCCTGATCACTGTCGAGTCTCTGTAGGAGATAGACTTACTGAATCGCCGTCTTGCGACCGAAGCGGTCAGAGATGAAGCCAGAGCAGAGAGACGCGAGCCATGAGCCACCAGCCATGGAGGCAGTGATACCGCCCTGAGTGTTGGCAGTTGGACCCTTGCCTGGGATAGGGCCTTGGTTGAAGTACTTCAGGTAGGCATCGGTGGCGATGCTATACTCGAGTCAGTATCGCACGTACGAGCAAGTCGGGGGGCGTTCATATGCTTACATGGCGCTCATGGAGGAGATATCGAAACCGAACAGACCACCTCCGATGATGGAGATGGCTGCGATGAGGTAGACATTGCCGAACTTCTTCATGTTGGCGACGAAGGGGGAAGGTGTGGTGAGGTTGACAGTAGTGTGACTTCGTCGTCGAGGAGTCCTGAGAGAAGGAGGAGGGGAGTTCGATGGTGGACAGGGTGGTGACTTAAATGAAGGGTTTCAGCGAGCACACGTGGAGGACCCGTTCGGTGAGTGGCCTGTGCTCGGCTGGTGAATGGCCCGCGCTGGATGGTAGAGCCGTTGCAGTGCGGCTCAATTGGCACAAGCGTGGACAGGTGAATATCAATGCAACACTGCGTGCCGACCAATGGCCATGCCGGGACGCCTTGTCCTGTGCCGAACAAGTGCATTCTCCGGCGACAGCGGCGCGTGACAGAAAGCGGACTGCGCTGGTGGTCGGATTTAGCTTCACCACCTCGTTTCCTCCTCCTTCATCAGTGGCGCGACGTTGGATGTCTACCCACTTTTTTTCCCATGGCACCTCCGCTAGCTTTCTTCCCACACTCCCACACCCTCGCAAACTGTGGAGCGCACGCAATCCTTCCAATAGTTCTTGACATCCCCAAGCGATCGCACACGACCACGAATGCAACTGTCTTTCGCCACGCGTCTGGCGACAGGCTTCACGTGTCTGGTGGATCGGCTTCTGACCTCGTCCAAGCGAAGTGAACATCTTCACAGACCGTTCGACCACTTCGGCTCACGGCAGCGGCTGGCGGCAGAGGCTTTTCGACGCGTCTCCAAGCCCGACCACACTTGCTGCGGCACGCCTTGAACGAGGCAAATTGTCACCTGACTTCTGGGAAGCTTGCCAGATGCGCCTTCAAGATTGGTACACGAAGGATGCAGGCACGAAACACCAACAACACCAGCAAGCGAGTCTGGTTTGTCAGTTGAGCCAAGCTCAGCAGAAGCTTTTGCACATCCGCAGCCGATCTTCCGCGATCTTCGCTGGCTGGGCACCCATGTGCATGGCCCGGTTTGTGCAGGGCGGTAAGGGAGACTTTGTCCGAGGGTGCTTTCCTCGCGCAATCTCCAGCTTTGCCTGCGAGGATTCGACATGGATTCGAGCAGTCTCCACCTCCACATGTCCTCACCCACGGGGCTCTGATGGATTGATTGACAGTCTGCTTCTCCGTTTCGAACCTCGACAGATGCCGCCTGTGACCAAGCTTCACGGATAACTCTGCCATGGCTCGCTTGACACGCCACACGTGCGCCCTGGTCAGACTTGGCCAAACCTTGTCTCAACTCCGCTGGAGAAAGAGTTGCGCAAACCACCCGCCTCCGCAAAAGCTTGAGTTAGAACAGATGTCTCATCAGGGTTCACCGCGCCACAGACATCCTTTGAGGGCGCGGGACAGTCGACTTCCCGCGCATGTTGCATTCAACTCTTTGCGCGAATTGCGCAGACGTTCGTCTTCGTATTTGCCCAGACGCCAGCATCCTTTCTGTCTCGCGCCGTCCATTTGCAGCCCGAAGACCGGCCTTTGCAGAAGACTTCGGGTGCCCGCCCACATCCCGACATCAGCTACAGTCGCATCCAAGTCTGCTCTGTATCACCATGCCAAGATGCCGACGTCCCTCGAGGATTGCTCCAGATGTTGGTCGAGGATGGTTCTTTGCATCGGACGAGAGTAGCTTCTGTCAGACGACGCCTTCGTTCCATGTTGGGTATCTTGAACGCCTCAACAGCATCGAGAAAGACCAACCACCGGCTCACGCTGTGTTCACCAGAATCGCGGCAGCCATCACGTCCAGAACAGCCATCTGCGAATGACTCGTCGGCATCTCGAAAGGCCCATTCCACCAAGGGCCATACTGTCCTTTCCCGTTGGTGTTTCGTTCCAGCTGACTCTGTAGATTGACGATAACGAACGTCTTGATCAAATCAGCAGTCTCACAAGCCTGTCGCTCGACACATGCGGTCCGACGAACGACGCCGTACAATGTCGCAAGATGCCTCATGAGGACGGCTTTGAAACCTACAGCGTCGCTGTTCTGCCACGGCTCGTGGTTGCCTTTGCCATACGCTCCATGTTCGGCCAGGACGCCGTTATCTTCGACCCAGGAAGATCGTTTCATCGCCTTATCAGCCATCGTGCAGGCCAGAGACAGATACTCGTCCTCTCGAGTCACCTCGTACAAGAGTGCGCAAACACCGATGGCTACACCTGTTGTGTAAGTAAATGTCCAGTCTCGGGCCTCCTCCTGTTTCAACATAATGTTATCGAGGACGATGGCATCATCCGCGCGGTATCGACATCGAAGTATCCAGCCTAATGAGCATCGAGCGATCTCAACATCCTCATCCACCGAGGCGTCCTTATTTGGAAAAAAAGACCCGAACAGACGATATTTCGACAGAGCAGCTTTCGTAACCAAAGCAAGACGAACACTGAGCTCAGCAAACAACCCCGTCGAAATGGAATTAATCTGCTCACAGTCCTCGTCCGTCTTCCAATATACAGCCCCTTCCATATCCACACCTCGAAACTGTGCCTCTCCACGTCGACAAACTCCTCGAACATCCTGTACATGCCTCCAAACACCCTTCGCCTTTTCCAGGAACCAAGCATCTCCGCCAATCTCGTACACATGCAGACAACACAACCCCCACCACAACGTATCGTCGTTGAACTCGTTGAATAAACCCGGCTGGCGTCTCTCGCATTCACGCAGCGCGGTGGCGAGGACTTCGTAGTTGCGCTTCGAGTTGGAGTAGAGATCGTGTAGAGCGACCGCGGTGTATCCGTTCGCCGACTGCCACCAGCCTATGCCGCCCATCTCGCCGTTCGACTGCTTCGACATGAAGTAGACATCGATACTACGCTGAGTGATGTCTCCTAGATTTGACGGAGGGAGGTAGGGATTTGAGGCCCATGATGGCGGCTCCTGCTCAGGCTGAGAACAGGCTTTTACGAGTTCTCGTAGCTCTTCTTTCGACATTCTATTACCGACTCCTTCAGCCTGGAGCAAAGACCTGTAACGCTTCAGTCGTTTGGGCTGTCTCTGTTCGCCATCGTCGTCTATGTATACATGTAGGTTGGAAGAGCTTTCGAACCGTCTCAGGGAAGGGTGAAGTGAGGTCGAAAGAAAACCGGATGACAGCGGGACAAAACAGACGCGCAATGTATGGAAATATGTCTTGGTAAGATTTCAGGTAATCACGGGAAACGGATGTTGTTGGTGTGATGAAAAGGTGGATTCCAAAAACCAGGAAGTCAAATCCCTGGCTTGCTTGCTTGCCCCACGCGGTAGGCACGACTTCATGTGAACGGACCGTGCATCTCCACGTGAAAGCTTCCACCCACCTGGTCTTCACTTCTCTCTCCTTCCGACAACTCCTCAACCCACAATGCGATCTCCCGACTCGAGGGTGGAGGGTTCATCATATCACTTACCGATACAATGACGGACTGGCTGGAGCAATACTCCGCCGCTTTGGACGTGCGGGATGCGCGGGAGAAGGCGCATAAACCGTATATCGATGCCTGTGAGTACGGATCTTGGATGAAGGCCACTGATGTCTCGTGTATCTGACTGGAAGATGCTGTAGATACGAAACTAGCCGACCGAACTGCATCCCTCGCAACACCAGCACCAGCAGGACCAACCAGCGCCTCCCCAAAGCCCGCCTCACCCAAGCCAACCACCTCAACACCCTCCACAACAACAACAGACCTCACAACCCTCCGTGCCGACCTCGCCAGCACCCAACGCGCCCGCACCCACCTCCAAACCCAACTCACCACCCTCCAAACCACGCACACCGCCCTCCAAAAAACCCACACCAGCACCCTCAGCACCCTCTCCACCCTCCAAAAAAACATCACCCTCCTCGAGCGACGCCTCAAAGACAAGGAATCGGAGATTAAAGGCAAAGCGAGTCTGGTGGAGAATGCGCAGGACGAGATGGTCGCGCTGCAGTTGCAGTTGAATATGGCGGAGCAGAAGCGCGAGGAGGTGGGGCGGGAGAATGAGATGTTGGTGGAGAGGTGGATGCGGAAGGTGGGGGAGGAGGCGGAGAGGGTGAATCGGGATTCGAGGTGGGAGTAGTATATGCTGGGGATACACATGTAGGATGGGAGGGGGAGGCGGAGATGGGAGGCGGAGGCGGAGATGAGTGGAGGGAGGATGAGTGTCAAGAACCCTTTTACTTTAGGGCGAGATGATGGAACGACGAGATGAAATAAGACGAAACGATAATGTTGTGAAACGTCTTTGGTTAACAATACTCTGCAACGAACTTTCTACACGAAAGCTTTCTTTCTTGCTACTACCGCAACAGCAGTAGTAGTATCTCATCCCATACCGCAATCATGCGCCATCCGTCGTGAAAAACTCCCCAATCCCATTCCATTCCATTTCCAGCATTACGCCCCATGACTAGCCTTCCTCCTCCTCCTCCCAAGGAGTTAGTTACAAGGCGATGATACCCAATGCCAATGCAAGCCATCAAGTATTCAAAAAAACAAAACAAAAAGACAACAAGCACTAACGTATGGGGTGGTATCCTTTTCTGATACCAAAGTAAAAAGTAGACCTCCCCACCCTCCCATGCCTATGATAAGCAAGCGCTCTCAATTCGATGCCAGCGGATGATGGAAGCCCAATATAATGGTGAGGGACGGCGGAACCGTGATTCGTAGTCGTGACTTTAGATTTTCGGATTTCATTGGTTCTCCATAAGTTGCCGTGGTGTTTCGTAGGGCCTGGGTGCCAGAGCCAAAAAAAACGCCGTCCGTGTGAAACTCCTGGCTATGCTATTCCCCAAAGCAATATGTTGTGAACGCCCCTGTCTGCATATGAACAGAACGCTCATAGCGTTAAACGGCGATCAGTGGTGGTGATGGTGGTGCGAGCGGTGGTGACGGTGATGATGTCTGTCACTTGATCCAGCTTCGCCTTCTCTACCATCCTCGGCAGCAACACACCAAAACCGGTGACTACCCCAAGCTCCTTTCTGGCACTCCTTGCTGCAGTATTTCGTCCGCCTGCATCGTCGGCACTTGGCGAATTGGCGTGTGAATTCTTCCCACTTCCCACATTGCCAGTAAGCGCATTGCCTGATGCCCCCTCGGCTGTCGTCCTTTCGGCACAAGTTTCGCATCACTACCCCAGCCCAGTATTGCATATCCCCTTGCTGTGGGGATGTTGGGTTGGCATGTCGTGATGAGGATGGCTTTGCCGTGAACTTCTCGATCAAGGGGAAGATGTTGTAAGGCTTCTCCCCAGGCTTCTTCACAAACTCGTTGTCCCATTCATCGTCCAGCTCTTCCTGTGTTGGGGTTGAGTCTGTCGCTGGGTTGTAGTCTGGATCGAGCATCCGAAGATCTTTCCCAATCATGAGTCTAGGTACGAGTCGTGACTGTTGGAAGTATGACCGCAGATTGCAGTACTTCGATACATAGGCCAGGAGTTGCAGAGACATCAAAACATCTTCATCGCGCGGGACTGCTGCGAGCATGCTGGCGGGAGCTGGTCTGTCGAGGGGAAGTCCTCTTGAGGGGTACCATGCCGGTGCGTTTAGGTTTGGAGGTGTCGCATTGACCGAGTTTACGGGAGGTGGTAGTTGCGTCTGGTTCATTTGCCTTTGGGTTGGCGTCGTTGCAGGGTTCACTATGCTTCCATCGGCTGATCTGTGCGTGATGTTGAAGGTGTCGTCTTCGCGGCTGGACATGTCCGGTACTGCGAGAGTAACACCATTCCCTTGTGCCTCAAGCCCGCTGTCATCGTCTACAATGTCTTGCATCACGATGTCGCTTTGAATGCCGACCATTGGCTCGGCTTCGTTGGCGTTCGATTCATCAGAGACGCTCTCCTCAAGCTGTCCATCATCGTCTGATCCCGAGATCGAGAGCTGGTGTCGGATGGAGGGCCGCCTTCGAGGTCGCATATCGCTCCCAGACGCTCTGGGGCTGTGAGACCTTTGTACCGGTGCACCGGGGGTTGTTGGAGATTGAGGCTGTGAGCTCAACTCGGCGTGGAGTTGAGGCACCATTGAGGGCAGTCTGTCAATATCGCGGACCGGTCTAACAAAGTGGTTGGTGGAGTTGCTCTGCAATGTTACGGCGGACATTGGTGGTTCTGCTGGGCGGTTGTTTGAGCTAGTTGGTGTAGTGAACTGTGCTCTGGAGCCTTGCGACCTTTGATGGCTGTGCTGCCGGGTGAAGAGAGTCCTCTCGGGCGGCGAGCTGAGGGACAAATTAGCGGTATGGGCGGTGGGTGTAACCTCGCTCGTAGGTTCATCAGCCTCTGGGTCGTCTCTGGCATCGGGAATCGAGATTGGTGGCGGGGCGTGTCGTCGTGTCCGTCGCTCGTAAGCTTCATTGTTACGAGTGGAAGAGCGAGAGAAGCCTCTGGAGAAGGGGCATTTCCTTCGGCTCTCCAATTCCTGCCTTTCGCGGCACTTCTCCACTACTTGAAAGTAGTTGTCCAGAATCGTGGCGATGACAGGAACCATATCGGCCTCAACAACACGCGTCCGCACTGCTTCCGAGCCTCGAACGCCAATGTTTACTATGCACTGAAAGGCCAGGTTCCATTTCCACATCTCCATCATGTCCTTGCTCCGCCCCTCTTTGAGAATGCATACCAGGCGCTCGATACCGCCATCGACGGTCAAAATGTCCCGAATGCGGCCAGATGATGTCGTGAGGTATGCAAGGTTGTTCAAAGAGTTGATGAGAGGGAGGGTGGAGGTGCAATCCAGCGCTCGGCGGTCATAAAGGGCGGTGGTGATACCGACAGACGCCTTGTTTGCGTTGGGGATGCTGAAGTTCACCTCGCGCATGTTTGCGTCTCAGCAGGACGCCGGGCGTCGAGGCAAGCAGCAGCCAGGGTGGTGTCGATGGGAGGGTTGGCAAACTTTGATGGAAGTCGGTCGAGGGCGTAAATTGCGCAAGCTCGGCGTTGTTTGGCCTCGGGGGTATAAGAGCGCCGCAACCCAACTCTCAAGAAGACTCCCAGCTATGCAAGACGCCTCGCTTCACTCCAGGACGGTAGAATGTCGAGGGAGGCGGGCGTGGCGCGGTGGTGGTGGTGATGGGGGAGTCGGCTGAGCGGTGACAGGGCGGCGGGACAAAGCAGCGGTCTCGTCCTCGGCACGTCCAGCAGGCGTCCTCAGTGTCCGCAGCGTCGAGCGCGTCGCGACGGGATGGTGGTGGCGGGCGACGATGTCGAAGGAAGGGAGTATATGGGGGGTGGTCGTGTTGGAGAGTGGGTCGGTGTAGTGTGTCAGGCGCTGATGGTTGGAGACAGGAGATGGATGGAAGGCGGCGCTCGCTGCTCGCCGGCCAAGACCGTGGCTCCAGACTGCGCTTCCGGCAACGAACCAGACGTCAGACTAAACCCTATCCTGCAGAATGCCCAGCAAAAAGACTGATTTTCTTTGACCGAGTTCTTCGCTTCAACCACCGCGACAGGCAGTGTTCTCTCGAGTCTGAGATGGAGAGATGTTGTCGTCCTCGGCGCGAAAGAGGAACTGGCGCAGTGGAGCGCCCAGGAGATTGCAGACACCTCCTCTCAGCAGATGAAACAGCCGCCGCCAGCTCTCCTCAGTACCTAATTAGAGCACATGCGACCGGAATCATCAACACTGCTACTCGGAGAGGGCACCACAGGCTTCACCAGCCGCTCTCCGACTCTCTCATCTGACGTCCACACCGTTACTCGAAGAAAATTTCGTCGCGCCGGTTGCTTTCCTCACACGACCAAATGCCCCGACGCCGTCATCGCGCACCTCCGAGCTTCGTTGCTTACAATTACCGTCGAGGACTGTGGTGGTGGCGCTGGAGTCGAGACGAGATTCGATGCTACACATTGCTTGCTTGCTCGGCCGGCGGTAGCATCCGACTTGGCCACGCAGTCCTGGCAACTTGCCCGCAACACCAGATGAAACGCTCCCAACTGTTTGTTCTACGGCATCTCCCAAACGGTTTGCTTGCTTGATTGCTTGCGTGCCGCGAGGAAAACGTGTGCTGTGCATGCATGCTGATGCAGCAGCGGTGCGCGCTCCTCTCTGTGCGCCAGCAACTTCCATGAACCATGTCTCTCACCTACCCGTCTCAACATCCTTCACACACAAAAGCACACACGACAGTACATACATACATACCTCTTCGCCTAACATGCGTACGACCTGCAGCTTGGCCATCCCAACAGAAAAATGCGTGCTTGATGAGAATGAGGGACAATGCGGAGAGCGTGCAGATGCTATGGGGATCGAGCGCGACATCCTCGATCGCGCAACGTGCAACATCGGCAATCTACCGCCGCGTCTACCCGTCTCACTCTCATCACAGCACTCCTTTCTTGCCTCCTCTTCAAACCCACTTTTCTTGCTGCAGAACATCAACATCCTTCACCTGTCACATCGGACATTATCAGAATCGGCATCAGCAAGGAAGGGGGAGGAGGAGCCGGCTCGAGACGACGTGCCCGGCCGTCAGCAACAACATCACGTGTTGGAGTAACTTGTTCATGTTTACTCTTACTGCTGACATATGCAAGTGCAGCAGGGTGAGGTGAGGGAATATCTTCCTGTCCATGGTCGTACGGAGGATTCGAAAAACATGGTCTCACCCTGTCACGACGTGTATGCTGAGCTCAGAGCCGAGAAAATGCCTCACAGCAAAACTCCGATGAGACGTCACGCGCGGCTGTGAGGTTGTGGAACGTATGATATCGATGGACAAGAAGATGCCAGCGTATTCACATCGATGGAAAACCATAATAGATTTCGTCAGGAGGCGAGACGTCCACCGTGTGGGACAGACAGGCTGTACTCACGGCAACTATGCAAAAGGCTGTAAGACTTGCGAAGTCCTGGAAATTTGTCCAAATACGTCCCTGCCCGACTAGAGTGGTCAAGTATTCTCGAGTGCACTCCATTATGCTTCTCAAAGTTACCTCATTCTCGTTGCGGCCACGCTGCTCGATTTTCCCTGTCACAACCATCATCAAGAGCCAAATACTCTCCTTTCTGTTTGGGACCCTCCCAGGATGTCTCTGACGATAGTTGGAGTTCTTTTGCCTTCGTGTCCGCCGGGTGTGGTGCTGGACTATCTCAGGACGAAGGGAGGCTCAACTGACTATGGACAAGCCGGTCAGTGATACCGCGTTGTCTACATCGCTGGTATAATTTTACCTCCTTCTGCGGAAATGCCCATGTCTTTGGAAGTGGCTATGCCTGCCAATTGGCCTGAACAGATGCCACGTCCGAAGGACGTTCCATCACAGGAATCGGCGACGGCAAGAAGCGTGATGAAGCAGCTGGAAGAAGCATGACAGGTTCCTAAGGGCTATAAGAAGCATCAGCCGCTTCTTCTTGAGCCTTCTTCAGGAGTTTGGCAAGGTTGGTGGAGAGCTCGTTTGAGGGCAGCTGGATATCCTCATCGCCAGAATCGCTGAGCATCGAGGCGTAATCGAACTTTTCCTGCGCTTGCATGTAGTATTTCGCAATCTCTACAGCAGTCTCGACGCAATTAGCCACCAGGATGAGGACTTTGATGCCCTGGTAGCGGTTCATCTGGGTGTGGAGCAGTTCGGTTGCCATATCTGCGAAGGCTTCTACGTCGACGGTGCCGTGAAGCTGGTGGGGAGTAGCTAGCAATGGAGACTCGATTGTTGCGGGTTGCCGATTTGAAATGCTGGCTGTTGGCGGTGGTGAACACGTTGCTAGGGAACAGTAGAAGGGAGGGGCAGAAATACGAAAGTGAGCTGGAAGACCTTCCTCAGAGGAAAGAAGAGGGGGTGTGGGCAGCTGGGAGCACAAGCGAGAGAAAAATGCAAAGGACGATTGAATTTCACCAACCTCCTTCTGCTTCAGCCATGCTGCCTTCGCCAACTGTGGTGTCTGCCACGTACATGAACCTTGAGCAATGTCACCCTTTATCCCCATTCCATGGAGCCAGTTGCTGTCTGTCCTTCACGTGGCCCATCCCGTCATTTTTACACACTCCGTGTACACTCTGCTGAGGTCTTCGAGCATCTCGGCCATCTTTAATGCAATGGTCACAAAGGGCTCAAAGTCAATCGACATCATCCCAGTCCTCGCCCCACGGCGTAAGTACCAACGACTTGCGGTAAAAGCCCAGCGCCTCCTTAAGCATCGACCACGGGAGAAACACCATCAGTTTGGCAAGGCCAAAGGCACCAGCCAAGACGTGATCATTGGGCGTGACTGGGCCTTCGGTATCTGGTCGCATGGGAGTTTCCGTGTGATCTGCTTTGATCCACTTCACCAGATTGTCCCAGTTCGCATGGCCATTCATATCGAAAATGACATTATCGTACTTGGCAGGTTGGCGGGAAAAGCGATTGGACTGTCGCAAGAATGGAGTAAAGTCGGCACCATTGAAGTCGTTGAGCAGCAAATTGAATCGGTTCTCGACATAGTAGATTGAACGTCCTTCATTACGGATACTCTTGCAGACACCTGGGGCTTCAGTCAGCCTAGGTCAATCCAGATGAACAGATGACGTGCGTACGGAGCAATGATGGCTCGCCAGGACCGTCGGGTTTGATGTCCAGCTTCTCCGGTTCGACGAGGGAAAATCGGTAGATGCTGTTGCGTATCTCTCCAGGAAGCTTGAGCAGTCTGCAGCCGACTCGTTGTCTTGGACGTCGAAAGCGCTTCTTCTTAGTGACTCCCGCCTTCAGTTTGGCCTGTTCAAAGATCAGTTGCGCTCTTGAAACTATCGGTTGTGGCTCGCATACTTCCTGCTCGGAGACCTTGATCGCATTGGAGAGCTGCACGCGCTCGCTGCGACGAGACGGCTCTGCTGCTGACTTTCGTGTGGGCGCCATGATCGCTGGCACGGGTAGCTCAAGTGAGTGTTGATGTTCGTGGTGGTCACGCGTAATGAGGGAGGCTCCACGAGTGGTGGGAAAGTCCGCGCTGATTCAAGGCAACTACATCGCGTTGCCACGTGACTGACTTTATTAGATCTTTTCATGTTAAGTCTCATCCAAGACTTCCAGGTTGACACTCGTCCGGTCCATGAGAAAGGGCCTGCAGCCATGAAACCGAGTGAACTGACTTCTACGATCATTGTTGCTTCCAAATACCTTGCTTACTTTGGTCGTGCATTTGGAGAACCAGCTTTAGATCTCTCAACAATCTTATCTGCCTCTGAACTCATGATGACTGGAGCCAGTGTCGAAGTGTTTCCGCTGCGAAGGCAATGCCATTCTGAATCTGCATCCATTGAATCTGTTTCACCATACCTCCCTTTGAGCTAGATTATTGACAGAGCACTCAGCCAACAAGCTGAATCAGACGGTAGCTTTGGCGCTTTCCAGTGCTTTGAATTTCGTAAACACTATGAAATGCATCGGATGTTCAGGAAGTGTGACGAGGTGAAGTCGAGAAGTTGGCACGGGCAGCCACCCAACCTCGGAGGACGCGGAAAGTGAAATGAGATCGACCAATCATGCCACATCACGAGAGCGATCGTCTTACTTTCTAGGAGACATGACCCTTTCATAAACATCGCCACTGCACTTCCACCGGCCGCTTCTCTACCGCATCTCTCCTACGATTCGCATCTCTCCTACGATTGCGCGGGCTTGACGATCCACCTCCAACATGCCGGGTCGAACACTCCCGACCCTGCCCTCCGCAGAAGTAGCAGCGCATAATACCGCAGAGTCCTGCTATGTCACGGTCGGAACGAAAGTATACGATGTTACGCCATTTCTTGAGGACCATCCCGGAGGCGGCGATCTGATCCTGGAGCACGGCGGCAAAGATGTGAAGGAGGCAATGGAGGACGAAATTTCACACGCCCATACCGAGAGCGCCTGGGAGATTCTGGACGACTACCTGGTGGGTTTTGTTGCGACGGAGAAGGTGCTGGACGCCGCAAAGCAGAGCAACGATCCGTTCAGTGTGCTGCCTATGGAACCCAACGGCAAGGGCATGAAAGAGTTGGAGAAGACGGGCAACGGCGCCTTGTCAGAAGTCAAGGCTCGGGATCAGGCAGCGACAAATGGACCAGGCGAAGGCAAGAAGGTGTATGAGTCCACGGGCATGAGCTCTGAGGAAGACCTCAACAAAGAGACGGATGTTGTGTCGGATTTCAAGAAGCACAAGTTCTTGGACTTGAACAAGCCGCTCCTCCTCCAGGTCTGGTTTGGTGGCTTCAGCAAGGAGTTCTACCTGGAGCAGGTACATCGGCCTCGACACTACAAGGGCGGCGAAAGTGCGCCATTGTTTGGAAACTTCCTCGAGCCCCTATCGAAGACACCCTGGTGGGTTGTTCCTACCGTATGGCTCCCTCCTGTGGTCTACGGTACTGTCTTGTCTGGACTCCACCTGAGCTTTCCCGCTCTCGTGGCATACTGGATCGTGGGGCTTTGCATATGGACCATCGTTGAGTATGGTCTGCATCGCTGTCTCTTCCACCTCGACTATTACCTCCCTGACAACCGAGTCGCCCTTACTCTGCACTTTCTACTTCATGGCATCCATCACTACTTGCCAATGGACAGGCTGCGACTTGTGATGCCACCCACCTTGTTCATTGTCCTTGCCACGCCTTTCTGGAAGCTGGCACATACGGTGTTCTTTTACGACTGGTATGCGGCAGTGGCTGTTTACTGTGGTGGTATCTTTGGGTACATCTGCTACGACATGACCCACTACTTCCTCCATCACAAGAAGTATGTACTGCGCAGTCTCCTCTTCTAGATCAATGTACTGACAAGTCACAGGCTTCCTTCCTTCTATCAAGAACTGAAGAAGTATCACCTCCAGCATCACTTCATGGACTACGAGAATGGGTTCGGCGTCACGAGTCGCTTCTGGGATCGAGTGTTTGGCACAGAGCTGCCTCCTCCGCCAACACCCAAGGTCCTCAAGACAACATGATCTTTATTGCATGAATGAATCGAGACAGCACAACACGGAACAGAGCGTTGAGTAGTCGGCGCTCCAGCGAGTCGCACTGATTGTACATATAGATACCACTGTAATGAGAATGTCGATACCGCCTCGTCTTCGCTCCTTCCACCTGACGCTCCTTCCTCATCGACGCACCTTCCATTCTCAAAGCCCGCGCGGAAAGCAGCACGTGACGTGAGTCAGCGCGGCAAGTTTAGCCGACGTCACACAAAGCCGAATCCATCTTACACAACCCGCGCTCTGTCGACACTCCACCTCCACCTCGTCAACCACCAAACATTGACACCACCACCTCACACGCAAGCTCCGACGACGACTCGTCAGTGAAGGAGGTGTCTGCCTGTACTTCACCCACTTCACCCACCACCGAGCTGCCAAACTCACTTCACGTGCAGCTTCACTCGCGACCGCGAGCGACCGTGGACGTCTCACCTCCACCCGACATCTCACTCGACCCGCATTTTCCTTTCCTTTTTAACCAACAGCTTCCTCCACCGCACACAGTGAGCACCGAGTCATACCACACAAGAACTCAAACCAACATGTCGGAGAATCTAGAAGTCGCCGCACTCCTCGACTACGCGGAGGCCAAAGCCAACGAGCAGTTTGCGGAGTACACCAGATTGAAGTCCAATAGCGACAAGGATGACGACAACGACATCGCCATGGGCGACTACAGCGCTCGTGACGACCCAGAGCCACGCCTGGTCCGCAACCTCGACCCGGCACGTGACCCACGACGCCTCGATCGGCCAGACTTCGTAGTCTCCGGCGACCCGAAGAGCAACAGGTATACAGAAGAGCGAGACGAGAACGATGAGCGTCGCACCCGCCGGTCTCACGACCAGGGGGACGATGATACCGCGAATGGCGCCAGTGACAAGGACAGTGCTAATGGAACCGGCAGAGACAACAAGCGTCGCTCAACTAGGAGCCGCTCACCAACCCGCCCTGGTAGCCGTGGCAGCAATGGCAGCGGCAGCTACCGTGACCGCGGAGGTAGACGTCGCTCTGCACCCTACGAGGATGATCGCCACTACCGTCCAGATGGTCGACGCTACCCCAGCCGTGAGCGCTACGGTGGCAGACGTGGTGATCCTCTTGGGTACGAAGATGATCGTGAGCGCAATGGTGGACGCGGCGGACGCCGCGACGGCCGCGATCCTCCTCGTCGTAGTCCGCCCGGCGGTGGCAGGAAGCGTAAGACGCCTGAGCCGACTGATGATGAGCGCGATAGGCGTACCGTATTCGTACAGCAGCTGGCCGCACGTCTCCGCACCAAGAACCTCAAGGAGTTCTTCGAGAAGGGAGCCGGTGCCGTGGTGGAAGCCCAGATTGTGAAGGATCGCGTCAGTGGACGTTCCAAGGGGTGAGTACCCGCAAACGAGAAGACAAACTGCAGATGCTGACATGTAACAGAGTGGGATACGTCGAGTTCAGGACCGAAGAGTCAGTTCAGAAAGCTATTGGACTTACCGGACAGAAGCTAGTCGGCATTCCTATCATTGTGCAGCTCACGGAAGCAGAGAAGAATAGGATCGCCAAGACCAGCGAGGGCGGCGCAACCCAGTCCAACGGCGTTCCATTCCACCGCCTCTACGTCGGCAACATCCACTTCTCCATCACCGAGGATGACCTCAAGAACGTCTTCGAGCCATTCGGAGAGCTGGAGTTCGTCCAGTTGCAGAAGGAGGAGCAGGGCCGCTCGAAGGGCTACGGCTTCGTTCAGTAAGTTGACCACCCCATCCCCGCCATGCTGTGTTTGTGCTGACATCACTTTCAGGTTCGTCGACCCGACGCAGGCAAAGGAGGCACTCGAGAAGATGAACGGCTTCGAGCTTGCTGGTCGTCCCATCCGTGTCGGACTCGGCAACGACAAGTTCACGCCCGAGTCAACTCAGAACCTCCTTCAGCGGTTTGGCAACCAGAACCAGGGATCGTCATTCTCCGGCATGGGTGGCCGCGGCGCTCACGCTGGTGGTACAGGCAACTTCGACCGCCCGACTGGCCGCGACGTCGACAAGACCGGCGGTGCCAGCGCCCTTGATGACACCGATGTCGGCGGTGTCAACTTCAACAACTACAGCCGCGATGCTCTCATGCGCAAGCTTGCTCGCATTGACGAGCCAGAGGAGAAGAAGACGGCCAAGACCACCAAGCAGAACAAGCCTGTCATCCCGGAGCAGGCCCCGACTCGTTGCATCATCATCAAGAACGCCTACAACAAGAATGATGAGTAAGTCATCAGAATCAATGGGTCTTGTTATTTGTGGTGCTGACATTGTGATACAGGGAGAACGAGACAGACTGGAAGGAGTCCCTCAAGAGCGAGGTCAAGGCGGAGTGCAACCGCAAGTACGGCAAAGTCGTCCACCTCGATCTCACCCTCGATAACGACGATGGCGAGATCTACATCAAATTCGAGGAGGTCGCCGGTGCCAAGGCTGCCGTCCTTGGCCTCAACGGTCGCTGGTTCGATGGTCGCCAGATCACGGCCCAGTATGTTGTCGACGCGGTCTACAACATGAACTTCCCCAAGGCCCAGAAGGTCTAATGGTACGTATGCGTGATTCGTGACATGTTTTTCTTTGTCGTTGCGGTTGCGGCAGCTGCAGCAGCAGCGAGCGAGCAAATGAGCATACGACAAGCGAGCACGAACACGAGCATGAGCAATACCGAACCGACCGACCGATACTTCACTACTACGATACCACTACAATGCGATTCACACGATCCAGCTTGAGGGATTGGCCTCAAGCTCAAGGAAGGATCAAAGAAGAAGGAGCGACATGCGTTTTTGGCTTTCACAATGCAGGGTTGTCATCAGAGTGCTTGCAGACTCGCGTCTCATAGCCATGGATAGCGCCCTCATTCCCCCACCTCATGAAGATCGAGCAGTAATAGATACTACTCATGCACTCACTCACACACTCTCTCTCTTTCCTTATTTGCCTCGAAAGTCCTGGTTCTCTTGATGTCCTGGCGTGAAGACATGCCGAGGAGGTGATGAATTGTCCAGACGAGTCATCAGCTTTCCTATACACCCCTTGCTTCCTTGCTTCCTTCCTTGGTCCTTTCTGTTGCGTGCATTCGTCCTCTTCGGAACGATGCCACATTGCCAAGATCATGAAGTGATCGCCCATTTCTCAGATTTTCGTTTAGACTTCCTGATCTTGACTTACGGGACCTCACCCTCTCGAGGCTACGAGCCAAGGTGCTAATGCTCAGATGGCGCGAGTAAATCAGATGGAAGGAGGCCTTGAGCGTCAAGTTCTATTATCCTTTCGCATAACTACTAATCACAATCATGTTGAAGTTGAGACCGAAAAGTTGTAGGAATCATTTTCCTTCATTCAATCATCATCTACTCGCAACCGCAAGCAAGAACAATCATCGCAGTTCTCAAGCCCAATCCAACGCCAGCCGCGAATACAATGCAGCTTCATGACGAATCCAAAAATGCCCGAATCAACTCATCTCCCCCTCTCTCACGGAGTTATGTACAAAAGAAAGCCTTTCCTCCCCGCATCATCCGTCCAGCTTCTAGTACTTCCCATATGGGTTCTGCTGCTGATTATGCTTATGATCCTTCCAAGCATCCTCGCCCTTGGAGCCCAAGAAAGCACCCACCAGCGTCCCGATGACGCCGTGGCCGGCCTTGTGGCCGAGGAAGCCGCCGCCGAGGCCGCCGGCGACGGCGCCCATGAAGCCGCGCTCGCCTTCTTGTGGGTTGTTGGGGTCGGCCGGGTCGCGAGTGTAGCCGTAGGGGTTTGCTGGGTCGCCGCTGGGGGGCGCGCCTTGGCCCCAGGGTTGTTGCTGCTGGGAGTTGTTGTAGTCTTGTCCTCCGTATTGGCCTTGCTGTTGGCCGTACTGGGGCGCGCTTTGGCCGTGGTTGTAGCCGCCTTGTTGCGGGGGGCCGCCGTAGCTGCCGCCTTGTTGGTTCTGGTCGTAGCCTTGGCCGTATGAGGGGGCTGGTGGTGCGCCGTAGCCTAGAGAGTGGTGTGTGAGCAGATGCTTTTGAGATGTGATGTACGCTTCGTCGCTTACCTTGCTGTTGGCCGTATGGCTGCTGTCCGTATCCGCCTTGCTGGCCGTAGCCCTGGCCTTGCTGAGGGTAGTTCTGATCGTAACCCTGCTGACCGTGGCCTTGCTGGCCGTATTGGCCTTGCTGATGGCCGCCGTAGCCGTAGCCGCCTTGGTTGTCGTAAGGGCCAGACATGTCGGATGTGGTGGTTGTTTGAGAAGTGTTTCTGATGATGGTAGAGTTGAGGTTTATTGGTGTTTGGTGATGAGTGAAGTGGGGTAGAGGGAAGGATCTGAGGGACAAAGATATAGGTCGCGGTGGAAAAGGCAATCTTACACTCTCTTTGCTAGAGGGGCAGTGGTTGCGGCTGAGCCAGTAAGCTGGAGTGAAGCGTGAGGCAATGAAGAGGCAAGTGACGTCGACAGCCGTGCTTTCCGTCGAGTGAAGAGCTGCTCTGCCACCACGGTCGAGCTGAGCTGCGAGTGGCTGTCTTACGAGGAGGTCTGGTGGCCGGACTGTGGTGGGTGGTGCTGCTGCTGGTTGGGCGAGGTCGGCTGTGCTCGCTGCAACCAGCTACTGTAGCCGGCCTTTTTCTTTTCCTGGTCTGCTGTTCACGACTGCCGAAAGCGACATTCCTCACCCCCAAATTGCGAGCACGACATTTCTCAGGAGACACGCGGCGACGTCACCAGGCCCCCAAGATGTGAGGTTCGGCATTGAGGCTTGGCTCCAGACAGTGCCACGAGCACCAAGCGGCGCCACATCGAAACAGCTGAATGGGTGATTTGTCTTCCTCCCTTCGTACTCGCCTTCGTTGCTGCTATTCGAGACATCTCTCTGACCTCCCACGTCCACGTGCAGCTGTTGACACACAGGAGGATGCACAACGGCAGCTCTGCAACGCCAAGCAGGCACAAGATGTTTTCGTGGATGCAGGCGGACGCCGGTGCCGATTTTGATGAAGACGACGACGACGACGACCACATCTCCGCTCACAACATCGGGCCGTTGCTCGAATTTAATATGTACAAGGCCTGCGTCGATTGAACCTGGAATCATCACATTTCTCGCTCGCTTGAAAATCAACGGCCTCGTGGCCTGAACACGTAGATCGACATCATTGGCACGCCGATCATTCCGGGGACCAAGTCTTCAACATGAAACCATCTCCCGCGATACACTCAGACCTTTCCAACATGTCTTCCTTGATATATCAGCGTGCGTCCGACCGAGAAGTAGCCTGACAGCTGTCAACCTCCTACGATGATTGAGCAGACTTCCTCAGGCATCATTCCGATTCCTCGCCCGTCGATGACTATGAACCGCTCGCGACAGGGTAAAAGCCGGTCTGCGCGTTTCAGAATGATGAAGGCCTAAACACACCGTCTTCTGGACGCCATCCGTGGCCGCCAAAATCGCCCTTCCGATGCCTGAAGCACATCCAAACGCACACGCCACGCTTCATCCTTGGTGCAATGAAGCCATGCTGCAAACGTGCCAAACCAGTCCATGCCCGGTGCGCACCTTTGTCGCCATCCAACCCACATTCATCACACGTTTCGAGGTAGGGATTATGCCCGCATCTCGCTCTTTTAGACTTCTCTGTACCGCAGGTTGACCACATTCTTAAAATACTCCCTTGATCGCACCCCCTCGTGCTTCGTTGGTAGAGGTCTGGCACTCTTCCGGCTGATACACGAACTGGCACGCAACCTGGGGTTGCGAGAACCGCTGGAACGGCACCGAGTCCGACTTTCAATATCAGCGCGAAGCAGAGGGTTGTTTTTGGTCTCTTCGTTTTCGTCTTTCAGGAGCTGGACTGCTGCTACTAATAACGAGTTCTTGGCTGGTTTCTGCACAACAAGGGAAGACTGAGAACAGTACTTGAGGGCAAGGCATCCTTCTCACTTGTTAGACAATTACAAGGCACACGACTGCGTTTCTATGGCAGGCCAAGAGGACGACTTGAGCGAGCTTTTGTCGTCGATAACGGCGTCATCGGCGACATCTTCTGAGACCAATTTTGCTTCAACAACGGGGGCTCCTTCACGGGTGCAGAACTCCGCTGCAGAGAATACGAATGCAGCATCTTCTAGCGCTGCTGGCGGAAGTGGTAGCAGTATACAATGGGGCCCTGCGATAACAGCGTCGCCACTGCCAAGTTCGGAGGTGAATCAAGACAATGACAATAACAACAACAACTCCAACTCGGATCCAGATCAAGAGTCATCGGGCTCTGGTCTTTCTGGCAATGCCAAGAAGGTCATCATCTGCACTACTACTATCGGTATGTCAGGAAATCTGCGCAAGATCAACAGTATGCTAATGTTGGTCAGGCGGGACTTTCATACTCGCCTTGCTCATATACGCGCTATGTCGAAGACGACGAGGTGCCTCGTATTCCGAGATTGTGCGCTTCAGACTACATTCGAGTACAGTTGTGTTGAATCCCATGTCGGAAGACGAGCGCCTTACTGCACTGCCTATATATCGACAGGATCGCATCTCGATCCGGTCTTCAAGGCATCCGTCTCGGCTAGACTTGGCGCAACAATCTAAGAGAGTACCGAGGATGCCCTCGTCACTTCGAAAGGAGTGGCGAGTAGAAGAGCCTGTCGATAGGCCATCTAGTCGACCGAAAACACCAAAGACGCCGACAAAGCAGGAGGGACGTTCGTTCCTCAAAGATGCTACGCCCCCATCCAAGCAAGTGCTCCACGAACCTGAACAAGCCCACGTGCCCTTGAACAGGGTCAGTACTCTGAGCCTCCCTCTCATGAGGCATTCAGTACAACCTCAACCACCCACGCAGAACGACACAATCGAAGAGCACGACCAGCGACAGCTCGAATCAATGTCCCCACCTCACAGCCCCGACTCCCAACTAGACCTCCACCAACGCTGGAGCTGGACAAACTCCCAAGCCCCGTCAACACCACGAATAAAACCACCCACGCGCACATCCCTCACAAGTCTCCGCCTCGGCTCCGTCGCCTCATGGGTGAAATCCCAACGGAACGATGAGGACGAAAAGCAACGACAGGCCCACAAAAGAGGACTTTCACGGCCTCTGCTGAAGAATCAGGCCATCAGACCGGTGCTGGCGCCGGCGCCGCCGAGCAAGAAACTCTCGAAAAAGGGCAAGCACGGCAGGGTAGGCAGCTTGTCGTCGATTTTCAAGCCGAATCCGAATTCGCTGGTGCCGCAGCCTCTGTCTCCGCGGGTGGAGGAGGGGAATCTTTCTTCGCCGGAGGAGACGAGCATTGAGATGAAGGGGAAGTCTTGAAGCAAAAGCCTCGACCAGAAGGAATGTCTTATGGTGTTTGCTGTATATGTTGGTGTGATAGGCTCGGGCAGCTTGTTGTAGAGGGGCATACAGTCGTACATATATGTGTGACGGGCTTGGTCGTTCATTTTTGGTTTCAGTTGAGATACCCTGAATAGCGTTATAAGTGAGCTTTTGGGGATGAGGGTTTTGAGGATGGATGTGATACTACAGGCCGGATGGCTTGGCTTCTCTTCTTTGTACATGGCAACGATATTTGAGATCAAGCACATATACAGCTTTTGTATACTATCAGATGAGCGACTCGCTTTTTAGAAGCCGCCAGTGGAGAAGTTTCGGTTTCAGTCCCAAGATTCTTTGGAATTGCAATACTGCTATGTTGAACGCCTTCGCTAATGTCGCATGGAGGTAGTAGTGTTGAACCACCGACGAACATGAAAGACCAAAAACCCCCAGAAAACCTCCATCCAACTCATCCTGCGTCAATCAATCATTTACTCAGGCCTCGCCTCCTGCCCATACCCGCCCTTCCCCTCCAAACTCTGATACGTCAACCCCTCCGCCTTCCTCACATTCCTCGGTCCCCTCTCGCTCAAATCCTCCTTCAACCAACTCATAACCAACTGCCCCAACCGACTATTCCCCTCCTCGCCCCCATCCGTCCTCGGGACCTCAAACGTCCCCATCGGGCCCCACTTCTTTACCTTCCCCAGACTCATATGCACGAGGTGCGTGGGCCACTGCGCGAGGTTGTCCAGGATGTGCGTCGCGTAGACGATGGTGCAGGAGCGGGATTCCGTCTCGCGCTTGAGGAATTGCAGGAAGTTGTGTCGCGAGAGGAGGTCTAGATCCACGGTGATTTCGTCGAGGAGCAGGACCGTCCACGGTCGTAGCAAACCCATGCATAACTGCACCCGACGGCGTTCGCCGTCCGACACGGCGTGCAGGTGCCAGGAGAGGTCGACGTCCAAGATCCTCACGAGCTCATCGCGACGGTCCGGGTAGTGGTCCCCTCCCACCGAACGCAGCAGTTCCGGCACGCCAATGTCGCTGCGCACGATGGGGTTCAGAACCCACTCCAGCCCGAGATACGTCACGCCCTCGAGGCCGACGGTGAAGGGGTCGTTGGCGCCTATGTACACTGTTCCTGCGGGCGCCATGCGTTTGCCGGAGAGCAGGCGGAGGAGGGTCGTCTTGCCCGCGCCATTTGCTCTGAGGATTTAGCATTCCGTGTATGTGGAGGTTGTAGGGGAGGCTCACCACCGATCAGGAGACAGCGCGCGCCGGCGGGGAGGTCGAGGGAGACGTTTTGGAGGCCGGAGCTGCCGTCTGGGAAGGCGTAGGAGAGGTTTTGGACTTTGATTGTTGGGGGTGGTGGTTGGGAGGTTTGGCCTGTCATCTTGGGAGAGGAGGGAGGAGGGTGTTTTCGTGTTGCGGTATGTGATTCTTTCTTGTGAACAGGGCTTTATATTGTGATCTGAGGGATTGTATATTCGTACGGCAGATGGATTTTGTAGGGCGTTTTCGTTCCATGTCGCCATTCACTGACGCATGACTCGCTCGCGTGGATCGGGGCGTCTTTTCGGCAAGCGAGGTGCGAGACGATCCTCTTTCACATGCTTGCGCCAGGGCTTCTTCTACACACTCCCAACCTTTCTTCATGAAACTCCGATGCGCATACAGCGCTGGACTCGATTCTTATCCACGATGACACGCTCACCGCCTCGTAATCCCCTCGTCGCCATAATCGGCGCGACAGGCACAGGTAAATCAGAAGTAAATGCAGACTCACACTGGACACGCGACACCACATCCTGACCACCGCAGACAGCTGGCGGTTGAGATTGCGAAACGACACAATGGCGAGATTATCAACGGAGACGCGATGCAGCTCTACGCTGGCCTGCCCATCATCACCAACAAGATCACAAAAGAAGAACAGCAAGGAATACCACACCATCTCCTTGGATGTATAGGCTTGCACGAGCAGACATGGGTCGTAGGGACGTTCGTCCGTGAAGCGTTGAAGACGATTGCAGAGATAAGGTCGAGGGGACGACTTCCGATCCTTGTGGGCGGGACACATTACTACACCCAGAGCTTGCTGTTTGAGGATAAACTGGCAGAAGAGGGCGTCGAGGACGAGAAGCCGGACTTCGTTGAGGATACGAGCAGCAAATGGCCGATTCTGAAAGAGTCTACAGAGGTGATTTTTCAAGAGCTGAGGAAGGTCGATCCGGTTATGGCAGAAAGGTGGCATCCGAATGACAGGAGGAAGATTCAGCGGAGTTTGGAGATATACCTGCAGACGGGACGAAAAGCTTCGGAGATATACGCTGAGCAACGAGCCAGGAAGAATCATGCGAATGGTAAAAATGGTGATGTTGACATGCTGGACACTCCCACGATGCGATTCCCAACCCTGCTCATCTGGGTACACGCGCAAGCCGATGTCCTGCGAGAACGACTCGACAAACGTGTGGATAAGATGCTCGAGCGTGGTCTTCTGCAGGAAGTGGAAACACTCGAGAAGTTCGTGGACGAGCAGGCTACGGCTGGGACGCCCGTGGACGAGACGAGAGGTATCTGGGTCAGCATTGGATACAAAGAGTTCAAAGACCTCGCGCGATTCCTACGAGACGGCGGGACGGATCTGGATCGGCAGAAGAAGCTTATGAGCGAAGCTCGAGAGAAGACGCAGATTGCTACGCGACAATATTCCAAGCGGCAAATCAGATGGATCAGGATCAAGCTTGTCAACGCCCTCGCAGAAGCCAGGTCCAGCGAGTCTCTATACCTGCTCGACGGCTCTGATCTTGCGAGCTTCGGAGGAGACGTCGTCGAGCCAGCTATGGACTTGACCGACCAATTCCTGCGCTCAGAGGACATGCCCTTGCCATCGTCGCTATCCTCCGCTGCTGCAGAAATGCTGACTCCAAAACGGGACTACGACCTATCAGCGAACCCCGACAAATGGAGCAAACAATACTGTCTTGTCTGTGATGTGACTTGTGTCACGCCGGAGCAGTGGCAGCAACATACGCGGAGTAAGGCTCATAGGAAGCTGACGTCGAAGAAGCGGGGTGCTGAGCGTGATGTTGAGCCGCCGCCTTGAACTGGACGTTGAGAAATTCTTTGGGTATATCTTCTACCTGGGGATCACGCGCTTGGAGCCGTGGTCTCACAACCCCTGGCAGGAGGCGGACGACGCCCTCACGATACATGTCTACGAGCAAACATCGGCTCTGGCAAACCGCGATCCTACGAAGGCGCTTCGACGTGGAGTGGAGACTCTCGTTACTAAAACAACAGTCGTCCGCCCCGTCTCGATCAGAGCAATCCTGAACACGCCAGGATACTTCAAGGCTCCAGGTCACTCATATGGGAGCTTGGAGTCCTCTGTGACTTCCAAAAGCAGGTTAGTGCCATGCAAGAACCTCAGACCGAGGCTATGTCGTTTCGAGCATTTCCCGACTTCTTCTTTCACTGGTACGTCTCTGCAAAATGTAAACCGAACAATATCTGCGTCTGACGGACTGTATTCGACGGCGCAGGATTGGTTACATCATGCCTCCTCCACGAGACGGCAACGAGCCGATCCCCTTCGAGCGATTGATCAAGCTGGAAAGATTGAACAAGGACACCTTCAGGTCCATTGCCCTACCCTTCACGCCAGATGCCCCGAATGGCGTCCGAGGAGTCGCATACGGAGGCCATGTGTACATGCAAGCGGCATGGGCGGCTTGCCAGACGGTAGCGAAAGGCTTTCAATTAAGTGTATGTAAGTTCCGACATTTAGATGAAGGCAGTTCAGAGCCTTTGCCTCCGCAATTCCCATCATGACTACCTGGCAAATGGAGCTCATACCTTCTTCGTCCCGATAGAACGTCTCCGGCAACTTTATCCTCCCTGGAACGCCCGATCTCAAATTCACCTACCACGTCCAGACCATCCGAGATGGTCGTTCCTCTGCCACACGCATCGTCAACGTCTCCCAGAAGGAAGGCAAAGGCTTTATGTTCACCTGCACCTGCGTCTTCAAAAACCCCGAACCCAATCCCCTAGACGTGCAATCCCCCATCAACCTCTGGGACAAATACGCCATCTCCCTCAAAGACAAACAACCCTGGTCCTTCCCCGAATGCCCGGGCTTCGACGTGCCTTGGTACTGGCGCGAACAAGCCAATGGAAAGAAGAACGACATCTTCCCCGGCCTCGACACGCGGAAAGCGGATTTGTCGAAGTACAACCAGAACCGCCACCCGCTGGACCGTCGACAACTCGTCTTCTACAGAAGTATCGGCACGATCCCCGCCGACGACGTGAACATGCACCTCTGCGCACAACTCTACGCCAGCGATCGGAACAGCCTCTTCATCGTCGCCAACGCACTCGACATAGGCGATCTGTACACGGGGATGGGGAGTTTGATCCATCAGGTGATTTTCCACACGGGCGCGGAGGATTTGGGGTTTGGGGAGGATGTTGGGGAGGAAGGGAGTCGGTGGTTCTGTAAGGAGGATTCTTGTACGAGGTATGCGAATGGGCGGGGACTGTTTTTTAGTCGGGTTTGGAGTCCGGAGGGGAGGCATGTTATGACTGTTACGCAGGATGGGATGGTGAGGTTGCCGAGGGAGGGTGGGGAGGGGAAGGTTGAGGATGTTGTGAAAGGATGGGACGGTCTGGAGCCAGAGGAGATGCAGCAGGTCAGGAGGGGGAAGGGAAAGCTTTAAAGGTCGGAGTCCTCTTGTCACTTGGACCGGTTAGGCTAGAGAAGACTGCCAACTCCTACCTGAGGGGGAATCTCTGTCGTTGAGTCCTCAAGCTCGAATACAGTACAGTATTCGGTCACGTCGGAGCCTCACCAAACCCGTGGTCACATCAAACATCTCAGCCAATCTGATGTCCACCCACCGCGTCCGTAGCACCCTCAACCTCCTCCTCCTTGATCCCAACAGCATGCATCATAGCCTTCCGACACTTCCTCAGCCCAATCCGAATCGTCTGCAACCACTCCGCAACTCGACAATCCTGATGATCAACATGTCCCTCCATCTCCTTCAACTTCTCCCGATACGTCCGCTCAATAGCCTCCCCAGCCTCCTTCTGATCCTCCGGAATCGTGAACCTGACAGATAAGCACTCCCACTCATATGTCCCCTCACCAACCAAGCACGGCAGTCGGCGAGGGGATGTATAGATGCGTAGATGCCGGTGATCGATCGTCAGTGTCATCGACACGAAGATGGCGCTCTGTCGCAACATGGGGAGGAGCTGCTTGCGCTCAAGGCATCTGGCCATGGTCCGCCACTCACGGCTCCCTGAACCATCCGACCTCCAGAGTTCCCACTGACCCAAGTCGATCTCGTAGTGTGAGATGGCGGCGCTGTTGGCAGGGCCGATGCTCTTGAGCCACTTCCTCCCATGCTTCAGACGAAGCCCGTAGCGCCTGGTCTGCTCTTTACTCATCTTCGTCCCGAACCGGTAGAGCTTCATAGGGTGCGTGAAGGTGTTGATGGAGTAGAAGAGCTGCGAGGTCTCTTTGCGCATCTGTCGACAGACTGTTGTGATGGCAAAGAAGTTTGCCTCCTTGGGCTTACGGTTCGGTTTGCGGATGTCTACTAGCTTGTTCTTGTCGTACCTCCCGTTTCTGTAGGTGAACACGAAGCCTTGCGGGTCGTAGAGGACGAGTTCGTAGATTTGGTTGCGGAGCTCGGGGGCTAGTTTTGCGAATGGGGATCGATCCATCTTGGCTGTTGGTGACGATAAGAATGTCGAGAGTTGAATGGTGTCGATGTCGTGCTGTAAAAGGATGGTTCGAAGACTAAAGCCAGTCGACCGACGGTGTTTGCCGTCACAGAAGCCTTAGACACGCGCATAGTCTTAGCTCCAGCAAACGAAGTGAATGAACCAGTCTCAGCTGGTGCAGCCGCTTCAATGAATCTCAAAAGACCGCACCAGATCACCACTCGCAGCTCGCATAAACTCGCCCTATACAAACATTAGTCTCACCGTCCCCATTCATCATCCCTACTCGACAAAGAAAACTCACCCCCATAATCCCATGAACATAACACGGCCCCAAAAACACATAGTGCCCACCCTCCCTCCTGAGCATCCAAGGCGCATCGCTCCCAAAGGGTACACAAACCACATCGTCCACCATCATGTGCTGCGATCCAAGCCCCATATATCCTCTCTTCGTGAAGAAGACCGATCGAAATCGAGTGTGGATTTGGAATTGTAACAGATACCTGGCTTCGTCGCCGAGTCCTTCGTCGAGATTGTCCCGGGCCGACTGGCTCAGCAGGGCGACGAGGCTGCGTAGGGAGGTGTTTTGAAGGGCGGCGCCGAAATGTGTTTCTCCCAGTGAGTACTCAGACTGCATGAAGGGGTAGTATCCGCATGCTAGGGTTAGACCCAGAGCAGTCGTGTACGACTGTCCGTTAGGAGTCAGGGCCTTGGCGGCTAGCGGTGATAGCTCCCTCACAGCGTTCTCAAAGTCAAGACGCAGGTCGTCCGTAGTCTCGTGCTCGCTAAGCGGCACGAATGGCCTCGAGACGTACTCCACCTCATCCACAACGACGCCTTCGCATCGAAGCACAGGATCCCCCAACGGAGCCGGTGTCAGCTCAGCGGTCGTGTCCCCAGCGGCGTTGAACATCCACCACGGGAAGCCACAAGGGTTAACGAGCGGATCGTAGACTTCCTGCCAGAGGGGAACCCAGGTCGGCCAATTGTGCTCCTTGTACCACTGCGTCGGCTTGTTGCCCAGCACGCGCGCCAGCCGCGTAATGTCCAGCGAGTCCTCGTCGCCATCAACCAAGCAAGCCAGTCTCGCCGCTTGGGTGTACACAGTCGGGAGAGGCAAGCTGTAATCCGGCTTGATCTTCTCCCCAACATCGGCACCGCAAAGTCCAAGAATCGCATACACCTTATCCCGGGGCTCCGAGTTGAGATGATCATGCGTCTCTCGAAGCATATCGTGTAGGGGAAGTCCGGGGCAAGAGACCCCTGGACGACAGTCGCCCAAGGCGTGGCTACTCGGATATTCGTAGAAACAGCGCATGCGATACAATGCTCGAGCGTAATCGATGCTGCGGGCCAGCAGGCCCAGCTTGCGATTCCGGAACGAGCCTCGTTGATAATCTCGTTTCCCGATCCATTGCGCAAGCAAGATGGCGTCCATGAGGATGATGCTCTCGTGGCCATAGAAAGCGATGGCGTTCCTGCTAAGAGCGACCTCTTGAAGTGCCCAAAGCCTCGTGAACCACCGACTGGAGTAGAAAGCGATAAGTCGTTCCTCCGTAAGGGCCACTGGCAACCGCACGTCTGGGAGCTCGGTGTTGAGCTCAAGAGCGAGTCTAAGGGCAGCAGTGTCGCTGTACTTTGCTTTGAGCTGAGCGATGGCGTCTGTAATTGCCTGCATGGTTTCGGCGTGACCATCGAAAGGCCGTCCCAGGTAGACTAGAACTTGACGTGCGTTGGCATAGATGTTGGCCATGATGGCGACTTGCCGCGATCGCTCATCGGTGTCCGCCTGGTTGATGCACAACGCGTCGATCCACAGGTGTATCGTGATATTCTAATTCCCATCATCCCGGGTTTTGGTAACACCCACTAGCAGACATCTCAACGCCTCCTCAGCCTGGGCTGGAACCTCGACATCGTCTCCGTTGATATAAATTCCTCGCCATGCTTCTGTTTCCCCCCAAGCGTAACTTATGGCCGAGTAGACTGGCGCCTCGTCGAGAGGCCATTTCGACACCGAGCAGGAGAGCGGTCCGCTTTCATCGGTGGCGAGTCCGGCCGCAGAGAAAGACAGCAGGCGAATTTCTCCCCTCGCGGCGTTCAGTTCATCGTAGTCGTATCCAGCGATGGCCGCCGACTGCGTAGATCCGTTCATATCAGAGGCTCTGAACATTAAAGGACTGGTGTTATAGGATTATAATCTCCAGGATGGGGAGCTGGCCAGCGCCCCTCATAGGTCCCAATCCGTAAGCGTTTTACTTACTTCCTCCCTGCTCTCGAAGTTAGCCGGTTCCTTTCGTCTGAATGATGTGTAAAGACGAGGTGCGTGCGAAGATGCATCGCGACTTTCGAAGCGATGTGGAGAACCGACCTCGACCTGCACCTGCAGCACCAAGGAAAGAACTGCGTGGATATCAACGAATCAGCCCACTCCTCAACAACAACATCAAGGATTCAGAAGCATCAATAGCTGACTTGAAAAAAGGCCCTCATTTTCCACTGTTACTACTGAGACACTCACACGCACTCTTCCCAGACGCCGGCCTTGCAAACAAAACAACGAATCTATAATGCCCCAAAAAGGTATCTCACAGTAGCAGCCGCGGCGCTTCTTCTCTGTTGCAAGACAAACATTACACACAGCAAAAGTCCCCGAAAAACGTTGGCATTGAGCTGCCTTCTACTCTCTCGAGACGTCACGGCCAAATATGTACGACTTGATCCAGTCCATGAAGACCAGGACGCGGTTTCGTGCTGGTTCAAAATTGTTAGCATCAAGCCCAAGATATATGAATTGGAGGGGCCAACTCACTGCTAAAGCACATGCTCAGATACGCCGACCGCCAAAAGAGGTAGGTCAACTGTCCACCACTGGCAAGGTTACCCGTCAACCACGAGATATCAGCAACGGCCTTCTCGCTGCCAATGTACGCCAAAGAGCCTTGGTGGGAGTATTCGAAAGGACCCATCTGCTTGACGCGGCGCAGACGTTTCTGCAGGTCCTTGATCTCCTCAAAGACCTGATCCCGGGCCTCCTTGTTGGGTGCTTTGCCCTGCTCCTCGGAAAGGTCCTTGAGCTTGAGCTCGATCTCCTCGGTCTTGGCCATTTGGTTGAACAGTCGTGCGAGGAACGCTCCTTCTTGACCGGCGACCTGGGCGGTTGGGGCATAGTTGGCCACGGCGCAGTCTCCGACGGCCCAGATGTTCTCGGTGCCCTTGACCACGAGATACTCGTTGACGGCAAGACCACGGCGGGAGTCCTTTTGAGCTGGGATCTGGTTGATGAGATCCTTCACGATTGGCCGAATTGCGTTACCAGTAGCCCAGACAAGGAGTCCGTATGGGATCTTCTCGATCTGCTTCTGGCCGTTCGCATCCGTGTATTCAGCTTCAATGTACGTTTCCGTGACATTCTTGACCATCGTCTTCGTCCTGATCTCAATCGTCTCCTCCTTGAAAGTCTTCTCGGTGTAGTCGATCAAGCTCTTGGAGAACATGGGCAGAACGGATGGCAGGGCTTCAACCAGGGTGACGTGAAAGCTGTTCTGAATCTCGGGTATCCACTTCTTGAGGTCCTCCTCGAAGAAGTCTTGCAGCTCACCGGCGAACTCAACACCAGTTGGGCCGCCGCCGACGACAACCATGTGCAACAGGCGCTTGACCTCATCCGGCGATTGATCCTTGAAAGTCGCAGTCTCGCAGCAGTCCATGATTCGCTTCCTGATCTTCTGCGCATCGCCAACCTCCTTCAAGAAGCAGCCATGCTCGCGCACACCAGGGATACCAAAAGTCGCGTTCTCAGCACCGACACCAACAACCAGCATATCGAATGGCACTTCGTTCTGGGAGATGGTGCCCTTGATATCAGAGTCACCGCTGATGTAGACAATCTTCTTCTCGTAGTCGATCTTGGTCGCTTCAGCTTCGTAGTACTTCACAGAAGCCTTCTTGTGACGGAGGAAATTGCGGATCGGTTCCATGATGCTGCGGTGCTCGATCGTTCCGGTCGTACATGATGGCAGGAGAGGCGTGAAGAGGAAGTAGTTGCGCGGGGATATGACAACGACGTTGTAGTTCTCAGTGTCCAGGTTCTTGAGCAGAGAGACAGAGCCCCAGCCGGTTCCTGCGATGCATCAGTATATGCGCGCGTCCGCGACTCAATCTCCATCCAGCTTACCGAGCACGACCAGCGTCTTCTTGGTAGGATCAGGCTCCTGCTGCTCGACGGGATTGCGGTTCTGCCAGATGCCATACGCGGTATATCCCAGCCCTCCCAGCACAGAGAGATAGGTCAATCTCCACGTCCACTTCAAGACTCCCCACGACCTCTTCTTGACCTGCTCCTTGTTGGGCAGCTTATCCGCGAATCCTCTCCGGAAGCCCGCGCGCAATTGCTGCTTGTCGAGCTTAGAGCCAGCTCGGAGCGACTGCTGAAAGGGCGTCTTGTCGAAGGACCTCTGCGCGGTCGCGAAGCCGCGCTTGAGGCCAATGGAGGCGCTCACGGCGGCGAGCGGCCTCACTGCGACCTTGGACGCCATTGGAGGTGATGGAAGGGGAGGAGAAGGTGGGCAGAGAGGATGGAAAACGCTGACTCCCAATTGACGCCCTCAACTTTTTGATAGCGACCCTGGGAACAGGGAGGCCCAAGCTCAGTTTTCGCAAGATTCGGGCCGCCGATCGCTGTGGCTTCTCGCTCTTTACCCGGATGCCAACGGGCGGAAGAATTGGCAAAGATTGAGGTTGATGATGTCGCCGCGCTGTTGAGAGACGCCCAATTACTCGCCTGCTGCAAGATTGTTTCTACTCGCCCCTGATAAGCAGCTCTCCGTACCCAACAATGTCTCTCTGCTGTCTCTTTCAAGACGTCACTTGCCTCAGCCAAAACCTAAAAACAGAAGCTTTCATCCTTTGCTCCGACTTACATTAGCCTCGCCATGTGCTCTTCTATCGGATCCGAAGTGCAAGTTCAGACTTCACATTCTCGTCTGCATCGACATTGAATCCGTGATTATTTCGTCCTCGTCTTGAACTATTGTACACGTTGCCGTCACTCGCGACAGTGCAGCCTCCAAACATGCTGTTGAGCCAGAGCTCCCGCCGTGCATCCGATCCGATCTCTACCGAAGTGCTCCATCTCCCGACTGCCTGTCAAGGCATGCATGCAAAGTGACCAGGCCTCCCGTGGTCTCATTGAACTCCCGCTAAGAAACAGCAAAACGCAACACACAAAGCAGTATGCAAATAGGGGTATCTGCGGCCATCGGACAGAAGGAAATATGCATCATGGGCATGAATGTACGGAGTCTGAGCTGGCCAAGTAGGTCTCGGCTGCTCATAGAGCGATGGGCTATCGTAGCGTCGCGAAAAGTACCATTCCGGTCGTGAGGAGCATCGCGACGAGGGAGTAAGAAGTCGTCGAGGGCGCGAGTGAGCTCATGTTGCCCTCGCTGTCAAATGGACTGCCTCCTCCGCTGTTGTCGTTCATGTTCGCTTGCGCGTTTCCGGTGGATGATGAGGTGGGAGTGGAAGTAGCTGTCGGTACGGTTGAGGTGTCCACCAGAATACCGCTACTCGATGCTGCACCCAGAGCCAAGGTGGATGACGCCAGGCTGGTTGCTGTCGCCGTACCGCCCAGAGCCGGTGATGAAGAAGATGTCGATGTCGAGGACGTAGACTCGCTAGATGAGGTTGAGGTTGCTGATGAAGAGCTCGCCTTGCTGTTGATTGCAGTTTTGGAAGCAGCTGGTGCGCTGGTGGTTGCCGCTGCAGTGGTGCTATCCGAGTCTCCCCCCAGCACTCTGTTTGCATTCGGACACAGCGAAACCGGTCCACCACCAGACAGGAACGTCGATATAATGTTTCCACCTTCGATGTCCTTGTTCCCACAAGCCGTCTTCACCTTGGAAGTAAACGAATTCAGCGCTTTCACGCAGGCTGTGCTGCAGGTACCCGACGAGAAATCGGAAGCTTGGCAGCCATTGATGGACTGCGTGTATACCGTCTGGCAGCTCGAAGGAAGGTCGGACACGCGCGGCGTGAAGTCGGAGAGACTGACGGCAAGGATCGTAGTTGGGAGCGCAAGAAGCGCAAGTGTTGGTCGCGAGAATCGCATGTTGATCGAATCGAAGGGTCGGCGTGGGAGGAAATTACAGTTGGTTCAGTCCGCCGGGCAGTCAAGGTCAAGGTGGGCGACGTGTGCCGCGAGAAATTGGCCAGTGAGTGAGAGAGCGTGTGATGGTGTTTCGCGTCGTGGTCGGACTCGCGGGTCGTGTGTCGTGCGATGTCGTTGCGGCGGTTGCGAGCGAGGGGCCGTTTCACGCAGTCGCACTGTGCTGTGTACGCAAGGCCTCCACGAGCACTGCCGTGGCAGTTGGATTGAGGTCGAATGAGTGGCCGCCGAGAGCGCCGGGCTGCAAGGCGTGTAGGGAGGAGTGTGCGTGCGTGCGTGCCAGGCGAAGAGCCGCAGGGCTTGACTTGGTATGCTGGTCTGATGCGGAGAATATAGAAGTGTCAGGATCGGCTCCGCCACGGGCCAACGGTCTGAGGCAAACGAAATTGTTGCCGACCACGCGCAGCAGGGCGGGACGCACGAGGGAGTGCGGGCTGCAAGTGATGAGCGTGAGGAGGAAAATAGAAGCAGCGTTGTCAGGCCCAGTGTTGTTGGTGCGCCGGCATCATGAATCGGGAAAGTGCGAGGAAGCAGTTCACCACGAATCTTCGCCCTTCACAAGCAGCAACGTGCCAGCAACAGAACAGCGTGAGGCTTGAGATGAGACAGCAGCCGCCGTCTTCTGCGACCGCCGAGGGACGAATGGCAGCGCGCTCTCTGCGTGTTGTAGCATCGTCTGGTATGCTGCCAGACGCCAGCATGTTTCGACCTCTGAAACACTTCAGGGGCTCCCTTCCTGCCTCGTGGTTGGTCTACCATCGACGTCATTGTGCACCGAGGCATATGCTCAAGATGCGATCTCCATACCACCTCACCTTTAACCCATCCCACAGCCAGGATGCTCTGTTGTGTGCTTTCCTACCTGGCCTGACAAGGTCACTCAAAAGGGCTGATCCGTTTCATCAGGTCCTGCTTGCTGGCTTCACAATCATCACAGCCTGCACGTTTCTTTCTTGATATTGCATCCGGCGGTGTTTCAGATGGCAACTTCGGCGGATGTGACATCCATGCGGTCAGGATCATTCCCATTGGTCGTCTTGATGCAGTTCAAAACGACGACATACTCCTCGGTCGTTGGTATGATGTGCAGGACTTGGCCATACAGCCGGGAAATACTTGAGAGGTCAGGCGGTCTAGTCAAGATTGCTCAGAGCCGGCTTAGCACTCCTCGTGAATAGACTGCCACGGACGGCCTACATCATGTGCAACATGTATCGTATTCATCAGTCGGTGAACAAGTCCGCATCAAGGGAGTTGGCTGGGAACGAAGCGGCCACAGCCAGGGCTATATGTGCTGCAAGTCCACGAAGATCAAACCGGCTGTCTTGACAACACATTGGTCTCTTCCGCTCGTTCCATCCAGCCGGGAATCGATCCGGTAAAAGTGAATATCTGGTTACAACAATTCTCACATGCAGAAATGCTGCTCCGTCTCTGTTGGAGGATGAGAGGCTGCTGTGGCGACTCCATCTTCGTGTCAACCTCCCAAGGCGAAGTTCGTATCATCGGTCTCGCTTCGCTTCGCGAGTCTCGCATTTTGCGCGTATACATACGTGTCCTCCTGCTCGTGCTTTTCGTCATCCGGACGGACAAATTCTTTTTGCCTCTCATGTCGGTTCGCCCACTAGTGAGTGCCAGTAGTCAGCAATTCGAAGCGAGCAGCTGAAAAATGGTCTTGGTGGATAACTTCACTCAATGAAGTGGATTGTTGATGTTACCTTCGAAGACCATGAACTTTCCTTCCTCGAAGGAAGTATAGACGTGGGGTTGAGTGTTGAGAAAAGAAGCAAAAGTCATCTGATGATCGTATGGGGACCGAGACCACTCCTCGCCAGTCCCAGAAAATCGTATTGTCCACTATCTAGCTCATAACAGAGCCGATTTCACCCCGTGCCATCTCCAGCCGGGTGGGCACACAGCCGGCGAAATCTACCAGCCTCTCTTCCTCTCCCTTCCGCAGCCAGTACTGTACAAGTGAAAGAATCCTGTCTGTATCCGCGGCCTCCTCTCTGGCTCGCTCGTGGTAACGCCCTTGAATATGCTTTCATGATCTCTTCGATCGGCTTCATCTGTTGGAAGCCCCGATATGTGAAACGCCTGTGTATGCCATGCATGCGCTCGAACGCAGGACTGAATAAAATGCTGAACAAAAGTATATACACAAGTGCAGAGAAACGCAGGGTGGCGAAAAATGACTTTCAATAGTCATCCGTCGCAGTTTTATTGATTATTAGCAAATGCTTGACGCTCGCTGGTTGGGACTTCATTGTTGTTGAGGAACCAAATGCGATTGCTGCTGGGAGTTCTGGAATCCAGGCCATTGGTGGATCGGTGTCATCTCTTGCGGCTGATTGCCATCAAGCCAGAGATTTTGTGCAACGTATGGGAGGCGGCCCGAATGTTGAACTGGCTTGCCGAGTGGCTGGTACTGCATTCGGTTGAGTTCGACTGTTGGTAGTCGAGCCTGCATCGCTCCCGATGGAGGTGGGTAGAGTAGCGTCGACACGTTGTGAACCGGGCGGTAAGGTGAGTTCCTCTGTTGCAGAAAGTATGTTGGTGAAATCTGGGTGGTTGGGTGCAGAGCTGTTGCTGATTGGGGCAATCCGTTGGTGGGAGATGTTGCTCCAGAGCCTCCATATGGGCTTTGATGTCTCGAGCTGTACTGTGACTGCGGCTGCATCGAAGGTGCCGCTGGAGCCGGGATTTGCTGAGACATGCTCGATGAGCTCGCATTTGGATAGACCATTGCCATGGCCCGTGATTGGATGTTCAAAGGAGGAAGTTGCTGTCCCTGGCTGGGCGGCTGTGCATACGCACTCGTCGAGGGCTGAGATGTTGGAATCGAGAGGCTCGGCAGAGTAAGACGAGGTACGGGTTGAGCTTGTGCTGGCTGCGCTGACTTGGTAGAGTAGCGCTGTGGTGAGGTGTAATTCGGGTAACCAGTTGCAATTCTCTTGGGATGTGGCTCATTCGAGTAGTCGTCATGACTTCGCTTCCTGGATCCTGCCTGAGCAGAGCTTGCGTTTGCATCAAACTGGTGGCCCAGTGGAGAGGGTGCTGGCGTTGGGCCGTGCTGACCATTGCTGTAAGCACCTCCATTTCGAGCCAGCTCTGCTAAATATGGAGGTGAAGCTTGAGTGGATGCTGGAGGTGATGGTAGAGCCATTGGTAGGTGCAATGACGATGCTGGAGGCAGAATTGGTGCAATCGATGGTGGTGGTGGTGGCGGTCTTGAGGCCTTCTCGAAGAACGATGCAAACTTGCCCAGAAGTTCTTGCCATCGTGCCCAATCTCGCTCCGAGGTGAAGAGGTTGTACTTCATATTACTCAAAAATTCGACCTCCATGATATGCACCTCTCCCACGTTGATTCCAGACACTTCAGCCCAGGTTTTGTTGGTGTACGTGTTATCGTCCAAGAACTTGTTACCCAGCATGAGTGCCACAGTGAGTAATCGATACTCACTGCCTGGCTTTCCTCTCACATTCGGATTCAGCTTCTTCAGTCTGTAGATGAACAGTAGGGCCAGGACTACAACGTTCTGAGCAACTTGTGTCGTGGTGAGGGTTGTAGCGACCCATTTTCTGAAGCCCGTCGTTGGCTTTGCGTCAGACGCCAGTTGTCTCGTCGGCTGGAGGTTGATCGGACTGTCTTCAACCTGCTGAAGTAGCTCTGATGGTTCGAACCAGAAAAGACAGGTGATCTACGCAATCGGTCAGTTGGTCCTTCACTTCCAACCTCACCACCCTCTGCTCACCTGTGCTGCAAGCTCGCCCAAACTGCCACCGCTGTCATTCACAGCCCTGGGAATTTGAAAGTTGGCTGCTATTGAGTTTGCGTGCGATGGTCGTCTCTGAGGCTGCACAGGTTCAATCGCTGCTTGTCGAACAGGTGAGACGCGGCCGTTGGTTGGGGGAACGAGGCCATGGCGGCCAAAGTCCGCGTTGGTGGCCTCTTGCGGTAGGTATGGAGCTACAGGAGCTCTGTACGCTTGCTGTGCTGGCATCAAGTCCCCATAGTGGTGGCCGTGTTCCCTAGGGAAGTCGTTGGGTTTGGGAGCCTGAGACACGCCGCTCATCTCAGGCGGAGGTGTGAGAGGACTGCCAACGTCCTGGTAGCGGGATTGGGCAGGCCACGCTGGACGTGACTTTTCGTAGGCCGTGTGGTGGTTCTTGGGCGGCGTGAGGTCCTTGGAGACGGCGAACGGGTCTTTGAAGCGGATTGCTGAAGCGGCATACATGGAGGAGAGCGGTCGTTGGGTGCTCGTCATGAGGAAGTGGTGGTGGTGTTGGCGGCAGCAGTGAAGAGGGGAGCGGGCGCCGCGGAGGTCATGTGGAGTGGTGGTGGTTGTTGACAAGAAGGAGCAAGGAAGAGGGCACGGTGACGAGGAATGGATGTGAAACCCAACCGGCAGTGAAGTGAGGTTGGCCTGTCCGCAGAGTGTGGCACTGCCGGAAGGAGACTGGGACGGTCACGGTCGTGGCTCCAGGCGGGCGGGCAGGTTCAGATCAGGTCGTTAGGCCAGGTCGGTATGGGATTGGCAGGCGGGCGCCGTCAACGGAAGCGGCAACGGCGAAGGGTGGTCAAGCGGAGGTGGATGATTGCTTGGGTGGATTATGGAGGTGTCGATGTGGCGAGCGTGCCTCACGCAAGGGCGGCGGCAGCGAGATGAGGCAGCGGCATGCGCAAGCAGGTGATGATGGAGACTGGGGCGGGCGGAGGTCGAATGCCACGGGATGCGTCCACCACAGCGCAATGATATGGTCATGGATGGAGACCTGTAGACGAGTAGCAGCGGCCAGCCGACACAGGCGGCAGCAGGACGAGCAGCAGCAGCGCCGGTGCATGCTGCTCGCTAGCGGCCGTGGCCATGGTCTGGGTTAGTCGAGGATGGAGCAAATAGCCATGCGATCATGGCGTCGGAGCACGAAGCACACGCTACGCTACGTCGGTGATGCGATGCTTGGGGGAGAGGGCAGCAGGAGGCAGCGCATCAGACAGATCAGATGGGGAGAAAGCAAAAGCGATGCGAGCATGGCTCAGCGGATGCGCGGCGGGCCCTGCTGCGGTTGGCGACCACTCACAGGCCGCCGCGAGCCAGAGGAGCAATCAGCGCCAGCAGCAGAAGCACCAGCACCGAAACCAGAACCCGGCCAGCCAGCCAGCACCACCGCATCCGCCCGCAGCAACGCGCTGACGGCGGCCAGGACTTCTGGCTGGGAAGGGGAATAGAGTGCTGCTGGCCCATCCATGGATATGCCCTCTGGCAGCGCGCCTCCAACGGCGACGACCTGGGCCCGCCAACTCTAGCACCGCGCAGCCAGCCATCCGCCCAGCAGGGAATAGACTCAGCAGCAGAGCCCGCGATCCTGCATCAGACAGACGCACGCTCCCGCCAGAATACCCATCATCCATCGCAGCAACAATGTAGTGCCATGATGCTGGGCAGACACTGGCTGGCCCCGCCGCGAGGCCGTAACCGCGACCGTGGACGCGCCGTGCAGCACACTCGCAAAACTGAATCACAGATCGCTTTCGCCCGCCCTGCTCCCCAGCGGCTGATCCCAATACATGCGCTGGAGGGACGACGGCGGCGGCGAGCCTGATGTAAGAAGCGACAAGGGAAAGGCTATCACGAACTCATGCCACACCAGCGCCAGAGCCTAAACGAGCCCGTCGCCCAGGCAGTCATAAATAATGACCCGCGGCAACGGATCCAGCAGCAGCGGCAGCATCAGAGACAGACAGCATCTGGAGCAGCGCCGAGCAGCAACGTCGCCGGCCGTCAGCAGCTGTGCCCAGCCGGCATGAGTACGTGCGTGCGTGTATGTGAATGGATTCATCAGTCAGTCAATCAATCAATAGCACCGGCGCCGGGCGGCAGAAGGTGTGGGACGCTACGGTCATCCTGCGAAGCTTGTTGCGTGTGTGCCAGGTGTGTGAGTGAGTGATGGGCGGCAGAAAGCGTGTGCTGCTGCAGCCCTCAGCCGGTGTGCTCCTCGCTCGCCAGCAGCGGTCGCGGCGTGCATGATCGAGAGCGTCCGTCCGTCAGGAGGCGACGTGATGCCTGGTCCGTCGCCCAGCGAGGGATCTGGCTTGAATTACGGACGCCTCGTTTCATTGGCCGCGTGCGCTGGTGGAGCTCTCAGATGCACCAAGGTTCGCAGGCTGATGATGAGAACGGCTAGGTGGGAGGTCCATGAGCTCCGCAAACGCAAAAATTCATGCAAAAGGCAAAACCGGATGGACCCCTCTCCCGGCGTGCCTAATGATTAACACGACTGCAGCGGGCGACGACGACGACGACGATACGATGTCGTCCATCCGCGCGTTGTGTCAGGAGTCCGCCGCCATCATCGCCTGCCTAGCGCTGTCTCGTCTCCTCCTCCCTGTGGAGCCCGCAACCGCGAAAATGTGTGCAAAGAAGCGCCACCCCGGGAGGATGACAACGATGCGAATGTTGCTCCTCGTATGCCCGTGACTTCCCACCTGGTCAGTTGTACCTCCGAAGCCTCGGGAGCGACAAGAATGAATGGGCCGGGTCATGTAGCGCAGCAGCCACCACGCTGTCTTTTGACCAGGCACCTCATCATTCCACTGGAGCGCCCGCCGAGCCTGGCCTGGATGCGTCGGTTCAGCAATAATTTGCCTGCCTGCGCCTGCTTCGGCACGCTGTTGGCTGCGCATCTGACACAGGATCTAGTACCACTGCTGCCAGCAAATTGTGGTTGTTATTATTATTGAACCCGCGCAATCAACGTCGTGCCGCCGCCCAATTGCCTATTGGAGGAGTATCTCGTGAAATTGTTGGTCTGATGAGGCGAGCAGCATCGCTGACCGCAATCCTCCGCCACTAGCACGGCATATACTAGTTGATGCGTATCGGCTTCACGTCGAAGAGAAAGGTTTCGCGAGGTTGCCAATCATGACGCCCGAGCCGGAGCAGCTTGGCGGGACTGGACTGGAACATCACGTATTCCACTTCTCCTCTCTTCCTGTCATCAGCTGTACCTCGAGAATCCTTGTGGACCGGTATCAATAATGACCCAGCAGCTGGATGATAGCGGCGGGAATTGCTTCATCATCATCTTGCCTACCTACCCGAAGCTGCTCGTGGGTACATGACCCGTGGCGGCGCAATGTCTCAGGCTCAGGCTCACGGCTGCTGCGAGAAAAGCAAACCCTGCATTCCGTACAGTTTGTGGTGTGGATGCATCACGGCACAATTGATCAGCAACCTGCTTAAATTGAGTCGGAAGGATGATCGCAAAGTATGTACACCCTGTGACACGAGCCCCCCAGCCGAGAGCTGCGTATGACAAGTGCAAAGCCTTGCGACGCTTAGTGTGTCGTTGAGACGTGGGCAGGAAAAAGGCCGCCCAGCGGATGCCTTGTTGGACGCGCAGCATCACTCTGCAGAAGGGGCGTGTGTGCGCAAGAGATGGAGCCTGTGGAGAGTTGCATGTGTGTTTGGCAGAGTCTCACGCTTGGCCAGCCGTGAAATGCCCAGCAAATCCGCTCCAGTAGCCGTCCATCATGCCAGCTGCATGGCGCGGGCGTATTTCCCCGTCCAGCGTCGACTGTTGGCTCGGAGCCAGGCCGACCGCCTCGTCAAAGCAAAAACCGAATGCTGAGCTGGATGGGACGGCGCAGGGTGAGATTTGGATTGCGCCGTGGTGGTACTAGGCTGGCGATCGTTGTGCATGGGAGAAAATTTCTTATCGACATGCCGTTTTGGGGGTTGGAACTTGCAAGGAAAAGGTTCAGGATAGAAAGGAGTGGAGGCGATGGAGAGATGGGCGCGCCCAGAGACACGCTAACCTCATGCATGTGAGAGCATTGAATCCTGCTACTTTGCTCGAGAGTTTGCGGTGGATAGGCTCGCTTGTCGCGTCGTACACCGGCTGGGCCGAGCGAGCAGCAAATGGGAGGTCGCAGAGCGTGCCGACGGGACGCAGCAAAAGTTACAACACGAGTAGTGGATGGTGTATGAGATGGCCTATCCCCGTAGCGGCTGTCTCTGCTAAACTAGTCGTGCCGCGCACCGCAGACCTGCCCATCGTCGTGTCATCATCGCCGGACGATGGATGCACATGCTGGCGGCGGCTAAAGGCTGTCATGCTGTTCGCGACCATTCTGGCGGTGGCCCGCGGTGGAGCGCTTCATCTTGATGGGCGAGAGGAGAAGCATTCGTCAGCGATTGCCCAGGAGCGACATGACAGAAGCCGCTGCGAGCATCCTCTGTACAAAGTACCTCCTCCGAGACCTCACCTGCTCGCCAATAATCGGTGCCACACAGCAAGGTTGCCCCCTAGCGTTGGCCGGCCTTGTGTGCATCGAACTCGTCTCGTCGTTGCGTGCAGCGTGCTGCTGTTTTGGTGGCCCGTCCAACAGCAAACTACCCAACTACGGTATCCACCCACCTCCTGCCCGTGAGGAGTGATGATGAATGAGTCGCACGGCTGTCAGATGAAAGGACCGAAGCAGACCCATCACATGTGCACGCAATCGTACCGTGGCGCAGCCTCCTTGTCCCCTGTATCTCTGGCCAAAACTCGCGTGCGACGGATATCACGACCAGCAGGGACTTGATGAAAGCGCAATCCTCTGGCGTTCGCAGCATCCGTTCGAGATCCATCTCGGGCACCACGCTCGTGTATTGACGATGAGCAAGCCTCCCGGGAAATGCTGGATCCCGCGCGTCTCGCTTTCGTGAAGAGGACTGGTGTCCATCTAACGCCTGCGGAGACTGGACTCATTGGAGGACTTGCCCTTGACGATGCCTGCTGCCACTGGAAGCTTCCAAGAGGCCAGTCGATATGATCAATGGCTGCATATCACGCGTCGCGACACTCCAGTCACGAGCGGAATCGTATCGTCAACCTTAATCGCCTGCGACAGCTGCGCGTTTGCCTTCTCATCGCGCTGGCGAGTCTTGCGGGGATGTATCAAATTGGCGGTCAATCGGACGACGTCTCCTGCAGCACGTTTGGCCCTCATCGGCACTTCCAGATGTACTTGCGCGCGCGTGTGCATGCTCTCATCAGCTGGGCACGACTTTCTGCGGTCGAGGGTTCTCCGCTCTCATCAATAGCTGCAAATGCCACACTCGGCTGCCCGCCACAGCTCCTCCTCATCCTGCCACGGCTACTCCATGTCGTGCGGCGAAGACGTCCTTTGTTGCTCGGCTGCAGACGGATTACCGCATCCCAATCAACAAGGTTCCGCCGGCCACCTCTTGATACAAAGTGCGACATCTGTAGCGACGAGTTTTTCTTATGCATCGACCCTGCAGCGTCATCTGGCTGTTCCTTCCACCACCCACCAGCCCCATCTTGCGTGTTGGGGCTGGATAAGTGCCATGTTGCTAACTCGAACAAGGCTAACCGCGAAGCTGCAGATGATTGCATCACCTGCGGCGAGGTCATCTGTGTTAATCGTGCTCAACCTCACCGAACCATGCCACCATCCATCCCACCCAACGCGGGAAGTCATATCTGCGCACACGTATGGCAAGGCTCCCGGCACCATTATTCTTGGAACGACGTCGATACATTCCTTGTATTCGCCACTGGCCCCATGCATCTGCAACTACTAATGGTGCTGTTCTAGCACGACTGGCGAGCTGCGCGGATCCAATCCTGCTTCAGCTACAACTCGTAATTGCCCCGTACAGCGGCCTTGGATGATGGCGTGAAAGTTTGCCAGAGACTGTTGCAGACGGGCAATCCTCGGCTTCTGCACGAAGTGAATGCTAGTAGCGAGAAAGAGCTTTGGCTGCTTGGCTCGTTGGCTCGCTCGGTTCGTTGGAAATCTGGATGCAGTCTTGCTTCATCCGCGACCTTCCTGGCAAAACTCCACCTCATCATCACCGCCGTGTAACATCCTCCGGTCTCAGCAACAATACGCCGTACAGCCGCAGTCCAACACACGCAACTGTCCATCATGGATTCATGCTGCCTATCGCGTAAACCCAATCTCATCGGCTAGCATCATGGCCGTCTTACTCTTGGCCGGGCTCCGTGCTCATCATCGTCTGGGGACGAAAACCCATGCCGTACCTCCACCTACTCTGGAGTCAAACTCTACTTCTGCTCCATCTTTGGCAGGATGCCCGGCCTCTCGTCTCGTTTTGCTGAGTAGCATCATCCGCAATTCCGCACCGCTTTGACGCCACGGAGACCGATGGTGACGGTATATGCATTCCTTCTAGTAAGAGGCCGCGGAACTTGCTGAAGCAAGCCAATTCACCCCAGACAACACATGGTCGTCGCCGACAAAAGATACCGAATGATCAAGACAAACCAAGACATTCTCTTTCAGGATCTGATAAGCGCCCTCGAACGTTTCTCGTGTTGTTGAAAGTCTATGACCTTGTTCAAACAATCCAGGATCGATGCTTTACCTCAAAGAATACTTCCAAATGAGTATCTCCAGGAAACTTACTTCTCTTACAGGCCTTACGCAATACCTGGGTTCGTACTCAGACCGGACAAAATGTTGCCGAGAAAAGACATACTTTCCCACGTCAATCATCCAATATGGGCTTCATCTTGAAATCCCCGGCTCGACACCGGTGCTGAAAGTCTGCTTTGACTCTATGAGCTGTCGCAGCTTGTTAGGCATCGACGGCACCGGGTCAACCATGGAACTGCTTTCACCTTTGTTCCTTGGCATCAACAGGACCGGCCTGCAGACCTATATTTGAGACTTCAGAACTGGCTTCACGTCTTAAGCGCAGATGAGGCGTTACTTCGCCATCATCCCTCGTCACAAGTCCGAATCTGGTCTCTCGAGAGCAGCGACGGCCTTGGGAAGCCTCGAGTCTGTCTCACGAATATCCATACCATGTATCGGAGTCTATCGATGCTTTCAGTCCCGATGCGGAGAATTCGGTGATGCTCATGAGTGAACAGTGAGCCCTGTCGCAGTGCTCCGTGTTTCTCGACATTATGATCACGCCAGAAGATGCAAGAAGGCTTTCTTGTACCATGTCCAAACTGCCACTCATACCACGACAATTGATCAACTAACCACCGGATTTTACGTGCTGGAAAGCGAGCTCCACCACCGTTTCCTGGGCATGTTCTCTTTTGACTCTTCGTCGACAACTTGAGCTGCGATACATGCTCGGCGCACCGCATCGCTGTTTATACATCGTATTGTCTGCCGCGTGAGGTTTCTGTGCGACTCGCTATCGCCTGGAGCCGATGTCAGCGGTCTTATAACCAGTCTTATCCATTTGCGAGGTCTGTTCATACCGTGCTCAACGGCAACACAGAGTTCGAGCTGCACCTCTTCGTCTTCCGAAACGATGTCTCGTATCTCTGTCTCCATGACCAGAACCCTCTCATTCAACGCCGCTTCGGAATAAGCAACACATTCGTCATGAAGCCTCTGGTCAAATGCTCGGCCCTCTTTGAGCATTTCGTCTTGTTTGGCGCCGTACTGGTCCCTCAAAAACACATCTTTGAACGTCGCCACAACAATGACTGGAACGCCTGGAGCGAATCGTGCAATGGCGCGGAAGAGGCGTCTTGTGGAGGCTTTCGTGACGCGAGCACTGCTCGCCTGCACACAGAACCTGTCGGGATATCAGCACACGTATCCTCGAACGGGAACGACCCACCATATGAAATGCAGACGGTCCTCCGGCTTGGTCTTCGTGGATCTGTCTGCGAGGAATGCTTCCACGCTGGCCATCTCCGCTTCAGAGGCTGATTCGAACCCCATGGAATCATGAATTATGATGTTGTCCATCTTCGCCGTCCCCCTCCATTTGCGCTCTTCGTGTACGTTGTGCAGCCCTGGCATTCTTTCCGATTCGGACGTCTGGCGTGCAGTCAAGTCAGTCGGTCAAAGTTTCGTCGCGTCAGGAGGTCAAGACGTACTAGCATCGCGCCAAATACTTGGTTGATAAGTGTGGACTTTCCCACTCCAGTGTCGCCGCAGACCAGGATCCTGAGAGGATAGCGATCGATACCGTACCTCTCTGAACTGTCGGCCCAGAATCCGAAATCGACAACTGCGCGTTTGAGCCCTTCCATTTCTAGAGTGCCAAGCATATCGGCATCCAGAGCCTCTACATCTGCTTGAAGCCGTTTTCCGTGCATGGTAAGCGGTCGGATATCTGTGTATTGGTCGAAGATGAAGTACAGCGAAGGATGTATGATGGTTCCCTTGGCCGCTATTCTGTGTGAGTCCGGCACCAACGAGTGAGATGAGGCTATACATACGGCGGTGCTGATAGCCCCTTAGGCGACCCTCTGCACTGAACACAACCCTGCGAGCTCGCTTCCAAATCACAGACGACGCGGTGTTCAGCTTGATGTTATAGCGACCGTCATACATCCGATCTGTGTGCACGTCACGTAGATCATGTACGCGGATTTGCGTACCATTGCGGGTGCTGAAAGTGTGCGTGCTCTTGTCATCTACTTTACCCAGGGCGACAGGCCAGGCAATCCGTAGAGGATTGTCAATGGCGACGTGCGGCAGCTCATGGAAGCCGAGATGTAAGCCATACTTCTCGCTCTCGCTGAACATCCACTGGAGAGGGTAGAGCGACAAGCCGTCGCTGTGCTTCGAGCCTCCGAGATCTCCATGGGCCCCGAAGAACCAGGCCTGGATACAAGACCGATCCGCGCCTGTGTTTGCTGGGCTATCAAAGTCCGGAAACAGGTGTTCGGGTTCGAAATCCGCTCGATCCTCGTGAAGGGCCAGCGCATGTCGCATGTGCTGAATGCTAGGATTGAATCCAATATCGTGCAACCCATCATCGTTGAGAGCCTTGACAGTATCGAAGACTCCAACAAACTTTACCGTAGGTGAGGCCCTCGTCTTCTCGTTGATGAACGTATAGACCTAGCAGTTTGCTTTTCGTCAGCACTGAATGAGATAATCACACCCAAAAAGATAAAAACCGACTTCTCCACGCGCTCGAGATTCGTGTCGCATCAAAGCGTAGATCCGCAGGGCCTCTTGGTAGTCCTTCTCAAAACCCGCCCCCGTGGCCTTCAGCACGCGGATGTAGTGAAGCAAGCCAGCGACGGCCCTCACCACGAAAGCACCGCGACTGAAGCCATACAGCCAAACCTCATCGTGCTCATCCAGTTCGCAACACTGCTCATAGACGTCTCGGATTTTCCTGCTGACCCCTTTCCCAAAGACGCCCGCAATGTATTTCGTCGGGAGATCCAAATCTCGATCGGCGCCGAGTCCGCCAATGTACCTGGACTCCTGAGCGTAGCTGATGCCGGTGGTTTTGTCCACACACGGTGCGTTTCTCACGCTTGCGGAAATGCGAAAGATGTTGGTTTGGTTCCCGTTCGCCATCCCACTGCCGTCCTGGCGGCACCAGGTGCCATCAACGCATAGCACCAATCGTCTACGTCCCCTTCGATGAGGGGTGGTGCTCATATCGAGGGCTCCAAAATGTACAGGGAAATGAAAAACACCCAGCAATCCGACTTGTATAAAACTGTAGGACTGGTTCAAAAGGCTTTTCGTGGAAGAAAATCGCCCCGACCAATGTCACAGCTCAGCTGTAGAAGTCAGCTTGCAGATTTGAATAATGGACTTGTGTAGCGTAGCGCACAGATCGACTGATCAGGTGCATACGACTGGTGGAGTTCTCTTTTCAGAATGCAACCGTGTGGCGCAGAAGACGGTCAACCCCAACCTCTGATGTGGAGAAACTGAGAGGAGAAGGTTGGCATCCATTGTTGTTGTTTGACATCCTTCGCAAGGCCTGCGTGATAATATGCGACGAGAGGCAAGTACCCATCTCAAGTCGTTGCAGAGATAAGTATAGATCAAGACAAAGGCACCAGGTTGGCTGCATCGCCCGATTTCTATAGCATCTTCATCAGAACCTCTCCCTTCAGCACTCATATGCACCAATGGATAATATATTCAACCACTTACAGCACTCTACGACGCCCTCCATCTCAACCCAGAACACACATCCCTCAATCAACAGCAGGGTATCTCCTATCAAACTCCTCCATCTCCACCCCACCATCCCCAACAACCCCAATCCTCTCCCGCTCCTCATCAACAACCCGCCCATACTCCAACAACAGCCGGAACGTATAAATCTCAATATCCTCCCTCCGGAGCACTTTCCCCGCCCACTCCCGCCCCTGCTGCGCGAGCTTCATAGCCTCGTAATCGTGCGCAGGGACTTTCACATCGCCCCCCTTGAGGCCGATGAAATACGTGAGCAAGCTATACAACTCCCCATACCGATTATCCACCGGCACGAAATGCCTCCACGCGAAGAGGCGGCTGTCGTGCCATTCGCGGAAGATGGTCGCTTTCAGACCCAGCGAGCGGGATTGTAGGAATGCTCGCCAGCGGCCGGAGAAGGAGTGCCCGTCGACGTCGATGAGGTATTTGGATTTGAAGGTGTCGGCGAAGGTGGTTTGGGGGAGCATGGTGAGGGAGGAGTTGTAGAAGTCGCAGGAGCCGACGCAGGCGAGCTTTTCGGTGAAGCCCGTGTTTGTGTGGTTACGTGCGAAGGCGGAGGGGGTGAATGTGTTGGGGGTGTACATGCCGAGTTTAGGATCTTTGAGGGCTAGGATGGAGGTGGTGTTTTGGTGGATGGAGAGTTCGGTGCTGTTCGTCATGAGGACCAGGCGATGGCGGTGCATGCTTTTCCATCGTTGGGGGTCATCCGCGAAGGTGTTACCGCCGCTGGTGACGCCTCGCCAGACCATGATGTCGTCTTTGTCGTCCCAGTCGATGTCGTGGAGGTCGTTGTAATCGTAGCGCTTGTCCTTTTTCCAGTACATGTTGGCTGGGAAGAGGATGTCGCTGTTTACGTTTGTCTTGCATTCGCTGAAGATTGGGATCAGTTTGTGGGTGACCTGCATCGATGTACTGGCGTATAGCATGCCATGGAGGTGGGAGATTTGAGGCCCAACCGTGCATAGATCGGTGGATGCATTGAAGTTGGTCACGAAGCCGCCCAGTATGTGCTTGTAGCTCTTCTCGGCCTCTTTGGCGTGCTTTTGAGTGTCTGCGTTTCGAGCGTACGAGTTCGGTGGGCAAGCCTTCGCGGCCAAATCCATGAATTGTCCGCCAGCGTAGTTGAACCATTCGTACGCGGCTGGGAGTCCTCCTTGATCCCGGTTGTGCTCGATAGGATACAGGAACGGATTGAATCGATTCAACCAAACAGGTTCTGGGTAGTGCGGGCTCGGAACGTATAGCCCATTCTTGCCTTTGCTGAATGAATCTGCGACGCCTTCTTCTCCAAGCGAAGGGCCCTTTCGTTCTACCTCAAGATGCTTCTGCATGTCTTCCCAAGGCACAATGACCCGCGGCTGATCCATTCGATTCATGGGGATATCCATGTCTGGCAGCCATCTTGCAAATCTCTGCAACAACTTGACGAACGTCTCCGAGCGCCACCCCCAAAGCTCTTGAATGATTTGACCATCACGAAGAGAGATCGTTGCGATCAAATGGCCGTAATCATCGGATGCATGAGCGGCGTAGTGTCGTATTTCAGAAGGAGGTATGGCCCAGAAGGGTCGCAGGTCATCGTGGATCTGTTGGAAGTCGTCGATATTGTGGACTTTGCGTTTGCGAGCGAACTTGTACCACTGCCAGCATAGTCAATCGCAGACCGTCTTACTCTTCCAGACTGGATCCATACCTCTTTGTAGCCTGGCGGTGGATGCCGTCCGTAGCTCTGTCTGTACGTGCTGACTGCTTCTTTGAATGTCCTACTTCTGTTCGCGTTGTACCTATCAAACTCGACGTCTGCTGCGCGCATCAAGTCTCTGATCGGATGTCTCTCATCAACCTCGACCAGAGGTACTGGCTCTTTTGCTTTACGCCAGACATGGCGCCCGATCTGCTGTTCATTGTCACCGGTGATGAATGGCAACCACTCTGCGAACAAAACGGAACGGGAGTCAAAGGTCCATAACACGGAGACGTTGATGGAGAGGAGAAGAAGGAGAAGAACAGCTATCGAGGTTGTAGGGATGTTCCTGGACAGCTTCCTGGTAATGCCTCGAGCCCTGGGCATTGCATCTTCGCGTGGATGTGGGCAGGGATTGAAGGAAACACAGCACAAACCATCTTGTACGCAGCACCGCTCGGAGGGGTAACCTCTCGCCTCGAGGCGTTGCTCTCCTAGCACGCTGTCTAGCGAACGACGGCCATTTGGGAGGTGAAGAAGGTTCACGCTACGGAAGCCATCTGCGGGAGTTCTCCGATCCTCGCTGGAGCCCATCTTCCATCTCGAACACACACCAGCAACCACTGCACACTCATCGCCATCGCCATGCCGCCGCGACTGCAGCTGCTCAGGCGAGCGGCTGTCTCGATCCCCAGCCAGCAAACCTATCAGCCTCTCGCGCCCTTCCTATATCCGTTCCTGAGCCAGCAGCGCTCCGCTTCGATTCTCTCCTCCCTCTCCGATACCAAAGGCGCGTACAATAAGAGGATCAGACGAGGGCGTGGTCCAGCAAGCGGCAAAGGAAAGACATCTGGACGTGGTCACAAGGGTCAAAAGCAGCATGGCAAAGTCCCCGCAGGTTTCAATGGTGGTCAGACGCCAGACTGGGTGGTTGCTGGCAACAGAGGGTTTGACAACCAGTGAGTCACGAGATGATGATTGTACTGAGAATGGTGCGCTGACAGCAGGATAGCTTCTCTATTGACATGAGCAAGGTCAACTTGAACCGCATACAACTGTGGATAAACCAAGGGCGCCTGGACCCAAGTCAGCCCATCACGATGAAGGAGTTGAACAAATCGCATTGCGTGCACGGTGTGAAAGACGGCATCAAGCTGCTCGCACGTGGCAAGGAGGAATTGACCACACCCATCAACATCGTTGTATCGCGAGCCAGCGCCGAAGCTATCAACACTGTCGAGAAGCTCGGTGGAACCGTCACAACCCGCTACTACACCGACTTCGCCATCAGGAAGATCATGAGGGGGGAGATGGACCCTATTCACAGCTTGCAATCACGCATCTCTATGTCTCCGAGTACGGCTGAGGGTGCAGAGCAGGCGGCGGATGCAATGGAGATGGAGAGGCAGAGATACCGATTCAGGCTTCCAGATCCGACCAAGAGAAAGGACCTCGAATACTACCGAGACTCAGCGCACCGAGGTTACTTGAGTCATTTGGTGGAGGAAGGCCACGGCCCAAGTTTGTTCTTCAAGACGCCTGGCGCTGGTAAGAGGGACAGCAAGAAGGCTACCGGAAAGGCCAAGAGCCAACAGCAGCCGACGAACAGGATCTGGTAGTTTCACCTGTATTATAGCAACCTGTAACGCCTATGCTCCAACACCATGGAGTGTTCGGTCTCCTTCAGCCTTCCGCGCTCGTCACAGCCAACGCGTTCTCACATTCGGCTTTGACACAGTCGCCATTTCATTGTCTTCATCCGCCATACCACCACGAACATCGACAAGAGGTGCCAAGGCAAGCCATTTGTTTTCACAAATTATATACCTCGACGCATGTGGAAAGTCCAACTTCTTTTTTGCTTTTACTCAGCACGCAATGTCTAAACGACGATAGCGCACGCGGCCGACGTGTCTAAACGGTCGCTTGGCCGGTTGCCCAACAAAATTTCCTACGCGGGCAAAACACATTCCATTCCCCCCGAGATCGCAGAAGAAGACGCAAGAACAAGAACAGATACTTTGAAGGGAAGGAGCTGTCTGTCCGCCAGGTTTATCCTTCCCTGTTTTCATTCACTCACTTGCCGCAATAGACTTTGCGACAAATCCTTCTTTCTAATCTTGCCAAAGCATTGCTTCGCGCTGATTGGATCACCAAACCCAAGAAATGTCCGAGCCAGCCTTCTCGCCTTCACCTCACCCGGCTGGCGACCGACAGAAAGACCTCATCGTGGAAGATGGAATCGAGGATCAGAAGCCTCTCAGCCCCGCGAGGAAGCCGGGGTTCTTCTCGCGCGCGAGGATTCTGGGGCCGGTAGGGAAGGAGCATGGGGATCTGGCGTTGTTGGCGTGTTGTCTTGTGACGGGGATGGTGGATGCGGCGAGTTTTATGAATTGGGGTAATGAATACCTTCCTCTCCACCTTCGTTGATGCAGGCACATGGCTGATGATTTTGGAATTACAGAAGTCTTCGTCGCCATGCAAACAGGCAACACGGTCATCCTCGGCCTCTCGACAGCAGGCAACCCCTCCAACCCCTACGGCTGGCTGACGACCATGGTCTCGCTCGCCTCCTTCCTGCTGGGGGCCTTCTTCCTCTTCCGCGCCTCCAACTACCTCTGCCCCAAAGGCCCCTCGTCCAACCGTCTCTGGGCCGGCACCATCTTCTTCCCCCAGGGCCTGCTCATCCTCATCGCCGCGGCGCTCGCCACGCCTTCTGGCTTGATCCCCCAGGACCCCGCGCCGATGGGACGACATCAAGACAAACCCGAGGAGATCGTTCACAATATCCTGATCGTCGCTCTCTTACCTCCCCTGGCCTTCCAAAGCGGAATGCAAATCGCCAGCTCGAGACTAATGGGCTTCAATGAGTTGCCTGTGAATGTCCTCACGTCGACGTATTGCGACCTGATGGGTGATTTCAAACTCTTTGCGTTGAACAACGTGAAGAGGAATCGACGGGTCGCGGCGGCGGTGCTTCTTTTGATAGGCTCGATTTGCAGTGGGTGGTTGATGAGGAGTCCGGGTGGGTTGGAGAGTGTACTTTGGGTGGCGGCGGGGATTAAGATACTGGTTGGGGTGTCGATGTGGTGTTTTCTGCCGGCTGCTGAAGACATTTGAGTGCGAAGAAGGAGCTCAAGAACGACAGATACCCCTATGTTATAGAAGATATAGCGATACACATAGACGAAGCCACAACAAACCCAGAAAGCGAACGACTTTCGAACCCCCCCAACCCCCTTTCAAGCCTCCACCGGCCTACAAAACGCCCTCATATGCCTCGGATTAAAAAACGGCAAAAACCCCTCCGTCCAGCTCAAATCCTCCGCCCTCGTCCCATCCAACACGACCTCAAACCTTCGAAACAACGCCGCAAACGCCATGTACAACTCACACATAGCCAGATTCTGCCCGATACAATTCCTCGGACCCTTGCTGAACGCCACGAGCCACTTCTCCAGAGACGCAGCAGCAGCATCGGGCTGCAACCAGCGCTCGGGATCGAACGTCTTCGCGTCGTGGAAGATCTCCTCGGACTCGTGCACGAAGCGCAGAGACATGCCCACGACGGTGCCGCCGGGGATTTGCTGGCCGCTGAGCGTCGTGCCCTGGGGTGGGACGACTCGCGGGAGGGGCACGGGGACGCTGGGGGAGATGCGGAGGGATTCTTTGATGATGGCTGTGAGGTAGGGGAGTTTTTCGAGGTCTTCGAGTTGGGGCATGGTGGCGAGGTCGGACCATGCTTGGCGTAGCTCTTCTCGGAGGCGCGTTTCGATGGCGGGCGTTTGGAGGATGTGCCATGTGCCTAGCATGCTCACGTTTCCAGAGGACTCGGCGCCGCCGAAGAAGAGGGATAGAGCCTCGTCGCGGAGACTTTTCAGCGAGGGAACGCCCCCGGTCTCTCTGTTCAACTCGGGATCCAGCAGCCGGTGATAGATCGTCGGCGTGCTCGTCTCGTGCATCGACTTCGGATTCTGGACATACTCCTTCACCTGCTTGAGCAACATCTCCTGCAACGCGACCCGGGCCCCCGTATTCGGATCCGTCAACTTCCCCAACCACGGCGGCATGCCGAAGACCACCTTTCTCAAGGGCTCGAAATACTGCAACACCCTCACCGCGGGCACCGCAGCATCCATCGCCTCCACGATGGGATGCCGGAACTCCTCCGCCTCCGACGCATGCACGTCCTGCGCGAAGCAGTACGTCGTGATGCAATCCAGACTGAAACTCCGCAACGCAAACAACATATCCGAGGACTGGCCCGCGGCGTGCCTCTTTCTCAGCGCCGTACACAACCGGTCGAGGTGGTTCTTCACGACGCCCTGCATCTCGCAGGTCGCGCGGTGGGAGAAGAGCGGCGCGAGGATGTCCTTGCGGGCTTTGGCTTCGCGGTAGGTGGGGAATCCGAACGAGGACTCGTCTTGGTTGAAGACGCGGTAGAGCGTGGCGTCTTTGTCCCAGCGGCGGGAGGGGGAGTAGATCTCGTTGTAGACTGAGGGGCGGGAGAAGTGGAGCTATTGTTCTCACGACATACATATCAACACACCACCACGGGAAATGGGGGAAGGGGGGCGGGTTGAGTATATGTTGATTGACGTACCTCATTCGCACCAACCCTCACCACATCTCCATACTTCTCGTGCAACTCCTTCAGGACATCTGTCCAGTTCCTGGAGAGGTATACGTCGTTGTAGCATTGGTACCAATCCGTCCAGACGTACGGTGGACCGGGGAATTTGGCTACGGGGTGGAGGAAGGCGTTGTAGAAGAAGGTCCAGAGCTTGTGGAGGCTGTAGATGAGGAGGAGGGTACCGAGGAGTGGGATGAGGGTGATGGTGGCCATTCTTGAGGGAGGTGAGAGGTGGTGGTGGTGTGCTGCAGGAGGCGTTTCGATCTCTTTGCTGTTTTCCTCTAAGGATGTCGTGTAGGTCTTGGAGGCCTCTTTTGTTTGCCACAAGGCTCCCAAGCTAGGATTGAGATGCTTGCAGTCTGTACAGGTGTACTGCACACCTCGCCCAGAGCAGCGAGATATCCTGTCAAGTCGGCACCACCAGGCTGTCGATGTGTGGACGGCTTCGTATCAATGACTGTGGTTTCTTGTCCTGGCCGTCGGAGAGCTCAAAGTCTATAGTAAGCTGTTGAGCAGGCTGTCTTGCTGGTATGAGACCCGAGGTGAGGATAATCCCTGCGAGAGCAACATGTTCGACAGGCCAGCTCCGACGACGAACATCAGCATACTCATGTGATGACAGACAGTCAGGGTTGAAAGCGAAGTCTTGCGAGATAAGGGAAGAAGTTCTACACTCATCGTGATTCAAATACATGCCGTGACACTTTTTTCCCTGTGGATGGGTATCAATTTACTCAATATGCCAGTTGAACAATTTCCCGCAATGCTGATGCAAAAAAAAGTCCGTACACTCATACAACCTGTTCGCCGCGCTAAATCAACAAAATTAGAGCCCCATCCAGGTGAAGCCGTTTTATTCCGTATGTAGTCATCGCAAGGATATCTCATGAAGTCTTTCCAGTCATTGTCCGCAATATCACTTACAGAAGCTTCGAATCGAAGACCATCTTGGTCAGTTCCAGTAAGTCGCGTTTGGAGGATGTCCCGTTCGTAGGCTGGAAGTTGAGATTACCAACATTGCACCAGTCCGTCCCACCGACCTTGATCGGTAGGCATGACAGGTACTTGCACCAGTGACAGCCGGTTCTCCATTCGTAGAAGTTCTTCAGGAGGAGGATGAATCCGATCAAGACAGCAATCAATGCTGCCGCTCTCACCAGCCACCAGGCCCACCAGACTGGACGTCGCTCTTTGAAGAAGCCAAGCGGGTTCTTCACGAAGCTCTTGATGCCCTCATTGCGATCTTCCTGGCGGGAGATGTGAGAGTACTCCGCTGGGTACGTCTGTGACGTGCGTCTGCCAATCGCACTCGGTGAGCGCAGGAGACAGACACCCAGGACGAGACCCATTAGGAAGCCGCCGATGTGAGAGAAGTTGTCCAGGCCAGGTAGAAGACCGAGCACAAAAGCAATGCAGACGTCCAGAATAATAAAGCACAGATCTCGTATGGGGCTTGGCCGTTCTTTCCAGTTGTATAGCAAGTCGAGCAAGGTGATGGCCAGGATACCGAAGAGACTACTAGAGCAGCCGGTCGAGGCAATACCCGTCGCGGCGAAGTTGCCTCCAAGGACGAATCCAAAAATACCTGCCGCAAAGTAGAGAATGGCAAAGCGAATGCTGCCGATCATCTTCTCCACGTCGCGGGCAAGAGTGAGCTGTAAGAGCATGTTGAAGCCGATGTGGATGATTCCAGCATGTAAAAAGATGGGAACGATGAATCTCCACCACTGGTCCGGTGCTGGCTTGTCGTCGATGCTGCCGTTGACGCGAGGGTTGCGATCTGCGCTAAACCCACATAGATCTGAAAGCTGGCATGTGACACTGTCTCCTGTAGTTGCGGTAGCGTTTGGACAGGGCCATGAAATTTGTACGCTGCTGTTCTGTACACCAGGCATAGTGTGCATGCATGGTTGGTATCTTGCGCCCATGTTGATGAGGACATAAGGCGAAGGTCCAATCATGGGGTTAAACGAAGGCTTGATCTCGATGGGGGATTTCGTAAGTACCCCTGGGAAGTATTAGCATGTGTATATTGCCCTCAATACTTTCCTGTACTCACCGTTTTTGATGATCTCGGCTATGAAGACCACGACTTGTGCAACCGTCAAAACGTATACAACCCATGTGATCTTCCCCTTGAACCAGCCGTCCTTGCCTACTGGCCGCCTTCTCTTTCTTCTTGGATCCGCATCTCGTACGAAAGGGTCGTCCTGTTCGTGTGGGAGAATTGGAGATACTGTATGCGTGGAGTCGTGCTTCGGTTTACGGCCGTTCAAAGGAATGGCATTTCCATCATCGAATGGGTCCGCATCGTCATGCAATCGGCCGTTGGCTCCTGAATATGACTGCGCGGGTGTCTGATGAGAATATGGGTGTGTCCCGTCGTCAAAGGGAGACCGTGAAGGCGGAGGCGGCAACGGCGCATCGTGTCGGTCTGGGTAATCGTAGTCGTGGTAGGGATTGGCGTGGGCGGTGGGATTGGTGTTGTAGTAGTCGTTGGCCGCCATGGTGGCCAGAGTGCTGAAGAGCGAGCGACTATGGGAGGACTTGTCCGCTTGGGCTGTGTGATTGTTTAAATGCAGACTTGTTCACAAGCTCGTACGGTATAGAATGCTGGCAGTGCTTGCGTGTACCCCGGCCAATTGCCAGATGGACCGTGAGCTAGCGAGTGACGTTGCGACAAACGGGTCGAGTTTCGAGAAGATGCACGCGCGGGCGGTTCTTGGCTGTTCGCGTGCTGGGAGAGCGAGTGTCGGTGGTGACTACGGGTAGCGAAGGTGGTTGTTGTCGACGAGAGCGCGACAGCGCGGTGTGAGAGAGAAAGTTCACACTGGGCCAAGGCAAGGCAAGGCAAGGCAGTGGAGGCGTCGTCAGGCTCTCTGTTCGCCTTCTTTCTTGGTGCTGCTGCTATTCAGAGCACAAGGGACGTGAGATGGCCGGCGGGTGGCTGTGAGTGGGAGCCGAATGCCCAATCAGAGTGTGCCATTAAACAGGGGTTCACGCGTTACGCAGTGGCTGACGAGCAACAACAACCCACTTCTTCTCACCATCTTCGCCTCTGAGATGTCGACAGAATCCACTCCAACGGGCGATGCTGGCCGGACTTGGATACTCGTCTGCCGGGCGTGGACCACTTCACCGACCGGACGACGCACATTTGTGAGAACCTCGACAATGGCCCCAAACACCCGACCATCTCATGACCTTCGGGAGCCTCGCGAGGTGCAGCACGCCGCACATGTGCCTAGACGCCTTCTTGTTCCATTCGCAGCCATGACTGTACTCGCAAGCCGAAGGCTGAGATGTTGCTGGAGACTCGGTCTGGCTATAGCTGGCTAGGATATAAGTCGCACTCGTCGGCAAGCAGCCAGTCCCCGGATAGAGGCTGGACAAGAGGATCAAAGCAACACCTGCGATCGTGGAAGAAAATCCTATGACCCGGGGATGGAGCTAACCCGTGAAGCGTGACCTTTGGCTGCTTCTGTGGATGCCAACGATAACCGCTTCAGCCTTTGGGCTGTGACAGCGCTCCTGTAGACGACATGGACACCGATTCTGCTGTGAAGACTGCCCACTTTGGCAATTCACCACGGAATGCTGTTCGCCTATAACAACATGAAAGCGCAATCCACGGCCTCGATGAATAAGGCCTGGTCTCTTAACGAGCTTTGCCGTCTAGATAATGGAGCATGCTTGTTTCCCATAAGCCGTATGGAGATTCCTGGCCTTCGAAGGTGTATCCGAGCTTCAGCAGGTGTCTCACTCCGAACTCTAGGTGCAACTGATACTTCAACGGGCGATCTGATTTCGTCAGAGCAGCTGCACGTCCGCTGCAAATGCCTCTGCACAATACCCACTCTTTCGTATGTTTCTGGCGAATCCGGTGGCCTTCCTTTATGAGAAAATGCTGTTGAAAGTCTAATCGACTAGCGATTTTCTGCTGTTTGTACCCCGCCACATCTCGCACCGTTTCGTACCTCATTCGCGACGTCAACTGTTGCAATGCGACTACTGCTTACTTCAATTCCTGCCAACAGCGAGCCGGAGCTACGACTCGAAGAGTTCTTCGGTGATCGAATTCCTCCTTACGCCATTCTTTCCCATACTTGGGCAGAAGGTAGACATGAGATACAGTCCCACGATGTGCAACATGGATCTTATCAACAGAAGCTTGGCATCGCCAAAGTGCGTGGTGCTATTGAACAGGCCAGATACGATGGTCACAAGTACATATGGATCGATTCCATATGCATCGACAAGACCTCCAGCACCGAGCTCTCCGAGGCCATCAACTCGATGTTTCGGTGGTATCGAAACTCGGAAATCTGCTACGTTTACCTCTCCGATGTGTCCACACAGGCCAAGGGTTTCCATACTGCCTCGGAATTCAGCTCGTCTCGATATATGAGCTCCTCCAGAACGTTTCCACAGAGCATGCGGTCTGACGGTTGACAGGGTGGACGAGAGGATGGACCTTGCAAGAACTTCTCGCACCGAAGTCCGTAACCTTTTTCACGTCATCATGGAAGCCCCTTGGAGACCGGGCTGAACTACAAGGCGCTATAACAGACATCACGAAGATTGAGCGAGATTTGTTACTCGGGTCGAGACCCCTAAGCTCCGCAAGTATCGCGAAGCGCATGTCTTGGGCTGCCTCTCGGGCGACTACTCGGGAAGAGGATATGGCGTATTGGTGAGTCTGGGAAGCTTTGAGAGCGCTCTATTCACTTGACGGCAGTTCTCGAAAGCTGACAAAGGCCAAACGTCCAGTCTTCTCGGCATCTTCTCAGTCAATATGCCCATGCTTTACGGCCAAGGACAGCAAGCATTTGTCCGATTACAAGAGGAGATCATCAAGATGACTGACGATCACACGATTTTCGCCTGGCGAGCCAAGGGATCTGCTGGTATCCACGGCCTTTTGGCTGACAGCCCACATGCCTTTGCTGATTCAAGCGAGTGCTCTTCGCTGCGTACTTATTACACGAAATCGGCTCCTTTCGCCATGACGAACATGGGTCTCCACATTGAACTCCCTCTCTTGCCCGTTCAGCCTGTTGGACTTGGAGCACAGGCGTCTGAACCTACCTTCGACGCCGTTCTTTCCTGCACTATGCGGTTGACTCCGGACAGACTCGTAGCGATTCGGGTTCGTGCGCTACCTGGTTTCGCAAATCGATGGACTCGGATAGAATGCGATACACTGCACTACACGGACACAGTGTCTTGGCCATGTGAGCTGTACATCCCACAAACGATCCCAGAGCATTCTGAGAGCTCCGTATCCTCTGTCTACCAGATCGTACGCTTGAGGTCGTTCGCTCTCGACAATCCTGGCCTCTCCGGTACGTTCTGGCACTATCATATATTGCGCGTCGTTCTGGAGAACGTGCCCAAGATAGAAAGCTCCGGCACGTTCACCCAATTCGATCACAGAGATCTGCCTGCAAGGACTCCGTTGTACCATGAGCTCCAGCACAGTCTAGGCCATCGCAAGGGACACAGTGAGCAACAATTCTGCGTCATCGGAGCAGCTCGCGGTCGAGCCTACGGATGGTTCGTCCTCCAGCGTGTGTCCAACGCCACCGAGCTCATCATCATCGTCGGTCGACATATGACTGGGCAGTTGGGCTTTGGGGTTCTTTGGTCCGTGCACAGGCGCTCAGACGACATTCTTCAAGAAGAAAGCTTGTGCCCGCTTCAACTAGCCGGTAACTGGATCGACGTTGAGGTCTACTGTGACTCAGATGAGGGACCATTTTCATGGTCTAATGTGGAGAAGAGAGTGGCGGTTAATCGTGTCCGTCGGTTCCCTCTGAGACGTGCGAAGGTCGACGTGAGTGCGGAACCAGGAGGACGCTTTTTCAACGTCGACGTGCAGATGGCATGAGTCTGAAGCTCAGCCCAAGGCGTTTCGATGACGAGGACGTATGCGGAAAAATCGTTGTAGTTCGTGAGGTACAGGCTTTCTCTGTGAGGACCTGTTGGCTGCCGTCAGCGCTGCAATGCTGCTTGTATGTTACTCCATATGCAGCTTCTTTGCACTTCTCGCGCTAATGACTGTCACAGGCACAGCCCAAACGAGCGCCAACCCCAACACCCCCTGCCACTTCTTCAACACAAACATCATCAACAAAGGCAACCAACCCTACGATCATTACTGCGCTATGCACACCACATCATACGTAAGTTCTCTTCCTCCCCCAAATCCCATCCCCTGAATTACCATGATCCCTCCAGAGGACGACACCTACGCCTCTCTCTCCCAAACAATCTACAACTCCTCCACTACACCATCGCCTCCTCCTGTTGCTACACAGCCACTCTCTACGCCTAAACCCGCGTCAAACCCCCTCAACCCTCTCCTGCACCAACCCAAGCGCCTGCGGAACCTACAAACACTGCACGTGCAATTCCAACACAGACTGCATCTGCGGCACCGACGTTCGCGGCAGCAACAAGGTCTGCTTGAGTGGTTCCACGCCGTGTTCCTCGCCGCATTGCACGGCGAATAGCCGGTGTCCCGCGGACAGTATCTGTCTGAGCAACAATCATTGCTGTGGAGGAATTAGTGTATGTGCAACGTGGAATACTAACACCAACCTGCAGATCAAGAGGTGGCTTGTCTAGGAAGAGGCATGCTAAAACGATAGGCGACAGGAGTCGCCAAGGAGTGCTCCCGAGCCTTCTACCCAAGTCTCCAACGAATCCGTGGTCCAGATCTTCCACTTCAAGGCCATGTCAGCGACCTAATTCGCTTTTCAGCATGAACGCTGACGTTGAACGCGGTTGCAGATTACGTCAAGCAAGCAGCGAACGGCGAGATTCAAGGCTTCGCGTGAAGTGTATCGAAGGCGGAGCTGGCTCGCGCGAACTCTTCTCGCCGGGCTTTGCGCATGTTATCGTACTTGTCTTCAAGGTAGACGAGCTGAGACGAGTACCCCGAGGCGTACCGCAGATACTTGACAACGAAGCTGTCATCGAGGAGTGTTGTCTACAGCTCGCATTGACAACTTTTGCAAAACAGAGATTCACCGTGTGTCTGCTTGGTCTCTTGAATCAAGATAGAGTTCCAAGCATTCACATGGACGAAGACGGCCCGTATAACTCAGATGTCCACGCCGAACTACTCACTGCGACGCGTAACAACATACGCTGCATCTTGCGTTGCCTCGCCCGCTAGTCTGAGTCTTAATGCCAGGTCACCGAGCAGAGTTCCAGCGGGCTATGAGCATGGAGCTCTTCCGTAGTGATATGCTACGAGCAAGCAAGACATTCTGGAGAATATCCAAATGTTGCCGAGTCACATCCAAGGTGCCAAGGAGGACTCAAGCCTGACTGCATCGATCACAAACGTCCTTATATTACTTCCTAGCGGCAAACATGTTCATCACCACAAAAGCCCTCATGCTCGCCAGCTTGGCAGCCTTGGTGCTAGCCCAAGGCCCGGACGCCACCATATCCCTCTACCAGGATACGGCCTGTCAGACTCCTGTACCGGGCGCAGGCTATACCGTCGTGTATCCTCTAAGCTGCGATACGGGCCCCTTCCAAACCGGCTGGTCCTCTGCTCGGATTGTGAATGAGTTGACCCAGGGCGGGACCATTACATTCTACACGGAAAACGAATGCGGCTGTCCCACGTGTGGCTCGCATGGGTACTCTGCGTCCGACAACGGGTGTCTGACGGAGTTTGGGTTCACGGCGAATGCTGTCGGGTTCTACGTTTGAGTATGTAACATTCACCTACGATGTTTAGCGAGCCGGACTTGTACTAACGCGCTCATAGAAAATTGGCCCGGCCTGTGACGCACCAGCTTCAACTCCTGCCAGGGGAGTGATGTCTCTCCCTCACTGAGATCTGGACACGTTAAGGACAGAACGAGAAGAAGAAGAAGAAGAAGAAGAAGAAGAAGAAGAAGAAGAAGAAGAAGAAGAAGAAGAAGAAGAAGAAGAAGAAGAAGAAGAAGAAGAAGAAG